CTGTGTTCATTTGTAACAACAGTTGATCAAAGTGTTTCTGAAAACCATAACTTTCTTCTTCAGTTTGCCATTAAAAACCGCTACAAGCACAGAAGCAGTCAATACCCAAAGAGGCAGCACTGGATGGACTGGGCAGAGGACAAATACGCAGTAAGATTCACTTCACGTGATTCTTCATGAGAGAAATTTCAGTTCAGTTCATTTTCTGTCTGTCTCCTCTTCAGAAACTCCTCATTGCTCAAATCAAAATGGTGCTGAGGGTGCTGTTTCTGTACATCCCACTCCCAATGTTCTGGACACTGTTTGACCAAAAGGTATTCAAAAGTTGCTCGTACCTTGGAAATCACTGGTTTACAATGGCAGCTGTGCTTGACTCTGAATCTCTTTTAAAGGGCTCCAGGTGGACTTTGCAAGCCACCAATTTGAACGGAAACTTTGTAAGTCTCATGATAAAACCAACTACGAATATATTTCAATCATCAACTTTGTTTAAAGGTGTTCATGTTTTAATAACATATTTGTGTCTGCAGGGGCTACTTGTGATACAGCCTGATCAGATGCAGGTGAGTTAAAATAATTTGTATAATATCAGCTTGGAGTGACATACTGTGCTTTTTTTATCTATGAAAATTCTCGCTGTGTTTTGAAGACTGTAAACCCCATCCTGATCCTGACGCTGGTGCCTGTCATGGACAGCATAATCTATCCTCTGATCCGAAAGTGCGGAGCAAACTTTACGTGAGTAATGCTGGTCCCCAGTGAGACCACTTTAGGGGTTAAAGAACACATGGACTTGGTCCCTTGTTTGGTTAATAAATAACTTCACCGATCACCGAGCAGTGTCCTCCTCGTGTCTTACCCAGATGGCCTGACTGGTCCTGGCAAAGACATTGTCCAGAACAGACGCCTGCTGTCATGCTGCGATGCGCTAAAATGTTATTTATTATAGGAAGCTTTAGAGCAGCTGTATTTTGTTCACTTTGAGAGGGCTCCAGCTCACTGTTTTCCCATTTTTATGCTTTAATAAACTAAGTTTATCGGATGATCAATGTAGTAGCTTTATACTTAAATCCTTTAAAGCCTATTTTATTTCATCCAATTCTCGGAACAACTTCAAATTTGTCCGATTCCTCAAGACTATTTCTTTAGCTGCTCAACAGTTGAGCGGATTGCTGTGAGTGAACGGACAGCGTTGTCAGACAGTTAAACTACAAAGAATGACTAAAAACTACATTCAGTAGGGAAAAGGACCAGTGTAGTTTTACAGTTACACGTGTTGTATTTAAAAATGCTGATATCAGAAACTAAACAGACATTGGTGATTGGTGGTAAATCTCTCACATTATGTAAAAACCAGTAACAGGATTTAATGTTGATTCAACAGACCTCTGAAACGAATGGCGGTGGGGATGATGATGGCGGCTATAGCTTTTGTCTGCGCTGCTGTGGTTCAGATTGAAATCGATGTGAGTAGCAACAAGTGTGTTCAGCTCCTCATGCACTGTAAACATGGACACCAGTTTGGGAAATAGAAAACGTAAGAAAAAATGTCACTCAAATTTCAGAAAACATTACCCACCTTCCCATCAGCCTCTCAGAGCCAGCTGAAGCTACTTAACATGGAGAGTAATCCGGTGACGGTTCAGCTGCCCGGCCTCGATCCTCTGCTACTGCCTGCTGCTCAGGTTCATGCACAGTGACACAAAATGGTTCCCAATGTTGGCCTGAATAAAAGTTTAAAATCCCATAGCATGCAAACCAAAACAACACTGTCTATGTACCCAATGAGTGAAACTATTTTTTTTTTTTTGCAGGCCAGTGATGATTTTTTTACATTTGACACAGAAACTGTAGGCATTTCAGTAGGAAACTCTTCGACGGTGAAAAATATTACCTTGGCCAAAGGAAATCGAAAAACGCTTCTCATTACCTCAAGCATCAATGACAACTGGGTGTTGGTGAGCAAGGAGCATAAAATAATACCAATAAAGACACAGAAGTTAAATTAATAACTCATTGTATTTTTCCACAGACTAATGATCTCATTTCAAAGCCACAAGAAGGCAACAATGAAATTCGGTAAATTGATCCACAAATGTTTAAACTGGTAGCTAACAGATGTAATCTTTGTCTGGAGAGGAAATACATGAAGGTGCGGGATTCCATACGTTCGATTTACCGACTGTTTTTACATTTTGTGGCTCAATATGTTTCCCTTTCAGATTCATAAATGGATTGAGTACAACCATAAATGTGTCAGCTCCTGCAGCTGACTTCGGAGTAATTGAGTCATTTTATTATTCCAACTATTCCAAAATAAAAACTGGAAAGTACGCAATTTTATATTTTTATACTATTTGCCATTATTTTATGCAAACACTCATTTTACTTTCTAATGATCAGGACCATCTTCACCATAAGGAGTGGTTCACAGTCATGTGAATACAGCAGGGACTTTGGATTTGGAAGTTCATATACATTCTTTATACCCAGCACTTTTGTCTTTGGACCAAATGTAAGTTTTTTAAACACCTTTAGGGGAATATTAATGCATTATGAAAAAAAATGAAATCCATCCAATTACCTATTGGGATTATTTGTTTCAGTGTCAGGAGTCTGTTACTGTGGCAGAAGACATCAAGCCCAACTCAGTTCACATGGCTCTGCAGATCCCACAGTACTTCTTCATAACTGTTGGAGAAGTGATGTTTTCTGTTACTGGCCTGGAGTTCTCCTACTCACAGGTACAAATGTGTGCACACGTGTTCACATCTCAGGGCTGCACAATCAAAGAATTTGTAGGACACAGCAAAAGTAAAAAAAAGAATATATTTTTTGTGTTTGTCATTGATAATAGTTTTGTTGTGTTTTTGTTTTGGGATAAGTTCTTCTCGTGTACTTCTGTGTCTTTAAGGCCCCTAGTAACATGAAAGCAGTGCTGCAAGCAGGCTGGTTGCTTACCGTTGCTGTTGGCAACTTCATCGTTCTGATTGTGGCTGAGCTTGCAAAATTACCCAAACAGGTAAAAGCCTCAAAACTCTCAGACTCAAAGTGACGACACGTCTGCAGAGGACACGTCTGACATGTTTTTGTGAGATAGTGACCCATGGTGAGGCATTAATACCGTGTTTGTCTCTCTGTCTTTCTCCTCCTCTTTTAAAGTGGGCAGAGTACATCCTGTTTGCCTCCCTCTTGGTTGTAGTGTGTGTTATCTTCTCCATCATGGCACATTTCTACACCTACATCGATCCTGCAGAAATTGAGGCCCAGTTCAATAAGAAGGTTGATGAAGTAGAAGAAGAAGAGGACGATAAGAGCGAGCTACAGAAGCTCGAGATGGCCAAGAAAGGATCAATTAAAAGTCACGAAGATGAAGATGATGCAGACAAACGGACCAAAATGTGAACATTCATATCTGATGTCTAACATCAGCATGATTTAGAATATACTTTCATGGGGCCAGCGTTATGTGTGAGTTTTTTAAATATTTTATATTATAATGCCCAAATACCTGTCTTGAGCAAGACACACAAAGTTCTCTATTCAGTACGACAAATTCATAGAATGTTATTTTTAGTATTATAACAACAATGACCAATGGACTATTTAGATATTGTATATTTAATTACTTACTTGCTTATATTTACATGGTATATGTTCAAGTATACAATAAAAAGAATTAGGGCCTGAGCTCCAACAACATTTCTTCTTCTTTGTCAATAAATGGTCTTTCATTTCAATTTGATGACCTTCACATTGAGCACCAGAGGAAGGTGAACCAGTTGGATGAACAGATGCATCAAAGTAAAAAAAAAGAAGCGGAACTCATCCAGACTGAGGAAGCCTAGCAGGAAAAATATGATGCTCTAGAGGAGAAGTTCACAAAAGACCTGGACCAGAGAGAACAGAGCTCGGAGTCCATAATAAAAGCATTAGAGTCGTCGCACAAATCTCTGGAGGTAAGGTTAAAGAAGGAGCTGACCCTCTCTGCCTCTAACACGGTGCAGCAAGTAGCAAGGATTAGCAGTAAAGCCTCACAGAGCCCGCTCAGCCCTTCTTTCCCTGTGGAGTTTGTTATGTTACGTTCTCCCGGTGCTGTGGGACTATCTCTAATTTATTCTTTAGTTGTGTTTGTATTTATTGATAATTAGTCAATTATTTAATAACCCATAATAAGATTAGGGTTTTCTTTGAACATCAATAATTAGCTATTAGGTCAATTATTTTGGCAAAAACACTATGGAATTATCAGTCTAATATGGTGAAATGGAAATGACAATTTTGGAGATATTTGAAATGTGTAATCTCATCTGCTGCTTTTTTCTAAAAATGTCGAAAGGGAAAGAGTTTATGTTGACTATGAGATTCCAGCATTTTATCATTAGTGCCTTGCAAGCTGGTGTAATGCTTTGCTTAAAAAAACAACAACATTATGACCACAAGGTTAGTAGTAGTAGCCTTTTTCACAACAGACATTTTTACATGTAATAGCAGAAAAAGCACCGGTATTACTGACGACATTGATGATGGATTTGTTTCATATATATCCCCAAGTCCTAGGAAGCCATGACAGTGAACCAGCATGCGCAATACCAGTATCCTGATGACACATGTGATCATGAAAAAGTGGGGCAAGATGACACAACTGGTTCTGTGATACTAACTTAATTAACTTAATATCAATTTGGGATTATGTGTCTCACTTAGTTTGAGGTAACTTGATAAATACAGCTTTACCTATTTTCACATGTTCAACATTTTAAATAAATATGGTGTTAAAAATAAAAATTAAATGTTGGTCTTAAAAAATAAGTCCCACATGTAGCCGACATTAGACCAAAAACTATTGTTGGTCACTGTAACTGTAGAGACCAGAGCAATATTTCCACTTTTCCTGACAAAAGCAGAAAACGTGAACTTCCCTCCTCCTCTGTGACGTTTTTCGATTAACGAATGACGTCACCTGCACCGCCTGCTCTTCCTCACTCTGATTGGTCCCCCGGAAAATGAAAATGACATTAACCAAGATGGCGCCAGGCGACCGAGTAAAGCGATGAGAGAATAGAACAACAAGCGATTCAACTAAATAACAGTGCGCATTAATGTCCTCCGTGCGACTATTTTTAAACCAGACATCCATCTTATCACCGGGGAACCGCAAAGCGCGCACCGAGAAGTCGCATTGGTCTACGCGGATGTGATTATTCAACTGTTGGCTAGCTGCTAAAGTAGCCAACGTCGCTAACGCTCGCTAACTGCGGAAGAGGAGCGAGGAGGAGGCAGGCAACACAAGTTTGTGTTCAATCGAGCGACCCGCTCTCAGTTTGCACATCGACTCGCCCGAGTTATCGTTTTTAGTTCGCGGGACGGTCCGGCTCATCGTAACCAGGAAAACTAACGTTGCACCGGTGACAAGGAGAGCCGAGGAAAGGCGTCATCTTCGCTGCTGTGACGCCATGGCTCTTTCGCCTATTCAAAGCGGACTGCCGGGGGTTCAGGTAGATATAACGTTTTATTTATGAACATTATAACATTTCGAGCTTACTTTCACAGCCGGGTTTATTTTATTTTTGAGAACCACTCGACATTTTACTTCACGTTTCTTCCGCTGAGAAGTTTCTCTCTTTCAGCCAGTAAATAACTTCATCTTCAGGAGCGCTGCGTCCTTATCGCCATTAACACTCATCGTTATCGCCTTTGCTCTCCAATGATTCATGCACCTATTTAGTCTGTGTGTGCGTGCGTGCGTGCGTGTGTGTGTGTGTGTGTGTGCGCGCGCGCAGAGGGGTACGTTTCAGAAGTAAGGAACTGGAAATATCAAATGTTTGTTTGGCATTTTCAGTTTGAAAAAAATGAAAACCTATAAACAAAATAGTTGCCCATTTTCTGTGTGATCAACTAAGCTCAAATATTTATCTTAACCCAAACTGATGCCTCATATAAAAGCCAAACACCGAAGCCCATGTCCTTTAATGCTGCTACTGCGACTCATCTTCATTAGAAAAAACAGGATTCTCCTAAGCTGACACAGGATGATAAAAGTCTATTACATTTAGTTTACAATGCTGAGAAGCAGAGATAACCAGCAGGTCTTTAGATAATAATGAGCTGGAACAAGATAATCTTTGGACATTTTGCACAATAAAGTCATTAAATGATTGAAATAGTTTCCAATGCATTAATGACGGCTTCTGAATCTTATTATATTCACTTTAATGTCACAATAAAATACTTAATTAATCAATCATTTTTGGGCCGTAAGCTGTATAAATTTGATTTGAACATCTAGTTGTTACATCCTTTTTTGTTACTTCAAGATTATTACTATTATTATTACTGTCATGTGACCGTGTTTATTCTGGGCCACCAATGGCATGGTAGCTTGGATCATTTTTTAGTTTTAATCTATTGTTCAACATAATTTCATTATTTGAGTTGAACCACCTACTGTCAGTCAGTACATGTCCCACTTGGAGATCAAGCCCAAGTCTCTACAGACTATAAAAATAACAATCTCACGCAGTGACCTAAGGGAAGACCCTCATGATTGAATGTCCTCAATGCTACTTTTTTAAAACCACACGCAAAGGCTTCACGTGTTACTTTGCAGAGGAGATTCGGCACTTTGGGATGCTGGAAGCGAGCCTCCGCCCCCGGCGGGTGTGCTGCGTGGATCACGGCAGACTCCACAGTGGTGCAGATCAAACGCATGCTTTTAGAGCGAGGTTCGGCCCGTTTGTAGTTGTTGCAGTAAACCTGCTGACTGTGGATATGGCAAGTACACTCCCATCGTGTGTAGTCTGTGGTCGCAGCGCCATTGTTGCCCTCCCCCCATTGTTTCTACAGAGGTCAGCCTCGACTTTTTCACCTGGATGACTGACCACACCAGTGTTGTGATAGTATTTTGCTTGTGTTGTTTCGACTCTGCTTTATTCCGCACCGCTCGGTCTCTGTCTTTGTTGTAGAGTCCTTTTGCTATCAAATTCAGCCGCCACCTCTTTGCCAATTTTTCCAAGTGCAGCCGCTCGTCTCTCCTTCCATATAGGTTGACCACCATGCATTAGCCCTTTTACAGGAAAGTGTTCTCCGGGGGGCTGTAAGCAATACGCTCTGAGGCTAACGGCGGGCCTCAACGAGTTCTGGAAAATATTCCGTTGTCAGAGTATTTTGACTCGTATTGCAATGTTGGAAGGATCACTTTTAAATCGTCATTTGTTGAAAATCATATTACTACGATTTATAGTGTGATTTATGCAGCAGTCTTTAGTTTGTAGAAAACAACGTGGTAATATGTATATGTAATGATATGGGATTCGAATGGGACTTTGACGCACATTTGAACTGGCCAACTTTAAGACCATTTTCCCCTCCGGTGCGCCATGGGGGCAGTGAGCCATCCGGTTCATTCAACGTTTAGTCCTGCAGTTAATAAGTTAGTGTGGTCCTGCACATTCTGTTTAGCTTGTGCCATCGAGGTCAACAATCCTAAATCTGTGTTACCCATGTGGTCTCTTGATTAATCAACTGTTGAGGCTAACAGACTCAACATTTGATCAGATTTGTTTGACAAAATTCAGTAAAAGGAACATTACATTTCAATATTATATTTAATATTACACTATTGGCCCTGGAAAAGGTTAATGGGCCTTTTTCACCATTTTCGGACAAATTGTCTGCAGATTAAACTAATAAACTGGTGTCTGATGCAGCCCTAATGGTGCATGATTTATTTTAATCTGTTTTAAGATCAAAGTATACTGAAATTTACTGAAGTAGCTCTTTAGTTGCTGATTTGAGGATGGTGAGTCAAAGGGAAATGATGCGTCACAATTGACTTGCTGCACAACGACAGACTTTCCATTGCAGCTGCGTTACTTGAATGTTGAGGTGTTTCTTCGATACCTAGAATTCAACCTCCTATGTCTTTTTATCTTATCAGTACGTATTGTGCGATGTGACGTAAAATGCCCTGTCTCCTCTCTCTCCCTCTATTCTCTCTCCCCCGTCCTCCTCTCTGTCACACAGAACTTCCGAGCTGATCCTGAAGAGTTTTTCACCAAGATGGACAGGATAGGGAAAGGCTCCTTTGGGGAAGTTTTCAAAGGCATCGACACCCGGACACAGAAAGTTGTGGCCATTAAAATTATTGATCTGGAAGAAGCAGAGGATGACATCGAAGACATCCAACAGGAAATCACTGTTCTCAGCCAGTGTGACAGTCCCTTTATCACCAAGTATTACGGATCATACCTAAAGGTAAGGTTTAGCTTGAAGTGAAATAAATAAATAAATAAACCTCATCCATTTGTAACAGTTCGTGCTCGACACAATGGATACGTCACTAATGTGTTCCTGCAAGCATGTGTACGGAATGTAGGTCATTAAATAATGCATACTGGCAACGGAGGCAAGTATTGCCTTTTTAGGATTGCACAGATTGCTGCGGAGCGCCTCGAAGTAGGCCGACACCAGCAGCATGTAGCCCGAGGCCTTTTAACGGGGCACATCTCTGTTTGGATGTTGGCATATGTTTTTCTTTGTACTGAAGCAGATAGCGGCGATGAAGGCAACATGCTGGCTTTTTTCATCAGTGGGAGCTGAATAAGAAATCCTGGCCCTTTTTTTCAAGTGGAGCATAACAGTTGACAGGGCGGGCGGCATTTCTGCCGTAACAGCCATAAAATGTTTCAATGTGATTTGTAGATCTCCTCAAAGCTGGAAGTCAGCTCTTTAACATTTCTATAGTCGGAGTGGATTTTCCGTCACGCCACATGTGCCGGTGCTTAGAGCCTCTCCCAGCATTCAGTGTGGTACTTAACAGCCCAAAGGAGAGAAGTGGCAGTCCATTAGCGCCGGTTATGCTGCTGCCGGAAGCGCGGAATTAAGGCTTATTTGTGTGTTGTATGCAACCATGGTACTTATTCTCTCTCTCTCTCTCTCTCTCTGTGTGTGTGTGTGTGTGTGTGTGTGTGTGTGTGTGTGTGTGTGTGTGTGTGTGTGTGTGTGTGTGTGTGTGTGTGCGTGCGCTTAAATTATGTGTTGTTACACAAAAGCATATCATTTTAAATGTAACAGTAGTTCATAAGTAATAATAAGCACATGATAAAAGAACCATCAGCACATAACGTGTCAACACTTTTTTGCATCATATAATGCGTTAATAAATCATGAACTAATAACATATTATAATTTGCAAGAATGTTAAATGCAGTGCAAAACTCAGAGTGTTGTAAGAAAGACAAAGAGCACTTCATGTTATAATCAATTTCTCATCACGTACCAGTAATCATTTTTTTATTGTGCACATTACATCCTCGTAGCTTTCCCACATGCTGAGATTAATACATGATCAGTTTTATTTCTGTCAGGCACATTATGTCCCCTTATCTTAATATGAGCAGCTTCTTGTATATTACCAAACTTTAAAGTGGTATTGTTTTTGATCCAGAAATGTTGTTTTTAAGAGTGTGATGCGTTCTTCTGTTCTAATAACAACTGCAACACAGTCTGACTGAATTAGTGATTTTATTTTTCAGGGCACAAAGTTATGGATTATCATGGAATATTTGGGTGGAGGATCAGCCCTGGATTTGGTAAGTATGTTAAAATTCTGCCTTAAACCATCTGATTTGCAGGTCATTGTAACAGTTATCGAATGTGTACAATCTGTGCCAACTTTATCCTCTAACTCGTCCGTTCTTTTAGTTGGAACCTGGTGCCCTGGATGAAACGCAGATCGCCACGATTTTGAGAGAGATCCTGAAAGGGCTCGAGTATCTGCACTCTGAAAAGAAAATCCATAGAGATATCAAAGGTACGCCAGACGTTTATGATGCTGAATTAAGGCTTAAATGTGCATCAGTGTTCCCCCACTCGGTGCTGCCTGTGATCAGACCTTGAAGCGCTGCACGGATGACCTCAACCTTTCACATGCCGCACTTGAGTGTGAAATATGCTGAGGTCTTAAAATCACAGAAACCACTGAGTGTTTTCAAAAGCCGTATCTGATGCCGTCCACCGGTTTGTCCTCTTGCTCCCAGCTGCCAACGTGTTGCTGTCAGAACAAGGCGACGTGAAGCTGGCAGACTTTGGAGTGGCGGGCCAGCTAACGGACACGCAGATAAAAAGGAACACATTTGTCGGAACTCCTTTCTGGATGGCGCCCGAGGTCATAAAGCAGTCCGCTTACGACTCAAAGGTCAGCGTTTTTTCCAGCTTTTGCTTTCGTCGTTATCAGAGTGAACTTTGATATCGGAAGGAAGAAACCCAAAGAATTGTCCATTTTGTTTTTGTTGAGAAAATTATTTAATTGGCAACTTTGAATTCTAAAAAGGTCACCTGTTGGCCGTTTGGTGCCAAAACAGTGCGTAAACATCAACATTTCCCACAGCAGGACACAGCTGTAAAGCGTCGTGAGTTTGGCAGCTGGATCCCACAAAGAAAACTGCAGGCTGAGCGCATCAGCCCCGAACATCTGCAGTAGTTTTTCTATTGGACCGCTTTGGTGACTTTGTGCAGGCGTGAAAATGTAGTGTTGTAGATGTTGCTTTACCAACATCCTGTGGTGAACGAGGTAGACAACCAGAGCGATCACATGTGGAAATGTGTCGAAATCAATCCGCGCTCGGTTCGAAATGTGTGTTATTGACCCACAAGGACCTGTTGTTGTCAAACGTAACCGTTGGAGGTTAATTGCCCTTTTCCCCTCTGTGAGCAAGTTGTTAAGCACTTTTTCAGACTGTGTTTCCGCACTACCGATGACCAAACGCATATTTTTGGAATAACCGCCGCATGAGTCAGTGCTGCTTTAAACACAGCCACAGTGTGGTAATCTTTAGCAACAGGTTCCTCAAATACACCCATGCTGCTTGAGTCTGCCAGTTTAAATGCCATTAGTCACCGCATTGTGTCATAGCGGACGAGTATGTGAGCCTTTACTGCTTCATTAGATGATGTTTTCTGTCTCTCAAAGGCGGACATCTGGTCGTTGGGAATAACAGCAATAGAACTGGCCAAAGGAGAGCCGCCGCACTCTGAACTTCACCCCATGAAGGTCCTATTCCTCATCCCAAAGAACAACCCACCTACACTGGAAGGAAACTACAGTAAACCACTTAAAGAATTTGTTGAAGCCTGTTTAAATAAGGAGCCTAGCTTTGTAAGTTTAAAGGACTGCTGTTCACACCGTTTTAAGTCATGCCAGTTTCCTCTTAACATTCACTGTAACGCTTGTTGTTTTTTCCCCCGCAGAGGCCAACTGCCAAAGAGCTGTTAAAACACAAGTATATTGTAAGGCATTCCAAAAAGACATCATACCTGGCAGAGCTGATCGACAGATACAAGAGGTGGAAATCCGAGCAGTCTCGGGCTGAATCCAGCTCCGATGATTCTGACGAGTGAGTTGTTACGATGTGGCTAAATGTACATTTATGAAGCTAAATCTAGCCGCTCCAAGTGCGCCGATGATCCAGGAACCCTGTGTCACTGCAGGGAGTCAAACGGCCAGGCGTCTGGAGGAGACGACGCTGGCAATGACGACTGGATCTTCAACACCATCAGGGAGAAGGACCTCAAGAAGTTTCAGAATGGGGCGGCGCAGCCTGCTGAGCTTGAAAGCAAACCGGTGCGACCACACACCATTGTAGAGGGAAATAAAATTAAGTTTCATGTTTGTTTGCGGTCTCAAATTTCTCCTTTTGACATATGAATCCTCTTTTTCTTTCCGTGTGCAGGAGAGTCCAAAAAGGCCTTTGTCACAAAGCTTATCCACAATCTTTTCTCCGTTGTTCACTGAGGTAATTGCACCAACAAGTTAACCTGAGGTGATCTGTACTATCAGATGTATTTTGGCCATAGCTTCCTCCACAAATGGAAGCTCCCTAAAGCTCCCATTCTCTGAAATATGTCATTTCTGCAGCTGAAAGAAAAGGGAGAGACGCGTAACGGCAAGCCGGGGGCCGTGGAGGGGCTTCAGGAGGCCGTTCTCCTGGCAGAAGAAACCCACCCTGGGATCTGTGACTCCCTGGTAGCTGAGCTAGTGCAGAGACTCCAGAGGTAACCAAGGTCCATGAAGTTGCTTATTTCCTTTCAAAGTGTGCGTAGGTTGAACAGGGGCCGGCAAGGCGGCGCTCGCAGTCGACTGGTCCACAGCAGTCTGCTAATGTGTGGTGACCGTCTCCGTCCCTCAAGGGGCCGTTAGGTACTGACCCTTCTTCTAATGTTTGTCAGGTTTTCTGTGCCCCAGCCCACTGCCGGCCATTGAGGGGCGCCATATCCTGCGCCTCTCTAATTTCCCACCCTGATGGCGGCAGTCGGATCTTTTCCTCTGACCTCCAGAGCCGGGATGAAGTCTCCCAGGAATGTCTCCATCCCTCGCTTGGCTGAAGCAAATCCTGGCCCGTATAATGTCTGTTTACCCCGCTAGCACACCACCACCCCGAGGGTCCCAACCGGGACAGTCAGTCGCCAGCGGCTCAGCTGCGACTACGACCTCCACCTGCTGTAAAATGTCCCTTCTCAATACCTCCTTCACAACTGTTTGATTTTAGCTTTGAGGGGCGGAGTCCGCCGTCTCTCTGCGAGGACTCCCACGTTATTGGTTTTTTGACGGGCGTTTTTCACAGAGGTTTTACACTCTGCATCTTTTATGGAGAAAAACACCTTGCTTAATTAATAGTGTGCGTGCGTGTGTGTGTCTGTGTGAGATATCATGTGAAACGTGCGGTGGCGTGTCGAGTGGGTTGAAGCGTTCTATCAAACTCAGGTATCCTGCTTTAAGAGGATTGGGTTCTCTGGGAGACGGAAAGCGCTCTATAGGGTGGCTGTACAGACTTGTAAATATGCTAATTTCTACAGATTCCTGAAAAAAATAAATAATGAAGTGTTTGTAATGGAACCACTGTGTACAAACGGCCACATGCAATCTGTAGATAGATAAATATTTTGAGAGACTAAATATGGCCATAGATGAGATTGCCTTGCCTTTCTACTCCTTCTTTTGTATATCGGTCTTTTGATTTCTCCGGTTGTTTAAACGATCTCCAGTGAAAATAGCTGCCCTCTATCATGTCCTACCATTGATTTGTTTTACATTTGCTGTTTTACACAAGCCCTGGTTTGGTGGACTTTGCCTCTTCGCTCCCCCCCTTTTTTTGCGGCGTGTTTTTGGCCGGTAAGATGAGCTGAGGTTTCCTCCCTTCACCCCATTAACGGAGCAGACAGTGTTAGTCTTCCTCGGAGCGGTACTATCCATCTCCTCGGCTCGCCTCCAGCTTTAATTGCACTTACAAGTACAAATGCCTTTTGGGCTGTAAGCAAAGTAGCCATAAATCCGTAGCACGGGACTCGCAGCTTCCAGGTATGCTACCTGGGACAAAACAAAAGTCCACCTGAAGTCTCGCAGGTGGGACCTCCGGTGTGATATTTGCTTGGCCGGATCTTTCAGTTTGTACTCGTGAGCGGTTTTCACTTGTATAGTTAATAAAAGTGTTTTGAGACAAAGACTTGTCACGGAGCAGACGACGTGTTGACGGCCTGAGCAGTATGCGTTGTAGCATGCTGTCGCAGAACTGGAGGAACGCGGAGTCCCGATCAGCCTTAGATTATTTTGGATGAATAGTATCTTCTTTAAAATGTTAGGTGCAATGCTTTTGTTGTCATTGCTTCTTTTCCCCTTTTTTGTGGTATTACAATGGCATATGCAGCAATACTTTTAGAAGACGAACGATAAAAGATCAAACATATTTATTTCATTCCTTGTCAGTATGATGGATGTATGATCAAATGGACTCGTTTTGTCTCGGATGAGAGGGATTTTTCATCATTCTTGAAAAATCGGATTTTATTTTTTGCCACAGGAATTTAAATGGTACAGTTAACAAGGCGAGTTAAAGAAACAGTGATGAAAAAACTTTTTACACTCTGAGGATAGTTAGATAAGATCAACTTCTGTTATATTTTCCCTTTAAATATACTGCTACGCCAGTTAGCTTAGCACAAGGACAGGAAACCGCTAACAAACATTACTTACAATATTGTCATTCTTCTTCCTCTCTGATTTCAACAATCAAACGCAACATTTCCGTATTTCTTTAAAAATGTTTTTATTTCTGATTGCTGAAGGTTTAATGGGGAGAAGTCAAATATGTATATTTCTTGAAGTATAAGCCAACTTCAGCCTCGTGTTTTCTGCTCTTCTGTGAAAATATTACGGCTCTTCATTGAAACTCGTGCACTGTGCCTCCATCCCAAACTGAGACCAATACAACTTGCACCTTTTGACATCGTCCGTTACGACGATATCTTTTGATGTGTTTGCACTTTGCAGATTTATTTTGTTTTGTTTTCCAATGGTGGTTTTCAAAGGCTACAATGTCACCATCACACCAGTTTGATTCCCTTTGTGTCGTATGGCAATAAAGCAGTGTGATCGCCAAGGGTCAATCCTTAGCACAAGTAGGCAGATATTCCATTAAACTATTTTTCTAACCCAAAAGAGCAGTATTATGTAATCGAGGGAGTAACGTTTAGTTCTGTGATGTGTAAAAGTTTCAGTAAACACTGGATAGCAATCACTTAAAATGTGCACTTCATTTTGTGTGACTTTGCTGACCGTTTAGTTGTTTATAAATGTTTGATCATTCAGGACGTTGCTGTGGGAGTTATTGAAAGTCGTTGAATGATTTTTAAGGAAAGAATTAAAATCCAATACAATTTGATGAATGGTTTTGCCACTGTTTGACCGAATCCTATGTGAGAAGTTTTCTTTGCTTTTCTGCAATATCTTTACAGATTTGATTCAGATATTTAAGTGCACCCATCAACCTAAAGTGCCTAAAGTTTAAATGCAACCCTTGGCTGTTGTAGTGTAAGAGTCTTAATTTTGTTTCACTTGTACACTGTAGTGTGATAATGGTACATTCATTCTAATAATGCACAAGCTTATTAAAAATCAAGAGATTAAATATATGAATTACTGAGTATTGTTTTAACCTTTTTGCATGTTATGCACACGTCTAATGCTGCAGATGGACTCATCGATGGAGCGCGTTACTAAACCGCACAGCGTTGAAAGGAGCCAAAACAAAAGCCCAGTGACCAGCTATGTGTCATGCTAAAGGTTGAGACAATGCTGTAATTACATGTGAACAATGCAAAATATATGGCACAGATTTAATGATTGACTGCACTAGTTCTGTGGTAGGATTAGTTTGGAAGTTTGATAACTACACACGAGCAGATATATTATTGTAATTTTATTTTATTTGTTGCATGAAATGGAACGAGCTGTGAAAGCTGGACTTTAAACAGCAACTGAAGACGTAATTGTGAAATTTAGCAATTCCTGAATAAGTAAAACTTGACATTTTAACTTCAAAGATATATGGTATACATGTTTTACACAGTGAGCAAGCAACAACCAAAAAAGTCAGCAAATACCTCACAGCAAGTTTTATTTATACATCCAAAAACAAAGATCATATCTCACACTATATACAGATATTACATACAGTGTTTTTACACATATTACATCATTTGTACACAAGAAAAATATACATAAAAATGTAAACCTTTGTGTACAAAAAATACCTTAGACAAATTAAACAAGGACCAATAACAAAAGGTGACTAGATTAGCGCATCCTATTTTTAAAAACAGTAATACAGTACATTCAATGAGTATAGGAATTTTTCAGCCATCTCTGAATTCAAGCCGTTAAATGTGCCAACAGTACGAGCCCTGTTTGTTTTGTTCTACGTGGTTTGGGGGGTAAACTGGTGATTAATCTCATGCTATGCAGATGCAGCCGTAATGCCTTAAAAACATCTGATTTTTTTCGCCGCACTGTTTCTGACCATTTAGTAACAACACAGCAGTCACAGAGCCCAGTCGCCTCTGGTGGAGCTACGTGTTTACACTTCGCTGTGTGTTTTCTCTTTGGAAGGGAGAGACAGAACTGGGCCTTCTCACAGCTGGAAATGAAGGGGGGGGGCTGTCTGATGCAGGCTCAGAGCTGGTAATGATGGCAGCTGTTCATTTAATGAGCGTCAAAAGCGAAAAACTAAGACGAGAAAAAAAACAAAAAAGGAGACGGACGCTGGACAACCAGCAGCCTCATCCACTCCTGTGCAAAGCTGTGTTGAAAAACATGGTGTAATGAACTGTTTTTCGCCACAAATTAAATGGTGACGCCTATATTCCTATGTTTCATATCACCGAGAATCAAGCCAGTTATGATGACGCTGCCGCCTCCCGCGCAAATCTCAAGCCTTCCTCCTGGAGTTTAATAGCTATCACAAATAGTACTCCGTCCGAATAATATTTAAAAACAAAGACAGCATTCAAACATTGATCCCTCCAACGCACGACCATTTTGATAGCCATTAAAAACAAGACATTCTACAAGACAGTTTCCACTGAAGACAATTGTAATCCATCGCCTACTCGACAATTCACCAACAAACCCCAAGATAGAGACTCGCTACTACAAACCGAACACTCAACAACGTCCGACGACCTGCCCAACGTAGAATACATCTATCAGGACCCATGTCTGTACTGCAGTTGGTAACACCGGTGACACTCTCTCGGGGGGGTGGGGGGGGGGGGTCTCAATTTCCAGGGTTAAAATAAGACTCCACGTTTGCATAATTTAGCTTAAAATCACCATAAAGTGGGTTTTAGGGTTGAACAGACACTGGTCAACACACCACTTTACACCATTTCAAGTTCAGGGTCACTGGCCTGGACGTCAGAGCGAGTTTCCGTTGTCAGTAATCACCATTGTGTGTGTGGACCAGAGAGCACCTGTGAGAGTAGACACTTAAAAGTCCCTGGATAACACATCCTCGCCTCCACCATTAACACTGAAACTTGTTTATTTGCCTTACAAAAGACTAAATCCACTCGGCATGAACCCGAGAGTAGAAGGCGGACCTGGTCACTGGTTCTGAGTGAAATAAATCTGCTGTTAAGGTAACGTTCACAACAGTTATAGAGGCCTAAATGGATTCCTGATCCAGGCTGGATTCACAAGTGAAGCTACAGACCAATAAGATACCGTACAATGCTAGTTATGTTAATGGGTTTTATTGCTTTAAGAAACTAGTTACCTTCAAGTGTCTACTAGGCCACTCAGAGTCCCACACCCAATGTTGAGGTCGGAAATTTTTGACATCTGAGCAAACCAATAAATGAGCACGAACAGTATAGACAATATAAAAACAACGTTTAAAAGCATTTTGGTAAATTCATACTGTGGAATCCGACTCGGTACGATTCTATATCATGATAACGGTTAAATAGCTTGAAACATAATGGGTCACAAATAACACGACCTGAACTCTGTTTTTCAGAGGGTGACAGAAGCAGTGTACGAACAGGTGGAAATGCAACGGCCGACCGCGCGAGGCAATTTAAAGACGGCACTCCAACTGTCAAAAACGAACAAAGCGACCACTGGTTGAGGCTTCTACGTCGACAAGCTCCGAGCGCCGGGACTGATAATCTCTGCTAAGGTCCTTCTGCCAATTTTCACCCGTTCATTTCCTCAAAAATTGGGCCGTTTCCTCCTCCTCCCTTCCTTCCCTGCTGACCAAACCACACAGACTTAAAATGCCACGCGCCGCCTGGCTTCTCGGTTAAAACGATGACAATAGAAAATATTGAGGAAACTCTTCGGGTTGTGCAAATTTTGTAATCAAATGGTGCACCATTACCACATTGCAAACACGTAGCAGATGAGGAGGGGTGGTCAACCCGGGGTCGTAAGCGGCGCCAAGCTCATTTGCTCTGCGCGAAGGGCGGCGCGGCGCTGTTGGCACCGGCAGCGGTGGCACTGACTGTGGAAAAGCCGGCGGGCGGCGCCGTGGAGCTGTGGCTCGGCTGAACGTCCTTCGGGATGCCGCTGTGGGAGGCCAACTGGTGGCCGAAGGCGGCGCTGAACTGCGGGAGCTGTTGCTTGGGCTGCGTGGAGGTCAGAAGGTCGTGCGCAGAGGATGGCAGCGAGGACGAGGGGGCGGGCGAGGTGGTTAAACCCGTCGAGCCGCACTGGGGCATTGCCGAGAGCGCGGCCACGGGCTGCAGCGTCACAGAGTGCGTGGTGGCCGGGGGCGTGGACAGGGAGGTGGATATGAGGTGACTCTCTGATCCGATGAGATTGCCAAACTGCGCGGGGTCGGGGAGGGTGAGGTTGCTCCACGATGAGCGCGGGGGTCCTGGTAGCCCGCCGAGGGGGACCTCCAGCAGCAGAGGGGCGTCCGTCTGGAACGAGCTGGCATGGGGGGAAGATATGTGGTCACTGTACGGGGACGCCACGTGCTCGCTGCCGTAGTGGCGGCCTTGGGGAGACGGCGTGGGCGCGTCCGACTTGGTCAGAACGTGGGACGAGTGCGTCCGGGGAAAGGTTCGCTCTGCGATGGGGGTCGGGGGGAGCAGGGAGGGGTTGGCGGGGGCTACCGAAGGAGAAGACGAAGTCAGGCTGGAGCACGACGTCTGGGGCCGGCTGGCGGGCTGAGATGGCGGCGAGGGGGGGAAGTGACCCCCGGTGGACTGCAGCAGGTTGTCCTCCAGCTCGAGGCTGGTGAAGCTCCCGGTGGGGATGCGGCTGCTCAGCAGGTCGCCGATGCTACCCGGCTGGACCGGACTGGCGAACACGGCCATGGCTCGGTGGTCCACTCCTTCGGAGGGGGCCAGGTCTCCCATGGAGGTCAGGCAAACCAAGGAGTCCGGGTAGGACCCCATAGCCTGCAGTGCACGCACCAGCTCCTCGGCTTCCTCCGTGGTCGGCAGCAAATCGCCATTCTTACCTGAACACACACAGAAGCAGAATTGGACGTTACGAACAGCAGATGGAGAGGACTTTGCTTGCGCACACGTGAAAGAACGAGCCTCATGACAACCTTCAAACAAGTCGAAGACCTGAAGGTCATCAGGTAGCCTGGGTAACACGTCGGAGAAATCCTCCTGGTTCAGCTCGAGGTCGTTTGGAATGTCTGCCATTTCATTGGTGATGTCGTCGGGAAGCTCCTCCCCACTCAGGTCTGGCGTCGACGGGCTCCTGGTGCAACAGGTGAGACAAAACGGGGTTTTAGTGAAGAAGCGCAACCGTAGCGAGGAGCCTGTTCACGAAGGCCTCCTCGACACCAGCAGCTCCGCGCATGGAGAGACACTCGCGGTGCAGACCTGATGCTGGCCTGTGAGGGCATCGCTAGGCTTATGGACGGCATTCCCAGGTTCCCCTGTGGCAACGCCGGAGGGATGGGTTTCTGAGGCCTCCGCGGCACTCTCCTCCTCTTCTTCTTGTGTTTTTTGGTGAGTGCCGGTGGTTTGGTCTTTTTACGTGGCTTTCGCTGCTGCTGGTGGTGCTGCACTCGTCTGTTGCCATCCCCTCGCAGGAAGTTATCCTGTGTGTAATGCACGGAAGAGCCTTTAGTGCTCCGAACATTATGCCATGTGAGGAGCAGTCTCATGCAATCATGGGAACTTTAAAGTAAGCGGAAATATCAGCTCATTCAAATTATTGTAGACGAAAATGATTTTCTCTCCAAAATGCAAAGTTGCAATTGCCCATTGAAAATTAAACTCACCATTTTTTTGGCATGCTCTTCGCAGAGGGGCGTCTGGTGCGTGATATCAAACACCGGGATGGAGCACTGCTGACCATCTGCAAATTTGGCTGTGCAACTAGCAAAGAGCTGCTGGGAACGATTCAATAGAATGTCTACGAGAGAACATTGAAGGAAATAACCAACCAGAAGGAAAGCATACAATCATTGTGCTCCATCACGAAAAAAAAAAAACAACCAAAGCGAATACGGCGGGAAAGGATACGCTGAAAGCAGTGTCGAGTGAAGGGCAGAGCTCTATTGTTGCAGGCCTGGCCCTTTGTGCTGCCAGTGCAGGTCCCCGCATCAGGGGTCTGCTGCCTTGCCGGAGCCACACTGTGGAAACACACAGACTGGGCTGAGCCAAGAGCTACAACGCGCCGCCTCGGTTACGTTACAGTTTGTTTCACACCAGGGGACGCAGGTGGCGTGGTCAGAAGACCAGCAGGTCGGTCACCTGCTAGCCGCACACCTTGCCGGTTGCACTGGTATTAAACATTGGTGGGTGACGTTGGATTTGTGACTCGAGAGATAAAAGGAAGAAGAAAAAAAAAAAAAGGACTATAATGACATTTGTGAGATTACCTTGAGGAGCTTTGAGAGGCGCCCCGCAACTCCTGGATCAGCTGGCCAGCACAGTCTGGGTTATTACTGGCAGCGTGCAGCAAGGCTTTGCGGAAGGCATACCGGTATCTCTTTTGGCGGATGCTCGCCCGCTCCTGCCTGCACATGCGCTTGTATTTCTCCCGGAGGTACGAACATAGCCTCAGTAGCCGCCTCCTCCGCGAGGAACCTCCGTCATCCTCCAACCTGTTGCCGAAACAATCGATAGCAATCACGACAAGAAGCATCGAGGGCGGGTTTCATACTGTGGGGTTAAGTATTAAGGGTACCGACTCATTCGGTGGTCTCCAAGAGCTCTGGAAAGGAACAAAAGTCTCCGCCTCCTCTTCTTCGTCATCATCATCCGCACTGTCTTCTGACCAGTCCAGTCCTGGAAGAGAACTTGTTAGAGCAGCTCATTCATCTCAGCAGGCTTAAATCCCAATTGCTACACTACATCTGTGAATTTATATGCAAGGAAAAAATGCATTTAAATGAAGCACCTAGATGAGGAAAGAGGTCTCCGTGCTCCTGGTGCGTCTTGGCACAAAGCTGCACCAGATGTTGCAACCGGGCCAGGCAGCTGGCAGAAGGTGAGAAGGCAGCGGGACGCATGACAACCATGTGCCGCGTATTGTTTATGCCCATGTCCTTGCAACTGACGGGCAAGCGAGTAGCGGTGAAAGGCATTTTCCTGCTGAGTGATGGCCCAGAAGGTTGCGCTGGACTGGGTGCTGCATTAGCGGGCATCCCTGGAGGCAGAAAGTTGACCGTCTGAGGTGGTGGTGGATTGCATAATAAGCCCTGCGGCTGTCCTGGGAAGATGAAGGAAGCCACGCTGGAGTGCTGGGGCGGCTGGAGAAGACCTGACTGCTGCCGTGGGAGATGAGTGTTGAGAGGCAAGGAAGGGTGGACACGGGGGGCAGGCGAGGGGCTAAAGTGCTCGGGGGGGGGCTGGAAGAGGTCCGTGTCATGGCAGAGTTTCTGGTTGAGCACCAGCCGACTATGTAGTTTCTTCTTGATGGCTCGGCCCTTCCGAGGAGTCCCCACCTCCTCCCCGTCTGTGTCATCCTCATAAAAGGCAAAAGGGTCCAGGAGTTCCTCATCAGGGAGGGGCAACAGGCGTGAACAGGGAGGAGATGGCGGAAGTTCATCTAGGCCGTTGGGAGCTTTAAGTGCCAAAGAGGGCACAGTTATGTTGAGAGCCACTGACTCCAGGTGGGCCCGGGAGCGCATTTCCTCCAAAGCGTCATGCTTCTTCTTCCTTTCCTTCTTGGGGATGAAGCCCAGAACCTGCAGGTGGCTGTTACAGTATCTGGAAAACAAGAGCATGACCTCAGAAAATTTTTACCTGCACAGCATACAAGACAATACGACTAAATCATTTAGCAAGATATATTATTTGAGACCGATCTGGTAATATGCTACACAATTTGTGGTATTCAGAGTGAATGATTCTTTTTACAATCATCAGTGTCATTTTATTTCAAAACAATATAAATGATTATGACATGAGTCGCAGAAACACAATATTTCATTTAAAAATGGTATTTTGACCCACAGTTCACCATCGACAAATATATTTAGATGAATTTCGTCATTGTTTCAATGAATTGCTCAGCCCCAGTAGAATATGCTACACACGAACATAAAGAACATAAAACATACACACCTGCGGTCCTCTGACTTGGGGATTGGGTTTGTACATCGCTGGCTGTTGTACTTCGCCACATATTCACATTGCTTGAAGGGCGCCGTCTTATCCTCCAGAACGTGCCGGATACAGAAAGCATAGCCGTTTAGTCTGCGTTGCTTGCAGAGCTTTGGGCTGTACGAGCACAACGGCTTATTGTCCACCTCTGAGAAGTGTATGTGTTTGCCTTCATACATCACGTGACTCTTGTTCTTGACAACATCAGCTGATTGGAAGAAGTCAGGGAAAACCAAGAAATGCATCAGCAACGCTTCATATTGAGGAGAACAATGTTTAGAATATAAATATTTAATGATAAATATTTAGGGGGCCCACATAATAATGCTACGTTAGTATTTTTATTGTCTTGTTTAAATGAAACCACATTCTAAGTAAGACTTGCAACTAATTGCATAGTTACCTGATTGCTTAACTTCTATTTGGCTACTGTGAATAAACAAAATTGATATTCCATTACTTAGCTGAGAACATTTTAGTCTGGTCAAACTTTGAATACTGGTTGCATCTACACATACTCATTTTCAATGTCAAACCATCTTATTGAGAAACGGGTGGTAAAGAGAGGATACGTTCATTATAACCAACAGTCTATTCAATTATCCTCCAAGCTGGCACTTAAGAGATAAGATGATGGAGGTATAACATTATCTTGCATGACAGCAGTCTGCTTGATTAAATTAAAAGGTCACCTGCTGCTGTGTGTTTATCATTACCCAACTATTTGCACACTAGAATAACTCAATCAAAAAAACAGCCAACATGAAGTAACGCTTTAAAAATAAGCAACAAACAAGTGAAACACGCTCTCACACCGGATGCTACTTCAATACACTAGCGAGTATTTCAGCGCTATTTGACACGGCTTCAGCAGTAGCTTAGCTCTTACATTTAACTTGAATTGTGTTTGTTTAGAGTTCGTGGAACAGCGCTACGTCTCTGACAGCAGTGGTTAATGCTGTACATACAAGGACATTGTGGTTAAATACCATTTAAGTCATCTTCGGTTGACGTAACTACTTTATAAACGGTGACTAACATTAGCTGGTAACTATCATCGGAGCCCGGGGACCTCACGTTAGCTTACCAACATTAGCTTGAAGCCAATAGACAAATGTAAAACTTTACTCTATGAACGTGTAAGTAGATGTAACTTAAGTGTGGCATACATCCACTAGATACAACTAATTCTATATTCAGGTGGAGACTCCTTTTATTGACATAAAAATACCATTTAAACCTGATAGTTAGCTAAGAAGCTATCAAAGCTAAAAACACAAATTAGTAGGCGGTAGCTAACCAGGAAACGGAAACATTAGCAAACGGCAACCCTTATAAAAAAGGTGTATTTTCAGTTTAGATTTATGAAGAAAATTACAAGTGTAATCATAAATTACATTACATAGTTGGCCACAATCGTGCTATTTTGTGTTTATAAACATGGCAGATTTATAGCAAAATTCTTCCAAACAAAGAGTACATACAAGGCTTAAGGCCTGTCCCCGAAGGCCTCCGTCATAATCGATAGGAGTTACAGCCACTGTCGTTGCATAGCGTCACATTAGCAGACTATGGCACTTAAAATTGTCAGCATTGCATCACTTCTCAGCTCTACGTAAAGCGCCGAGCCATTTGGTCAGATAGCAAGTTATAAAATAAATGAGTCATTAATTAGAGGCCTATTAGCTTCGTTGGCACAGCGGCCTCTAGTTGACCGCTCGCCCGTTTGAAGTCAGCGCGAAACGGTACACTCAAAAATCGAGACCGAGGCTGTCAAAGATTTCGCTTACCTTGAATTGGTATGGGCTGTGTAAGGTATTCGCTCCAGATAGACGGCCGAAATGTCTAATAGATTCAGCTGGGCTTTTTCTGCATCGATATTCGAGATGGGATAATACCAGTGATCTTCATCGAGCTTTGTAGATCTTGAACTACGGATGCATTTTAAATACAGGCTATCCAGAGCAAATTACAAGCAGTAGGCAGGCTGCTGAGGATTTTTGTTAGATCTACAGCACACTCCTCACAGCACCACTACAGGCACTGCGAGGACATGACAACAATCCGCTCGACAACAACAACCTCTCCTACCATGTTGGAAATTCAACTTGAAAACCCTACAAATGTCAGCACTCTCCGTGAAACGGGAATGACAGTTTCGGGGGAAGGAGAGTGCCGTTTACATTTTTTTTTCACATTTAAAACTATGTGGTGAACTTCTATCGAGGGACAGGTTCTGCAGAGAATGGCAGTGAGAATCCACCTGGACCGGCTATCGTCCTCCACATAGATGAGTGGCCCTTCTGCTGCCGCTGTTCCTGCCGGCTGTTCACTGCTGATGGACCACGTGTCACGCGTTGGGATCGAACACACGCAAGAACGTATCGTCTGTGGCACCAAAACGTACTTTTAAGAACTTTTGATATATATATATATATCTTTTTTAATAGGAACACACATTTAGAAAGGGAGGCTTATTAGACTTTCTATAGAAAAATTATTCATACACAAATAGCAATACAATATACCTTCATATGCCTTTAGTAAAAATATAATGTTAACACTTTTAATGTGAGACAACATACTACATTTGATTGTAAACCTTTAGTTACACCTACTAAAAAGTCATAGGTGAAAACAAACTTAGGAGGGCATAGTTTGAAATTTGGTAAATTAGCTTACACATTCACTCTGCAGGTAATAAACTGTTTTTAAAATTTGCATAGATGATGAGACACCAACTATAATAAAACAGTGCAAATAAACAATTCAAGAAGTGTGCAAATAGCGGAGTTGTGCGTACATATATATATAACATTTTTAAAAGGATTGGATAGTTATCCATTGCCTTTTAGCATATGGCTGGCTCGTCCACAGCTTGTGCTCCCTCCCTGACAGCTTTCACACACTTTGCCATTGTCTGGGAGGCTCTGCTTATTGGATCTGTGGGCAAATGACGAAAATATTTCCTTAAAACACAATAAACAATTACTTTTATTTCTCCTGATACATGTACACACTGTCAACGTGTGCAGATTCAAAATCATTGTGTCTGCTCCACGTGGTTTGATTTTTGATTTTTAAGGCAAATTAGATACAGTTATAAAAGCTATAATATGGGACATATTGGTATTGTTATTTTATTTCACTATTAAAACATACATGTAGTCAAATGAAGGAGGTGACACATCACTGCTGTTTTTCCTGCAGGATTTTGGAATGAAAAAACAGATTGACACTATGTTTAGAGAGAGGAGTTCAAGAGAACTAGTGACCCACCTGTCATATAGAAGTCCTTCACAGTGAGCTGTGGAGGGACTAAAGGTCCGGTAAGGCCGGTCTGGTCCACTGCCTGAGAGGGATAAGTCAGTTATCGCCATTAGCATGAAGAAACGTGTGAACTAAGATATCGTGGAGAAAAAAAAACAAATAAGCAGCAACTGAAGTAAAGCTTTACTGGTACAGCTTCCGTAATCAACTCAACACATGGTGGGGAAAGATAACAGCTGACCTTAGACAGCTCAAAAGCCTGCTTAAAGTAGTTGGCCTCCTCGACATCATCATATCGCACCAGATTTGGGGAAACCTCTGCCATTCTGTCACGCACTTCATCAAGGGTCTCATACGGCAGCGGTACACCAGCAAGCTTATAGGTGGACGGAGAGAATAAACAGCCTCAAGTCATCCCTCTTCTTATTCAATATAACAATACACATTTTATTGGAGTAGATTTTTCACCTCAGATATGGCCCTGATGATCTTCCAGTCATCCCTTGCCATGCCCGGGGGAGTCACAGCCACTTTGGTCTGCTGGGCACGGCCCTCAGTGTTCACATAGGTGCTACATTTCTCAGTGTACGCAGCTCCAGGAAGTATGATATCAGCCATTGATGCCCCAACATCGCCATGGTGACCTAGGAAGTTATGGTACAGAACATTTAAATCAAGAAAAGGTTTGATGCTTGATATGAATGGATGCAAGTAAAAGCGTCTGCTGCTGTGCGGTAAAACAGCGGACCTTGATAAATAACGAAGCTATCCTTAGGGAGGTCTTGGCGAGTAATGCAGCCAGCATCTGCTCCCAGTAGGAACAGCACTTGGGGCGGGTTCTTTCTGATCGCATCCACACCTGGTTCGTATCCAAGATCAAGTGCAGCCACTTGACTGGCAACCCTGAAGACACAGTTATTACAGTAAATATCCCTCGTGAACGCTCCCTGTTACGGAAAGCTTTCGACCCTAATTTTCCAAGACTATGACCTGTGAAGCACATTGAGAACCTTCCAGGTTTTCTCAGCGCCACTGCTGATGCAAGCGTTCTGAGCAATGCTCGACACAGCAGCCATTATCGCAGCGCCGTCCTCTGTCTGCAGACAGCTGCTACCGACCACAACAACAGGATGCTTGGCTTTGGCTAAGACCTGCAAGAGAAGAATAAAGACCAAGAAACTAGGCGGAGGCATTAAAGTCCACTGATAGCATTCGTCGCACTCCTGAGAGTGCACGGAGCGTTACCTCGGAGAACGGGTGAGTTCCTGACGCGATTTCTCGAAGAACTGAGGTGGACTCCCCAAGATGATCGTATGTGTAACTGAGGTCCACTTTCGTACCCAAAAGTGCCACTTGCAACTCATTGTGAAGCCAGCTGAATCAGAGACAGCAAGAGCGTATCAAAGAACGTGCATTATTGTTCACCACGTCTGCCCGTCACTGGTCTGACACTGTTCAACGACCACAAATACCTTTTTCTGATCCGTGCATTGATGAGCGGGGCCTCGTAGCGCGGGTTTGTACCAACCAGGAGCATCAGGTCGGCTTCTTCAATGCCAGCGATCCCAGTGTTTAATAGATAGTTGGAACGCAGGTCACTCCTAAAGAGGCCAAGGTAAAATCAGAAACTTAAGCTTCAGCTGCGTCGTACATTTTCAGTTTCGCCCTTCCTGTGGTCTTACCCGGCTCCAGCTAGTGGGAACACCTCTTCAGTGCATAGGCTGTCACTATTCAAACGGTTCAGCAAATCCTTCAGGCAAACGAGAGCCTCTGCATCCACCAAGCCTCCGACGATGGCAGCGACAGCATTTCCTTCAACTCCTTGCAGCTGCCAAAAAAACAGATGTTACCGATGAGTAAAAATGACCCGTTACAAACGATCAGAAACGTTGAACTCAGGTTCACGGCATACCGCTCCGGCGACTCGGGGGAGCACATCTTCCCAGGTTGTGGGAACCAACTCCCCGGACTGGCTTTTAACCATCGGCTGAGTGAGCCTCTGCCGTTTGAGTCCGTCATACGCGAACCTGTCGGGATGAAAGCAAGGCAGAGGTCAGCAGTGACGCGAACACCGTGGATGACACGGGCGAATAAACAAAAACAAAAAAAAAGAAGAAGAAAGAACCTAGTTTTGTCCGAGATCCACTCCTCATTAACGTCCTCATTAAGACGAGGCAAGATTCTCATCACCTCGCCCCCACGAGTGGTCACCACAATGTTACTACCCACGGCGTCCAGAACATCGATGGATTCGGTCTTTCTGCAGAAAACCAAACATTATACGTGAGAGTAAAGTCTAAACGTTGACCCTTCAAAAGCTAAAGCCCAATCCAAAAACCTCGTCTCCCAAGGGCGAGCCGTGAATGCATATGGTTTGGAGGTCAGGGCGCCCACAGGGCATATGTCAATGACATTCCCAGACAACTCCGACATGAACATCTTCTCCACATAGGTCCCGATCTGCAGGTCATTCCCTCTGCCAGTGGTGCCCAGGTCCTCCACACCCGCAATCTCACTGGCAAAGCTGTAGAAGCAAAACACTACTTATTTTCATGGACTTCATTTACTCAGGATCTCAACTTACTCTGGACATTGACGCGTGACTCACCGCACACAGCGAGTGCACTGGATGCAGCGAGTCATGATGGTTTTGATAAGAGGGCCGATGTTCTTGTCTTCCACAGCCCTTTTGCCCTCGGTGAAGCGGCTCCTGTCGCTGCCAAACTGCATGGACTGGTCCTTGAAACAAAACGGAATTCAAATGTTTGAGTAACGCTTGTGTGTCTGTTTTGTCATGCGGAAAGCGGACAAAAAACAAAACAAAAAAACACATCCACTGTTTACTTGTGGTGATTACCTGTAGATCACATTCTCCACCCTGATCACAGATGGGGCAATCTAACGGGTGGTTAGCCAGTAGGAACTCCATCACACCCTCTCTGTTAAAGTTAAAAAGGAGTTTTGTATGACTATTTCAGTTTACTTTCATACGAGGACTTTTTTTTTTTTGCTGGTTGGGGGATATGTGGGTTATCATTTAACCTCAGGTTTAAATGGCCAACAGAGAATTTACAGAGCAATATTATTTCCAACCAAACACGAATACATAATACTATCTGAGAACCACAGAGAATACAATGTCTTACTCGTGAGTGTGATCCTACCTTGCCTTTCTGGTTTTCTCAGAGTTGGTTAAAATGTTCCAGCCCTTCATGACTGGCATCGCACAAGCTGCCACCGGCTTCAAGATGAATGAAAGATTATCATGGATTACTTCAAGTTATACAAGGTAAGTAAGTACATCTTGCTGGCTGCCAAAATAGAAACAGAACAAACACACAACCTTAAGCATACCTTAGCCACTTTCTCAATCTCCACAAGACACATGCGACAGTTTCCTGCAACAGACAAGCGCTCATGGTAGCAGAAGCGAGGGATCTGCATCCCCACCTTCTCACAGGCCTGTGACCAAACGGAGACGCAGCGTCAACTGCGATACTGACCGTGACGGGTCAACAAATTAGCCATCGACCTTAGGTGACTGTACGCGTGAGTTCAGTCACCACGGTAACGCGTGGTACCTGCAGCACAGTTGTCCCGGGCTCCACCATGATGGGGTCCCCATCCACGAACACCTCCACGAGGTTGGTGGCGGCGGCTGCTGCTGCTGCTCCAGACAAAAAAGATTTAGAAACATCCTTTCGTTTAAATCTTCCCTGTTCATTTCACCAAAGAACCCAATTTAATGAAACCTCTGTGTTATTAAACGATGGCCACTTGGAACTATTGGCTGAACCGAGACAGTAACAGCCTGGCACCAGATGTGGTTTCTGGTAAATCTGTAATCCTGCCTATAATCCATCGGTGGAGCTAAAGTGACAAGGCTTCCGTTGCTCGAACGCAACATGGGTGTTTGTGTTGAGATGCAACATGCACGTGCGTGCGTGCGCGTGATCGGCGAATCCGCAGGTCCGTTTTGCGTGTTACCTTTGTTCGCCCTTCCTCTGACGATCGCCGCGGGAAACACGCTCCGGCTCACGACGGGAAAACGAAACATGCTGCAAAAGAGTCAACGTCACGTGTGACGCTTCAACGAGACTTTTTCACGAGACGCTCCAAAAAAAAACTGGTGCGTCACAACAGCGAGCCCGAATAACCGCAAAGCCTCCTGGCGACCCGCTAACAAGACAACAGCGGAGAAAGCAGCCGGCGTTAGTCAACGCCGAGCAGCTAAAGCACGATGCTGCCTTTCAAATAATAATAATAATAATAATAATAATAATAATAAAAAGGTCATGTATTAGTGGTGCCCTGCTAACCTGCTAACACTTGGGACACGTCATATTACGTCAGATGTAACGCGCGTTTAATTTGTCAGCTACTCAAAAAAACAGCAACAACAAAAAAAACAAGCTAACGCAAAAGGTCCGTTAGTCCCGGTTATTCTAGCTTCTTCTGCACGATGTATTACCGCGGTTACCGATACCCGCTGAGCACGCCGGTGGTCTGTCGCTTACCTGGCCGGTGGGGGGGCGCGTTCTGTCCCGGGAGACTCTCCTGCGACGCAGACGGAGCTCCGCGCGTGTTATTGTGCTGCGTCACGCTCTAAGTAATCCTCTAGAGAGGCTATAAGGATCCCAAAGGTCCGGCGTTGCTTCTCGGTCATCTGCTCGCAGTGGCTTTGAAGAACACTTGATTTAAACGACGGGGGGTGTTTGCGCAAACACTTGAGTGAAGTGATGCGGTTTCCATCATGTTGTACAGTTATTCCAGGAATTCCCATCTGCAACCTTCTAGTTTCAGACGGGATATCCAGCCACGTGGTTTCATACCAACGTGCGTGTCACCCTCACAAGTTGGACTTCACCACAAAGAAAGGACAGGAAATGGCTGAGAACAGACAGTCAGGAAATGAGAGGAAATTCACATCCTGATTGTGGTTGTTTACTTAATCAATCTTCAAATGTGGACTGTCTACACGTAAAGAATAACATTCTGACTCATTGAGTCAAACAATGTAAAGTATGCAAAGTACAAAGTATTCAACAGGATAAATTTATTAGGATATCCACTATTTATTTGAAATATATTATAACAATACATTTTTCTTAATTAGTTTAAAAAACAGCTCACAATACATTAATACATATAAAATATAAAACCGTATACAAAATACTAATGTTGACTAACAATGGTTTTATGTACCATTGCTTAAATCTAGCCAAAGATGCCTTGCATCCAGAGTACAACAAATTCAGTAGGCTAAAGTTATTTAAGACAAAAATATTACTAAATGTATGATCTTAAAATATACACACATTCTAGAAGCATTTTATGTATTTGAAGTGTCAATTCATTCTCACATAGCTGATTATTTGTATTTTATGCAGAAAACATTATCCATTTGATTATGCATAACTGTCCAAATAAAACCACCTAGGAAATAAGACTACAGCTAGAAAGAACAGCTATGCTATATCCCTCCATATTTACTGTAAACTAATTCCCCGTCTTTCCTTGACTTTTTTTCAAGGACAACTGCAGCCAGTGTGATGGTTTGCGATCATAGAGCCGATGACTCTACCGCCTCCTCTGGGACGCTGTCCGCGGGAACGTCCGGCACGGACTCCGTCTCGGTGGCAGAGATAGACTGGCTCAGCTCTCTCAGTGAACTCTTAGTTATGTCCAGGCATGCACGCTTCAGGATATGACGCACCTTTTTGCCCAGGAGCATATACAGCAGGGGGTTAATGCAGCTGTTAAAAAAGCCCAAACTGGTGGCGAGAGGAAAGCCGGCTCTCAGTATGTTGTGTAGGTAAACCGAAGAATATACGGATAACTCCATCAAGCAAAAAGTATGAAAAGGAGCCCAGCATAAAAAGAAGGCCAGAATCACTGCGAAGACCGTTCTGGAGAAGCTGGAAAGCCGAACCACGCTGCCAGATTTATTCACTCGGATTGTCAGAAGTACACCCGTCACACATATGGCCGTAAAAGGCAGCACGAAGCCGACGGAGGTACGCAGGACCACCATCGTGATGTGTTTCAGCGCCGCCGACTCTCGGTTGTGCGTGTGAAAGTTGTTGAAGCACACCACCTTGTCGTGTAGGCGCATGGTGTCGCGAAAAATCAGCGCGGGACAGCTCACGGCGGCGGCCAGCCCCCATATGTAACCGCACACCACCCAGGCCCGCCCTCTCGTGCGATACTTCTGAGACCAGGTGAGGTGGACCAGCGAGACGTATCTGTCCACGCTGAGCACCGTGAGGAAGAGCACACTGGCGTACATGTTCATCACGGACACAAATGAGTTAAGCTTACACATGACCACACCGAAGTCCCAGTGGAAGTCCTTCAGGATGTAGTCAATGTAGAAGGGGAGAAAGAGCACAAAGACAAAGTCCGCCATGGCCAGATTGAGCAACCAAACACTGTTGACTGTCTTTTTGCTTTTGAAAGCCGTCACCCAAATAACAGTCCCGTTGCCAATCAAACCCAGTACAAAGGAAATAATGTAGATGACCACCGAGATGATGTGCATCGTTTCTGTCTGCCTGTGATGTACTTTAAGCTCCTCTAGGTCTCCGTACTCCAGGTAGTCTTCATAGGTGTAGTTCCCATAGTCCTCGCCAGAGTCTTCCATTGTCGCAGGGCTGTAATCTGCGTGGGGCGCAAAAGCTCGTGATTAGATGCATTCCTGTTAAGATGACCCGTAAACACAATAATTCAAAACATCCCCGGTCCATTATGACACGTCGTCTCCCCTCACACACTCTGTGATTATGCTCGTCTGTTCCCCAGAAGGATGCAGTCGTCTGTCCTGTCCCTGATCCTCTACTTCCTCTCTTGAAGTATAGCACCGGGTGTGTCCTGAGTAACCCTGGAGCAGAATGTAAACATCCGTCAACATCCATCCGCATCAACAGTGTGGAGAGTGAGATGCCCCAAAGATGAGGCACAACAGTGTGATTCATAGGGTTTGTTATTTAAGTGCATATGGAAAAACAGGCAAATGCTGTATTGTTACGCAATGCACACTTTTTTATTTCATTGTTCATCTTTCGTTGTTACCAAAACAGCCACCGTGTGAAATGTGTTTTTCTCGTATCACCAACATGTGCATCTTTACCGAGGCTTTTTCCAAGTCAAGCCGGATTTACACCAAGTTTAAAATGACTTTGCTGTCTGAGGTGAATTTTCTTTAACTTGTGTTTACAGCAAGCTGGTTTCTGTCTGCAATGGAAATCTACTCACAGAAAGCCTATTGATACAACGCCAAGACTTTAAAACAAAAGTTTAAGTGAACAGAACAAAATCAAGATTAAAGTGTGATTATATATATCATATATATATAAATCACATCAAATATATCTCTTTGAAATTGAGATGTAATATTTCAATGGGTTGAAAAAGAGAAACCATGCCAAATCAGTGCAATCACTCAACAAAATATAATGATACATTAAAATAAAAAAACAATCATTAGTGTGGCAGTTAACAATATAGAAACACATCGGTAAGGCAAGGACTAGAAACTAAATGAACCTAAAAATGCAGAATGCAAGAAGTAGAACCTGCATATGGGAACAAGGGGTTCCTTTATACATTCAAATCTCAGTAACGTTGAGAGGGAAACACCTCACGGTAAAAGTGCCACATACACACCGTGTGTTAGAAACGTTTATCTGATCTGCAGACAGCGGCTCGCTCACCTCACGGCGCAGCGCTCCTCGCTCGGGATTCCGACCAAAGCACCGGCAGCTCCGCGGTGATGGGACGGGGTGGGACGGGATGGGACGGGTCGGTACCGCTAGCGCTTAGCCGCTTTCTTTAGCTCCGTTTCGCTGGGCCTCGGTCGTCGGTAACTTCCCCCGCTCGGCCGCCGCACTCTTTGTGCGGCGTGTGCAGTCTTTCCGTGAGTCCATCCAAACTCCTCGCCGCCGGGAGGAGACCCGCAGTGGGCGCGCCCGCCTGACGCGTCACACGCGGACCTCTGGATAGAGGGGAAGGGGGGGGAAAAATAAGTTTGTGGTCTCACGCACCGCGGCGAGGAATGCTTTCATTCGCCCGCTGATCGTTTCATAACAGCAGCAGAACGCATGTGGTGTTGATCCGCAGCGGCCCTCGTGTCCTTCGGCACACATTGCTTTAGTCAGTGCAGAGCCGCCAATGTTCACACGTCACGATGGTTCTACAAAAAGTTATTACTGTGGTTTCTTTAGTGCTCGGAGACAAGATAAGTGGTCCAAATCGATAGCATCAAACGCAAAATCAATCAACGCTCAAACTCCAACCAGCTTGGTCTTTTTTTTTAAATATTTTATTGTTATTTTACTGAAGCCTCAAACCGAGCAGAAATAACCCCGGTGACATCAGCAGAGGCTATTTTACTCAGACGAATGCACTTTCAGATCCACAGACATTAACTGTTTTCACAGGCTCAGCAGCAATGTGTAAATGACCGTTTCAAGGGAAATGGAACATTTACTTGATTAGTGTCCTTAAGTCTAAATCCATCCAAAGTACTTAAACTCTTTTATTCTTCAATTAATCTATTCGTTTTATTTGACTTCTTTATTACATCTCAGAGGCAAATTGCTTACTTCCTTTACTGCTATGCTTTTTTGCACACTTCCTGTCCAGTAAAAACCATGCCTGTGAGGGGTCAGGACTATGACTCAGGTGCAGAACAATAAGGAAACAAAAACTTCTTTCCAAGTTTGGAATCTTTTACTTGGGGAATAAACTAAACTAATGCAAGACAAAAAGGGTGCACAGGCAAAGGCGGAATTCACACGCTCTTGTAGAAACCAAAAAGGAAGAGGGCCTGGCAACGAAGTAAAATCAAGATAACCAAAAACAGCACTGGGTTTCTGACTACTAACATGCACCTCTGGGAAAGACAAAAGATAACCTGACACAGACAAGCGGGGAACTGAGGCTGAAATACAGGTGGAGGTAATTGCAAACTAAACTCAGCAGTGGGGAGAAACGAAGGGTGAGAAACTAGATACAGGAAGTGCAGTGGTTACAAAAATAAAAACAGGAAGTTAATCTTCACTGTCTCTTCGAGTCGTCACAATGCCTCTCCAAATGTGCTGATTTTATCCCAAAATCAGAACATATATCAAGTATTAAATGTTCATCTATGCATATGAACATTTATTATTTTATATATTTACATAAATGTACCTTAAATCCCCTTCATATCACAGCTGGGTATCCATTTCCAAACATGCAACCTGATTCGGGGATGTTACAGACAGTCAAAGGCACAGACATCTTTTATTTTAAAGTGGAACATTTAAAGCTTCCTGTCCTTTGATGTGTTACCCTTTACATTTTGAATAAAAAGTAAATCATGTTCACCTCATTACAACAATTGTCTATCAGTAAATTCTATTTGAATTAGCTGTCTTTTACACTAGAGATGTTTATTATTATAATATAAACAAAGTTGTCCAAACTGATGCAAGTTGGACTCAGAGAGACTTCATTTGGACTCTTGTGACCCCAAATGACCAACTCATCCCCGATTGGACCATTCAGCCCTGAGGGAGAAGTTGTCAAATCCTCCAAAAACCCTTTTTTGAGATCTGCATATAGCCCCCCAAAAAAGTCATGTCATGCACTGTTATAGTTCATGTCACACAGTCTTTTTGGAAGATATTCTGTTATTTCTGGAAGAGACTATATAGGGACTCTTAATACAACTTCACGATGGTGAATGTAGAGCATTCATATCGCCGCCAACAGCTATTAGCTCAAGATATAATGGATTATTTTTTAGGTCACTGTCCCTCGTTGAAATCTGGGCTTCTCTGTGCTTTGTTGGTTTTGTTTGTATCTGTTTTCTGTGCATGTGAGTCCTTGTGTCTGATTAGCCGCTGCGCTCATGTGGCAGTCAGCTGATAACGCCTTCCTGACCACAGCATCACTGGAAAGCATCATGGCATATCTGCAGTTCCCCCCCTCTGGTTAACCTTGTTAGCCATGTCAGCACTATCGACGCTGTTAGCATCGTTAGCCACTAGCCTATCTGCTCAGCCATGTTGAGAGCCGTGTTGAGGCAACCCCCCTCCAATCATTTGCATGATCTGATTTTCAATTTAGCACCTTAAAGAAGCAGTCAACATCATGTAAACAAAACTATTCTGCTTATTGTTGTTATTGTGTCAACAACCTAGTGGTAGAATATTTGCAGTCACTAAGCAATCCCTACCCACGTGGTGGAGATACATTATGCAATAAATGCTACCTAAAGTTAGGATCACGTGGGTTTCTACATCTTAGCTGTTTTTATACTCATAACAAACACTTTATTTTATCACGTGCGAGCGGGTCATTTCCTGTTTCTTCTCCGGCTGATGGGATTTTAAAGCCGCGCCGTCGAGGTCACCTGCGCGGGCTTCCTTTGGTCCGGGAGGGGGGGAAGGAAGGAGGGAGGGAGGACGGAGGACATCTCTCTCTGCTCACCGAGGAGGAGCCTGCAGCCCGACTTCCAGTAGCTGCCTGGCCACCGCCTTCTTTCTGCTCACCCCCTCCCTGCCTGCCTGCCTGCCTGCCTCCCTCTCTCGTCCCCCTCCTCCTCCTCCTCAGCCGCTACTGCAGCAGCCCGGTGCCTCCTGGATCCATGAAGAGAGCCCCCTGCACGGCACGTCCCCAAGCCACGATGGGCCGCGAGCTGAACACCGCGTTGATGTGTTGATATTGAGATTTTTTCAGTTATCAAATATGAATCATGCATTTGATATTTCGGGCCCCTTTGCTCGGGAGCATCCTTTCGCCTTGGCTTCATCCATCACTAGCGTCATCCGGTACGTATCGCACGAGCCTGCTGCCTCTTCTTCTTTCCTTTTTTTCCTTTCACACACTTTCATCCAATTAGAAGCCCCTTTCACTTTCCGTGTTGGGCAAAAATGAAATCCGATGATTTCCTGCAGGTGCACATCATTGTCCCCCCCCCCCCCCCCCTCCCTTCCCACTCCCTTAAAAAAAATATTTGATTTAATATGCGGCGTTTTCATGGTGCATGGTGCAGACCACATAAGCTCAGCCTCTTCTGTTCAGCAAATGAAAAGAGAGTGCTCTTTATTATGTATGAGTGGCGTGTTTGAATTAACTTCCTTTAAGTGCATGCTGTTAAATGCTTTTATATAACATTATACCTTCTGTTATCACAAGCTATTTGGATTTGTATTGGCATAATGAACCCTGCATGTATCTATCCGGTGCAGAGTTTTTTCACTTTGGAAATAAGCATATCAAAAGTAGCTCTCAATGAAATGAAGCTATTTATATTCTGCATTCTAAACCAGCCGTACGTGGGTGTCAGTGTAAGACGGCATGTAACCAATCATTCCCAACCGCGTCCGGGAGAATCGCAGTAAAGCCGCGGCCTCCTCAGTGTTATCAATTCGTTTCATGAATTAAGGATGACAGCTGGCTGTGTGTGTGCGTGTGTGTGTGTGTGTGTGTGTGTGTCAGGTCTTTCATGTGTGTACGGGGGAAATTGTCTTGCAGTTTCTCAAGGAGAAGGAGACAAGGTTGAGAAGGACGCAGTGCCAGCCCAGCTAACGCAACAGGCAACTGCCGCACCCTGCTCAGACAAACACAGGCAACCATGCGGTTAGAGCATGTGATCACCCTACCCCCTCGCGTTTAATCTACTACCTGAACGAGGACTCGGAGAGCACCTATCATGACCTGGACACCAGGGCCAAGAACCAAGCCACAGAGGGGCAGGTGAGGGCGGGACGGGCTGCCGGGTACGCGGTGGGTAGTCGCATCTGAGAAGTACCCCCATGATCATTAGCGGGAAGGTTTCAGTCACATGCAGCATGCTGTGCGGGCAAAGTTTTGAATCCAGATTCACCTGCAGAGCGTTAACAGCCGCTTCATGCGCACAAGAGCTGGAGTGATGCCAGAGCGGCCGCGTTGAAGGAAGCCACTCTTCCAGTATACCCACTGTGCATTACCATCTGCCATTCATCCGACACAGCTGTTGTCTTTGTGCCGTAGACGATGCTCAAGGTGCACTCTGGAGGGTTTTGTGTCCGCGGAGAGCTGTGGTCTCACACGTTTGCATCATCTGCAGTCCCAACTCTTTTCCACCTTGCAGGCAGTCCACCTCGCCCAGGCCAGTTTCCAGTTAGAGGCATTTGGCACGCGATATGCTCTGGATCTATCACTGAACACGTAAGTCCTTGTCATCCATTCTAACTATAGCAGATCGTGCAAGCTAAATCCATCGATTTTAGAGCTCGTCGGCCCCTGTGGTCCAGATGTTGATCTCTATGCAGTGACCGGGGAGAAGGGGGGCTGCTTTCTTTGTTTACGTCAGAGACAAGACTGCGAGGTGATCAATTAACCGAATCTCGGTGCAAAGTCACAACTCGGAATCACAATTAGCCACATTTACAGGAAGGGCACCACGTTGAAATGTACTAAAGGTTCCCTTTCATCATAACGAACCTCGAGACACTCCCAGAGTGAGTGAGTCGTCTGTCTCGCTCACGGGAGAATCTTCTGTCAAGGTCATGTTGAATGTAATGTGCAGATGGTTGAAAACATATATTTATGTGTGGGTTTAAAGCAAAGCTGTGGGAAAACATTCCCTCCACAACGAACCCACACTAATATAAAATACGGTGGCATAATGTGCAAAACATTATAGGCACGTAAAGGGAAGCTGTGATTAACAGTTGTTATTTCTTGATTTAAATGTAGAGAAAATGTTGACGCAATGTACACTTTAAGCTGCGTTAAAGTCAAACAAGTTGAACGTTTTTTAATCAATTAGAAAAAGAGTTTGCATATCACTCGGTAAGGTAAAAAAACGCCCTAATAGACAATAGTTGAAGTCTATATTAAGCCGTCAAAGTGACCGGAAACTGTAACTGACTGTAAATGTAACTCAATATGTGTCATAGCTGACACCAAATGGACCACCACTGTGATCCCCCTCTGTATATGACTGCTGTTGATATACGATATATTGATGTATTATTCTACGTGTCAGATCAGTGTTTAATGCAGCGTCAGTCACCGGTTAATGTAATTAGAGAAAGGGTAATGGAAGAGGTCAGCGCGCTAGTTTCCGGTGTGCTGAAAGCAATGTTAGTTCAGCTGCCGCAGCACAGACAGGCTGTTTAGGGTTTGGAAAACCAAAGTCTCCATCTTTAATGAGGCGCAATTGGCCTGTTTGCATGAAAACTAGAGGGGAGGCAGTTACTCCGCGGCCTGCGATCACTCTCCCCTTCGCAGACACGAGGCTCCGGACACTCAATGGTATTGATTTAATGCCTTTGCAAAGTAGCCCGTCTGCATGTGTGAAGGTTTAATATACGTGTGTACAAGGACTTTACAATGTTGATTGAATTCAAAATCCCATGATGTGATTTAGAGGCTACGTTCTGTAATATCAGTCTGTATTTGTCTGCATCGCTGAGTGTTGTTAGATGTTAAGAGTAAAACGTTTCAATTGCTGGAATTCAGTCTCCAGTTACTTTAAAAAGTAGTATCATCACTTTATCATGAACAATATATATACATATATATACAAGTTTTAGCACAATTTCACTCCTACAAAGTGCAGATTTCAGCAGCTACCTGAAGTATATCGTGTTTTTGTTTTATTGTGCATGATATCGAGAGGCTGTGGGAATTCTGAATGTGCTATTGAGCTTTTTGTTGTTGACTGTTTATTGAAGAGGTGATGCTCATGTATCAGGGAGGCCAAAGGGAGAGCCTTCCTTCATCTTCAGTGTGCGTGCCTCTCTTCACTCGGCAATGCGAAAGAAAGAAAATAAAGCAGAAGTAAAATAGACCCAAGTCAAACAACTGCGCGTCACATTTAAGAGATATGCGCCTTATTGTCAGACTTCGCGCAAACGCCACCGTAATACAGCGGCAGCTCTGTACAGCAGCGGCACCGAGGCACCTGAAAGCATGACCTTGATTCCTAGCGGTTTGCTTGTAGGTTTATCTGTGAGATACATGAGCTAACTTCAGTGTGTGGCCTTTTTTTCTGTGAGAACAGGGGGTTTGAATTCCGCTTGGTGTTGTATCTGCGACAGTACTGATCTAAATATACAAGGTCTGCATCCTGCCCAATGGCTGGCTCTTTATTCTGCAAACCTCTATCTGCCAACCTCCCAACTGTACTCTTTTTTTTGGGTATCAGAGAAGATGTTTTTCTCAGTTAAAACAACAAAAAGTGCATTTGATCGTTAGAACGTCCTCCCTCTATGCTTCGCCGCCGTCTCCCTTCCCAGATGTGGCGCCGTTGGACTCAGAGACCTGCGGGGGGGGGGGGCGGACGCGCCTTCTCAAGGCCCGTGCAGACACGGGCGCCCTTTTTAGCCGCCCTCACACGCTCACACTCGTACAAACAGCGGTACGCTCTGCGCGTGGCCCACTCTCCACGCCCTGCCTCGTCCGTCACGCTATTAATAGCCCCTCCGTCAGGGATCTCTCACACGCGTGGACTCTCCTTTTGGCAACGGTGCCCTCGCTGCTCTTGTGCCGCCGAGCATCTTACCAAAAAATGTCCCACTGATGTTCATCACTCCTACATTTTTATTTTTTCTTGTGGAAGAGGATGTTCTTTTGTGATTTGCAAGGTTACTAGGAAGAAGAAAAAAAAGAAAAAGTGCTGTTGTTGCAGAAATTGCAGGCTCTTGAAGTCAGTTGTCAGCCAACTGATTGAGTGCGTGAGATGATGAGGGACGCTGACTCAGATAGCGGGAACTGGCAGGAGGACCGCTGTGTTCAAGGTGAAGCCGAGGCCTCGAGATCATTCCTCACGTCATTAGCAGCTTTTAGACAACGAGACTTCTGTTTCTGTTCCTGATATGTGTGCGGTTTCTCATCTGGTGATGTTATTTTGGGAGATTTGAGGAAGAAACAATGTTCCCTAAATGAGTTCATGTAACGCTGTAAATGGGTTTGGAGATGATTGATTGTGATCCTCAGTTTCTCTACGATAACGCCAATTATTGAGTAGGTGGGAATCTTGTTGTCACAGTATCTTTTTGAGTAAATGCGTCATAATGTTTCCTGAGGGGAGGCAACGTTTAAAATATCCGCTGCACTTTTCGATGACTGTTTGTGCAGGCTGATCCAGGCACAGTGGTGATGAGTGCTCTTGTTTAAAACGCCAACCAAAGCACTACTCACCGCTAGTTGAAAACCACAATGTGTGAGTCAGAGAAAACAGAAGGAGAGAGAGACTATTTTTTGTGTGTTTTTTTTTTTTAATTCTCACTGCATCACATCCGCTCCACCTTAATCAACTGCAATCTCTATTTTTACAGTGACTTGCTGTCGTCGGATTACGTTGAGATCCACTATGAGGCGGGGAAACCTGTTTTGTCAAAGGTAACGTCTTTGTTGGTTGTGACTAAAATGTTAAAGCACACATCTGTTCAGTGTTCTGTGTTTCCTACAGCTGCTGTTTTTTATTTTGTCGAGTACGTTCTCGGCAAAGCAAAAGGCTTTAATACAACTTTTCGGAAATACACTTAGCAGATGTGAGTGTCGGTTTCATGTAAATGAGTTTGCTTCTCGCCTTTTATCATCAAGCCTCCTGCAAGCATAATCAAACCAACACTGCAACTGTCAAGGAAATCTTCTTTTGCAGACCAAGAAAAAGAACAAATTGTACAGGACGTAGAGACGGGTAGCTGGATGTACAGAGAAAGAGGGATAAATAGACAGACAGATTGTGATAGATAGTTTGGTAGGTGGATTAAAATACGTGATTTTCATTGAACAGAGGAAAAGAGGCGATAAAGAGGGGAGGTAAAAAAAGAGGTTGGGAGCGTAGAGCTCGTTCCGGCTGCTGCTGCTGATTCAGGCACAGGGGCTGGGCGCGCTGTAGCTGAATCAGCAGGGTTTTGCTCTCCTGCAGCCTCCTGCTGGATCTCTGGTCACGTGACGAGAGAGAAAGCCTTCTGCGGTATCAGTGCAGTGTGGGATGGGTGAGGAGAGCGAGGCAGCGAGGGGGGGGGGGGTGGATGTCCTCTGCTCACCCTGCATCTGACAGCTGAGTCACAGATAGTGCCAGGAGCCACCTCTGCAATGTTTTCACTTCACATCTTAACGAGCAAAGAACCCCTGCCGAAATATTTTTGCAAACGTACCCAAATTGGCATCTGCGAGCCAAGCTGCTGCCTCTGAGATGATCGAGAAAAAAACGCTTAATAATTGAGTGAAGAAATACGACACTTTCACCGTGCAAAGGTGAACCCGAGTCGTCGTACACTTTGGTGGGATTCTAGCGGGTGATGCTCCTCTAGGTGTAGCTGGGGTTTGCTGTGATGCTACATTAGCGCTGTGCCGTCTTCCCTCAGGGCGGTGAGCACTGTTACTACCACGGCCAGGTGAGAGGGAACGATAACTCCCGCGTGGCCTTATCCACCTGCAACGGGCTGCAGTAAGTGAACAGCGGAATTGTGTGCGATCCTCGCCGCGTTCAGAATAATTCCGGATACACTCATCTCTGCTCCTCAGCTCCTATTGACTCGCTATCGACTGCCTTTCTCTCTCTTTTCTGCTCTCTGTGCAGTGGGATGTTTGACGATGGAGTCCATGTTTACCTAATTGAGCCCTTACAACAGACTCATTCTATCGTAAGTTATAACCAAAATATGTACTGTATCATACAAAGGTTTTACACCATTCACCCCCATCACACGTGCAAAACAACCTCTGCTGTCCCTCATTACATTAGTACATTAGCTGAAGTACCATTTTGCCCAATTTGAAGATGGTTTAAATGCATTTGTTGTGTTATTTTTGTTGTTGTCCTGTTACATTGTTTACATGTATTTGTTCTTAGTAGTAGTTGTGGGCGGGACAATGTGGTTGAAATAAATATCAAGATATTGTTAAGGATGTTCATTATATTGTATTGATTTCACTGTGCATCGTGATATCAAATATCAACAATTTGCCTGTATTTCCTGGACTTCATGTTGTCACTGCATCAGGCCCAGAAATAGACTGGAATTTTCTAAACTTGTTAACTTCTAACTTCTTTGCTCGGCTAAACGTTTATAACCATGTTTCAGGTCTTTACGTTAAATCAACCAGCTTTAGCTTTATTTTCCACAGACCGACTTATGGGTCCTCAATCTGTTGGCAGTTAACACTTGTTTTCTTTACCCGTGCAGGATTCAGCTGCAAGGCCACACAAACTAAGAAGAAGCCTTTCCCCTCAGTGGGACAATGATTCAGAGGAACAGGGTCAGTGTTTCCTTCCCCTCACATTGACCCCAAGCGTGTTCTCCACAAAGCACACCAGCATGGCAACAAGTAGTTATTCCTGGGGTTGTATAGCAGAGCTAAAACACAATAACAATAACTTTTACAGCTTCATGTTGTAAGTTTGGAATAGCGAGAAGGTGAATACTCACTCAGGAATGAATTTAATGATGCTAAAGAGTGATGTCAATGGTTTTTTCTTCATATTTTCACAAAGTACAGAATGTTTTGTTACACCCACTTCTTCCATTTTGCCGTGTTGGGTGTATCTTCTCTAGTCTAGCTTGTTTACTGTGCTTAATGGCGAATTTAGGGAAATGACTTGAGATTTTTTTTAAGGAAAAAAACAAACTTAGAAAAACACCACCCTGTGGGCTTGAACTCACAGTGGAGGTGTACACGGCCCAGTTGTAAACATGCGAGTTGAAATGTCACTATTTCCTTGCGTGGGTTGATAGTCGAGGAGGAGGAGCAGCTCTTCTCCGAGCTGGATGACTTGTCCTGGCTGAAGCGCAGGAAAAAGCGAGCAGTAAGTCCCTGATCTCACCTCTCTCGACAGCAACACGACAAACAACAAAAGTAACATTACTTCACCAGATGTGTGGTCTTAATCGACTAATAAAGAATACAATCCACTTCCTGATATTAGCTTTTGTTTTGTATTTGGCAGATGCCTCGGAATGTATTTGAGGAGATGAAGTACTTGGAGATCATGATTGTCAGTGACCACAGTATGGTATGTAACCGGCAGGGTCCCATGCAAATAACACATTAATATTTCAGACCTTCTCTGCTTGTTTCCTCCACAGGAGGGAGCCATGAATTCAGCATATTACTCTGAGTGAGCACCATCAAATCACTGCGGCTGGTTTATCTTTGTACTCTTTCGTCTGTGCCCGCAGTATAAGCGACACAAGACCAGGCAGCACACGAGGAACTTTGCCAAGTCGGTGGTGAATTTTGTGGATGCTGTGAGTAAACTGCTTAGTTACTTAAGTGCTACCCAGCAAATGATACCATGCTCACATACTCTACTAATATGGTGAACTTTAGTAGCGGGTTTGCACCGTTAATACGATTTTGACTATGTTAGCATGCTGACATTAGCATTCCAAGCAGCTCTGTTCTTATGTAGAGCCTCACAATGCTGAAAGAAGAGCTCATACACTCACAAAAGAATTATTGGAATATTTTTTCTGATGATTTGACACTAAGGCCGAAGGAGCATTTCAATGTTTCAGTGGTGGATGTGAAGCACATTTGTCGTTTTGAGTTCAGCGGAATATAACATTTCACCCATGATAAGGCAGCCTTGATGTTCCATATGCACAACACACTGAGCAAATATGTCCTTACAGTGTGAACATATTGATTAGTTGCTGATGACAGCCGAAGTGCTTCTCTTGTGTCATAAGTGCATCGCTGTAAACCTGAGTCGGGCCCCGTGCTTGTCTTATTGTCAGTATTGTGCTGCTGTTTGCACTCGTCGTGTGTATTAACACTCCGTGTTCCTCCTTTTCCCCAGTGTGCCGCATCCCCTCATCTGTCCTCCTCAGACAGTACAGATTCAAATTCACACCCAGTGTTGTTCTCCTCTCCCTGTGCTGTTGCTGCTCTCCCGCTCTCTGCATCTCTTTCTCTCTCTGCCTCTCTTTATTCCTCCCATTCACTGCGCGCTTCCATGGCAGATCTTCAAAGAGCAACTACATACACGAGTGGTGCTCGTTGCTGTGGAGATCTGGACGGACAAGGACCAGATCCCCGTCAGCGTGCGGCCGCTGGAGATGCTGCGGGATTTCTCCAAGTACCGACAGCAGAGCATAAAGCACCATGCCGACGTCGTGCACCTCTTCTCGTAGGTTCTCATTTAAATTTGTGTTTGCATCACCCTTAGGTGCATCTTCTTTACTAATATTGATTATAAGTCAGGATTTAGTGTTTATTTTCAGTAATATTCTTAGAATTTTTAGCTTTTTCTTCAATTTGATTGCTTTTAATGTTATTTACATAAAACAGGTAAATGTATTATAGTATAGTTGCCATTTTATTTATCCGTATTGGACGTGTATTTGGTTATAATATAAAGATTGGGACATCGAGATGATATCTATGCAGCCATGTCAGAGCTTTAGCTCATGGGTTGACATTATATTCTCTTTGTACGTCTTTGTATTTAAATAGCACTGTGTCTTCAGGAGTGAATATTCCATCACACGTATTGGCTACCTATGTATTCCCATGTGGACTTCCTTTCCTTCTTTTGACATCTGTTCCCGTCTCCCTTTCTGTCTTCCAATCGTTCTTTCAGAAATGTAACTTTCCACTATCGCAGAAGCAGCGCGGCCTACTTTGGAGGCATGTGTTCTGTGAGCCGAGGAGTAGGGGTCAACGAGGTCAGGCTTTCTACCTTAACACTGTGCATCACATCACGAGAGTGAGCGCGGGTGAATAATCCCCGGTCTCTGCTGTGCCAACAGTACGGCACCAGCTGGTCCATGGCGGGCTCCCTGTCCCAGAGCCTGGCTCAGAACCTGGGCATCCAGTGGGACCCGGCCTCCAAGAGAAGTACACACCACATACACCTGGTCATCTGCTAGCTGGTATAGATGAGGGCCGAGCTGTAAAAAAACAAATTTAGCTCTCAAGCCTTAGATGGTTTTAGATTTATCGTACTTTAGACAGGACTGTCGAGTGAATGTATTTTAATTTGCCGATGGATGAAAATAGATTCCACTATTCTATTTCCACTTCTTTAATGTTTGAGTGGTTTTCTCAGATTTGATCTTAGTAGTAGTATAGTGTATATAGTGTAGTATAGTGACTGTAGGACAAAAGCATGGCTTTTGGCTGAACTAAACTGTCTCTTGTTAATTCTTACATGTTCCAGAAGAGACAGATGGAGAGATGCTCTGATTTTATAGGCAAAAGTGGGGCAAAAGTAGACTTTCAGTCAGGCTTGAAGTAGGGTGATTTATGCCAGTTAGTTTTGCCATTAGAGGCAGGCGGAGTAGAACAGCTGACGTGGTTGAAGCTCAACCATCAGTGAGATTTTTTTTATGGTCCCAGAATTGGTAAAAATTATAGTTATTGTGCTGGAGATTAGGCTCTAAACACACTGATCATTTCTCACTGAGGGAATAAAGTCAAAGTTCACATATTGCATTTCATGCTAGTGTTGAATAATGTGTCTATTTCCGTCGTTCCTCTCACAGTCTGTTTCTGTGTTTTTTCTTCCCTCTCTTTCCTATTTCCAGAGGAATGTGGTTGTGTTGACTCGTGGACTGGCTGCATAATGGAGGACACCGGGTAATGTCCAACATACCCCTGAGACACACACACACACACACACCGGAAAGAGGGATGGCGGAACAATTATAGATGCTTGTTTATTGTCACCTGCATGTGTAATCACCTCTCTGGGAGTGCGTGGGAATGAATGCAGAACTGGTAGATAAATGTTCTGTTTTGACCTCGCTGATTATTCACAATCTCCAGTGTCAACCCTCTTTTGTTAAACAATTCCTAAGCAAACAGTAAAAGAATAAACTGTTCAGTGCATGTGAATACCAGATGGTCATTATGCTCTTATTAACTACTGGTATGTGATGATATTGGAAGGGGAACTTTATACATAAGTTTATCCTCAACAGAGCGTCCATGAAGGCATTTCAACGCTGCTCTTTTCTTGAATAGTAATACATTGTTCTGTTCTCATACACCGAATTGGGCTTTCATCTGCTCCAATTGCTCTATTCTTCTTCTGTGTGTGTGTGTGTGTAAAATATCATCTGATTTTGAAAGCCGCTCATCACACAGCATTTCGAACCGTGCTTCCGTGATGGTGAGTCGGCCCTTTTGGTTTATTATCACCTTGTGTTCTCACTCTCTTCAGGGTCCAACACCCACGCAGATTCTCCAAATGCAGCATCTCAGACTACAAGGAGTTCCTGTTGAAAGGCGGAGGCTCGTGTCTGTTCAACAGGCCAACCAAGGTGAGACTCTCACAACTCTGGCCCGACCGCCACGAGTCGCGCGGCCGCTCCGCTCTCACCTCTCTCACCGCGCTCCTGTCTTCTCCCGTTAGCTGTTCGAGGCCACAGAATGCGGTAATGGATTCGTGGAAGTGGGAGAGGAATGCGACTGCGGCGCTAGAGCAGTACGTTTTTTCTCTTTTACTCCGGAGCGTCGGGCCCGTTTGTTGTCGTCTGTTCGTCGTGATGCATGAAGCTCTTTTGCCCGTTTATTCTCAGGAGTGCTACAAGGACTGCTGCAAGAAGTGCTCCCTGGCCAACGGGGCGCACTGCAGTGATGGCCCGTGCTGCAATAACACATGTCTGGTATGACTTTTCTTCTTTTTTTTTATTTCTTTAAGTTTCACAGAACTAATTATTTATTTAAGCCTCTGACTCGTATCTTCTCTCCTTTTCTTGGCAGTTTTATCCACGAGGTTACAGTTGCCGCTACGCTGTGAACGACTGCGATATCTCAGAGACCTGCTCCGGGGACTCTGGACAGGTGTCCTTGAGTTGAACTGAACATTTCATTACATTTATTTTAGCAATTCCTATCTAATGTTCGTGGTGTTATTTTTTTAATGTTTGCAGTGCCCTCCCAACCTTCATAAACAAGATGGTTACTACTGCCAGGTGAACAAGGTAGGTACCAGGTGACATCAAACAAGCAGTCCTGCTTCAGAATATCAGATTAGTAGACTGAAAATGTCTTCACCATCTTCTTGTTTCCCTTCCTGAAGGGACGCTGCTACACCGGAGAGTGCAAGACAAGAGAAAACCAGTGCAAATACATCTGGGGCTCAAGTAAGACGAACATTCCCTTGGCTCGCATTAGTTCATATCAGAGTATCAGCCTACGGAGATGCTGCATGAAGATAGACTCGCTGTAGTCAGTGCCGCGCACCTCACGCACCTTCTCTTCACCTCAGAGGCCGGAGGTTCGGACAAGTTCTGCTATGAGAAGCTGAACACAGAGGGCACCGAGAAGGGCAACTGTGGAAAAGATGGAGATAAATGGATCCAGTGTAGCAAACAGTGAGTTTTGAAGAAAGACAAATTAGGTTACCAACATATGAGCATGACAGTACTTTATTCTTCTACATGGACCCAGGGCTTTGTTTTTTCCTTATGTTATTTTATTACTGACATCACAGGAGATTAATAAGGTTTTGAAACCAACCAGTAGAGGGCAACAGAGGGCATATTGTCTGCACTGTTTTTACAACCTACTCAAAATGATTACTGTTAAGGTTTCGGAAAGCTCTCGAGGGAGGCTTCAATCCTTTGTTCTCGTCCCGGCCGGAAACGAGGACACGAATGAGTCAATTCGTTTAAATTCACAAATCAAAAGTTATTTAATAACTGAACAACGTTATAAGGAATGCAATTACAAAGTGAAATACTAAGCGAACAGTGGAATATTTCGCGAAATAGAGAATCCTCTGAGCAAGTCTAAAGTGACTTTTCAAGGCGGCTGCAGGTCAGATTCCCCAGTCTTTTTCCCCGCTTTGGTCCTTTGAAAACTCTTGAGGTGTGTCTTCTTTGGTGCATTTGAATGTCATTGGCCTCTTCTCCAAAGGGTCACCTCCTCCATTGTCCCTTCCACGTCGAGGTGTGAATCTGCAGCTGTAACCTGAAACCTCTCTGTCCTAGCTGTCCCTCACATTCCAATGCACTCAATGTAGACACAGTTGGCTTTATGCCCCAATGAGTGAATTTAACAAAGCATACATCGTTTAAGTCTTCATCTTATAACTAGTACACTTTCATTACAACAACCCATCATTAATGATCACCGTTCATCACACTTCATCATAAGATCTAAAACAGTTCATGTGGTTCAATTCTCAAGACATTTGCCTCAGTCGGCTGCCTTACATTAAGTTGTTCATTTATTACCTGACAGGAGAAAAAACTCCCAAAAAACCCTCTTTGGGGATAAAATTGGAAGAAATCCATAAAGAACGGCAATTGGCATCCGTCCCCAGGTTTTAACATCACATTGTGACAGAATGTTAATGTGTACAGTGTTTATATGATTAACATGACTATGAATTGTGTTTGATTGAAATTGCATTCACTTCATCTAACATGTTAATGTAATAACTAATATCTAACATCACACAAACTATAATTCTAACACTAAACATTATTACACGTACTATAATTTCCTGACTAGGGGTGCACTTCTGGCTTAAATCCCTAACATTACGTCTTTTTTCAAGCTTGCACGCTCAGCCCACTCCGATTTTTATTTGCAGCATTGTGTTTTGTCAGCAACGCTCTCTAAATACGTTCATGTTGATCTCCAGGGTCTAAAGGAATACCTCACCATTTAAATAGTAATTTACATATCAATCACTCCACGCAAGTTTCCTTGACACTGAGCCTGAGCCTCACCTTGTTCCCTGGGTGTCTTAAGCCTGAAAGGCTCTGGGTGGGTTGAATACGTGGAATAAAGTTTAGGCTTTTAGAGGAGGGAAATCCTGACAAGGCAAACTTACATTGAATGGACGATTGGCATCTGCACAGACTTCTCTCTGTTGTATTTTGCAGTGACGTGTTCTGTGGTTACCTTTTGTGCACCAACATCGGCCGCAACCCCCGCATTGGCATGATGAAAGGAGAAATCACCCTGGCCTCCTTCAACCCTCAAGGCAGAATGGTAGACTGCAGGTAAAGACTTGAGAGTTCTACCACATTTTTCACGAGCTGTCCATGTCCTGGGAACTTTCCGCTGTGCTCCGTGCCTGGTTTATTCTCCCATTGCATGAGCCTTTGCTCCCTCCCCCTCTTTCCGTCTTTTTCTCCCCCTTTCCGTCCCTCCAACCTCTCTTCACAGCGGGGGCCACGTCCTGTTGGATGATGAGACGGATCTAGGCTACGTGGAGGACGGGACTCCGTGCGGGCCGTCCATGATGTGCCTTGACCGAAAGTGTCTGCCAATCCAGTCGCTCAACATGAGCACCTGCCCCAGTGGACCTAATGGACAGGTGTGCTCTGCCCATGGGGTGAGTCCGCTTACCCTCAATTTACACTTTCGGGAGGATCCTACATTCTACCGAGCGTAGGTAGCTAAATGCCGGCGGAGACACGCTCACATTAGGAAATGTAAATACTGAAATAACGATGCCCTAATTCCATTTAGCTGCTCCTGTATCGGAGGTTTTGTGCATGGGGGCCTACTGTCATGGCTCACTGGGACACTTATAGAACAGACCTATTGTTAATGTTATGCACCTGTTCTGTTCCTATTATGTCAAATCAAGATGTCGGCCGTGAGCAGGAGCCATTAGCTTCCAGCGCGTTGTGGTTCATCGAGCCATTGTTGTGTAATTCAATCAATCAGATTAGGTTCTGTCTGTAGACTGTCTCTGCTGCTGTTAGCATAATTAAATCAGCTTCGAATAAGCAGCTGTCCCGGCTCACAATTCCTTTCTAGAGCTGTAATATAATTAATCTCTTACACTGTCGTAGGTGTCTAGGTGGGAGCCTTTGTTAACTGTGGATGAGCAATCCAGATGATTCCCAAAAAGTATCCCAGCGTATCAGCACAGCTTTTAAAATACCCTTGTCGCCTCATCTATTTTTGTCTGATCTGTACAGGTGTGCAACAACGACGCCGCGTGCACCTGTGACACCACCTGGGCAGGGACAGACTGTAGCATGCCTGATCCTCCTAAAGAGCCTGAGGCCACTCAGGACGAAGGACCCAAGGGTCGGTTTCCACCTCCTTCAACCTCTGCTGTCTGACAGAATAATAACCCACGTGTCAATGTGCACTGATCTAATTTAGCCAAGATTCACGCTGAGTTATATTCCGTATATACGTTGTTGTCATCGTCAGTCGCACTGTTAGATCTGAGTCTGCACACAATCCTACAGGTGTACCGGAGTCACAAAGACGCTGCATGTAAGATGGCGACTGCAGGAGAATGAAACAACAGTGTTACATTTGTTCCGATTTTAGAAGATGAAATGAACACACAGCTCAAGTTGTACACCTGACACTTCTGACCACAGGGGGGACGGATGAGGTGGTTAAGGGCGATGGGAAGCGTCACAGAGGGAACCGCGTCACTTCATCCATGACTCTGAAGCAGAAGCCTGCTGTTTGTTTTTGACAGGGTGGTAATAACGCTCCTTTTCCCTCTGCACAGTGAGCGTGGCCACTAACAGGCTGATAGGGGCAGTAGCAGGGACCATTCTGGCCCTGGGGGTGATTTTTGGAGGCACAGGGTGGGGAATAGAGTAAGCATCTTTAACCCTTTCACAGCTCTTTCCTCTCATAGTGGTGCCTCAGTGTGCGGGCGGTCTCGTGAGCCGGCCTGAGCCCGTGTGTGCGTCCCGGTGGCTTTGTGTTTTCTTGTGTGTTGGTGATGACCATATAATTGTCACGTGATTGGATGTATTCAGTGTTGTGTGATTGATTGATGGACTCCTCCTCCTTTTCCTCCCGTTGTTCCCCATTACTACGAGCCTCTTTCTTCATCCTCCCTCTTCTTCCTGTGGTCCCTTTTCTTTCTCTGATTCTTAGTCGTCATGTGGTTGCTCCTGTGATCCTCTCCTTTCTGGGGCATGTGGGGCATTTAGATGGAAAACAGTCCCGAGAAATGACCAGTTAATCAGCTGGCTGGTCAGACAGTGGTAGGCTGTGTGGTGACTGGGAACGCGTAAAAACATTTCTACTGCTCATACTGCAGACCACATATAAATCTCAATGCTAATCTCTGGTTGATTAAACCTTTATCGTGATGGATAACCACGGTCTAGTCTGGTCTGCACAACCCAAACGGACAAACCACTGATAATCACTACCTCAGCTGACACCAGATACATGTAAAGACTACATTATCCATGTTAACACTAAAAGGGGGCATGCAAACTAAGATACGGTCATTTTGCTGTAACAGTACTTATGGTTATGTTTTTTGTTCCATGTGAAATCGTCATTGTACAGTTACATGTTATTTACACAGTAAGTGAGTATAGAAACTCATGTTTTTTTCCCCATAACCCTTTACAGGTCCTAGTGCCACCAATCTAATAATAGGCTCCATCGCCGGAGCCATCCTTGTGGCTGCCATAGTGCTGGGGGGGACTGGATGGGGCTTTAAGTAAGCAACGCGCCGCATGCCTCTCCTGCTGTAACTCTAGCATCCATGCTGCTTCTAGACACCAGGGTTTGAGATCCTGCTACAGAATATGGACCCCAGGGTGGACAGTACACAAACGCATGCTTAACACACACCTGAACTGCTCAGCTTGGTCCGGTGTGCAGTCTTGGTTTTTGTAGAAGGGTGATCTGGAGAGACTCTGGGCTCCATGTGCGGCTTTGTGTGTTGATCTGTAGCAGAACCTCAAACTGATTGGACGGGCAGAGCTTACGCTTGACATGCATGTTGAGTTCTGACAACAGAGGAGGAAAACAATAATTGCAATAATAGCGTAGTGATAATTTTAAAAATCTATGCTTGTGTTGATCAGTTAAATTCTTATATCCCCTCTGAAATGCAAAGAGAGACCTCTAGCATCTCTGTGTAGCCAGTAAATGTACTTTATTGTACAATAAATACATACTGCTAATTAGCTCGCCGTCTTGAGCAACAGAGGTGTTACACATCTTAATAAGCCTAAAAGATAGCTGACAATCCTGCAGCAACCAAAGCATGCCAGGTAGCAAAGCATCATGGTCTTCACCTAAACATGCAGGAAAAAAAATGCGGAAGGAAAACAGCAAAACATTTCTGCACGTTAACCTGTTGAATTTGGAGGAGGTCAGTTCATTGCACAAAGGCTGAGCCAAACCCAGATTGATCTGGTCCCGGGTCCTCATGCTCTCATCACCTCCATGATCTTTTTCTCAGTCCGTTACTCCTTGAGGGGTGAGAGACTTTAAATGGAGTTGGTGAGAGCGACACAGAGACAGAAGCCAGGACCCCTTTTTGTTGGCCACAGCCTTTGTGCCTTGGCTGGCCACACCCACCTGAGATGGCCAGGCTCCGCCCTAGAGCGGAGCAGGATTCTCGGACCCCGCCCACACCGGCTGCCATTGCTGCCTGCTTCACAGACCTGGTACAGACACGGCGCATTCCACTGCATGAACCACGCACAACAATAGTGCCACCTTCGAGTGGCCTACTGTTGGAACCGGTGCATGACGGAGTGATAGAAGACCCACAACAAGCCACAGCACGGGGAGGTTGTGCATCACTCTTGTTGTCGTATTGTTGTCGTCCCACTGTTGTGGTAGTTATTGTTGCTGCTGCTGCTGTGGTTGGTGTTTATGTGGTTGTCTCCTTTTTTCCCCACTTCTGTAGAATATATTTTATGTTTAGCTCTTTCCTCCCAGATTGTTATGTTTTTTAGTGGAACTAATGTCTTTCCCATCCAAACTGGTAATGAGACTTGACTCCTACACGTCTTCATCTTGTACAATGATGTTGCACGCACAAACCGGTCGGAGGTTGCCTGGAAGAGAAGAGATTTATATTCATCGACCTTAAAATGAATTTCATTTGCTCAGTTAAAAGTGGGTGAAAGTTTTCATGTAGGTCATTTTTATCCGATGCCAAGTGTCACAAATTGTGACAGAGAAGGAAATATGAAGTGAAATGGATCCTAAATGGAAATGGTTTTCATTATGTTTATCATAGGGTCGATCAGCATGAATTGGAATGTTGAGATTTGCGAATATAAATACCTCTGACTGCCTCTTAACAGTCACGGCCAAACTGGCTCAACACGGACCTCCCTTTTAATCCTTCTTGGTAAACCTTGAATAACAATATAACCGTGGAGATTTTTATTTCATTTCCTACTCTTGAACATAACAAGTCATGAAGTGTCATTGGCAGTGATGAGTGTGGTTGCTTGTTCAGGTTGCACTGGCTGTGAAACAGACGTGATTACGCCGCACACTGACTCCTGTTTCTTGTCTCTATGTAAGAAATGTGAAGAAACGCCGATACGACCCCAACGCTTCAGCCATTTAACCCGGGGAGAGAGGGCGATCCCAGAAGGACTCCTTCAAGGCTTCCCTAGTTGGCTACCTGACAGCTGGACTGCACTTATTGCTGCTGATCCTCGGCATTAGATTTACTTGAAAAAGAGGACATATAGTGGACATTTTAACAAACTCCATCGTAGTGACGTTAGACAATGCAGCCTTTTTCGACTCCACCTCACACATATAACAACCCCTCCCTCCATCCTCCCACTCCGATCTCTAGAGCGACAGCGCTCCTCTTCCATCCTTTAGTGCCAGTGCACAGGCGTTCAGGCGGAATCCACACCACTCTCTCACCTGGACATGACTTTCCGCACAAAAGCGTGCTGCTGCTGACCCCCTGGCATGAAGAGCCCTCTCTGCAGGACTCTGCATGGCTACGAAAGCTATACCGCAAACACATACAGAGAAGGAAGATGGAAAAAAAGGACTTTTTGAATGCAGGGGTAGCCTTGTTAAAAACCAAACCCAGGGAAAGGCGGTTAAAGCTCCTCTAGTTTACGTTTGAGGGGCTGTAGATGAGTAAGGAGGCTGCATGTGAGGACCTATAAGGGCAGTGCAGACCACCTAGCGAATGCACACACACAAATTGTACATAAATGAAGAGTTCAGGTTTGGAAAAGCAGCATATTTTTCACTTTTTTTTAAATCTCAGCATGTTGTATAGCGGGTGTTTTTGGCAATGTTCTTGACCAAAATTGGGTTTTGAGCCAAAATTGTAATTGCGTGCCGCACATCCTCCGGCCGTGGTCCGGCCTGAGGTCGGATTCAGCGCACAGAGTAACCACGGTGGTCGAGGAGAAGCATGTCAGTGATCCAGACTGACGTCGCCTCTGATTAATGTCACAAGAACCCCCCCACCCCTCCCACCCTCTCCTCACTCCTTCCCCGCTCCCGGAGTATCTTCAACAGTAACTCAAAAGCCAAAGAACCAATCACCTGAACATATGGATGTTGTTGCACACAGAGCACTTTCCCCTCTGTCTGCAGCCAGCGGTGCCTCTCCGACTGCTGAGGGCATCACGTCGGTCCGAGCAGGCGCTCACCTGTCCAGCCAGGTCTCGTGTAACAGTCCTCATCAACACCCACTATACTGGCTTAACCTTTTTGCTCTCATAAACTCTTAACCAAGTCCGGTAACACTGCATGCATTCACTATAGCGGGCTTATAATTCTATATGGAAGTCCCCAAAATCTGCAAGAAAAATACGCTTCAAAAGATAGGTGCATGTCAACAACAAAAACATTTAACTTTTATTTACTATGCAAAGAGAGATATCGCACAAACGTATGAGTATATTAATGTCAACGTAGACATGGAAGTACAAGAACGTTCTGCTAATCAGCCAATCTTTTGTATTTGGCCGAACCTTCGTCTGGTTTCACTTTGCTTCAGCGTACTCAAACCATGAATGGACAAGTAGAAAAAAAAGAATGAATTAATATTCCCAAATGAAAAGCAAGAGAGCACCCTTTTACATTTGTGGAACTGAAAATATTTTTTGTGTGTTTTTTCATCCGGTCTGATATTTTTAATCTCACACATGCACACGCACGTACACAAACACACTGTATGGTGCCTGTACATATCGAGGCCTGGACAGTTTTCTTGTGCAGGGCTATTATTTCCCATCCAGCGGATAGTTGGTGTGTTTCCAGGTGCTGCCATAGCACTGGCATCGTTGTAATCCTCCATGTTACTCCTCATCCGGTGTCCCTCTCTCACTGCATCATGTACATTTGGACCGATGAATAAACTACTGACAAATTTTATACAAGCGTCTCTGGGTTTTTCCTGCCGAATCAGCATAACATTTTTATTTGACTTTTTTTTACGATTGACTATAATATTTTTTCGTTACATTTAAACATAGATTAGTGTGGAAGACACTTTAATATATATTTGACGGATACATATATTATCGTGCTTCACATCATTCATGTTCTGAGGCAGTTTTGTTACTTTAAGCCTCTTAACAATCACATATTCACAAAACAAGTCATTTTGTAAAGCATAGATGTTATAAAGTTATTTGACATTCTGGGAAATTATTTTCATTCTTGCAGAGAGTTAAATGCTGAAATTAATATCACTCTCGAGTTTCTAGCAGGAATATTGTGATGAGACAGCGCCAGGTTAAGTGTTTGTGGTAAAGTTAAGTTCAGGTGTACTTAAGTGGCATTGATCCCCAAATCTCACTACCTGCAAAAAACAGAGGGGAATGGGGGACTTCTTAATGTCAAATCAGTTAATTAATCTCTTATTCCCTGCTTACCCCGGGTCAGGTCACGTGGGGCTGTGCGTCTCCCCAGCAATGATTTCCAACTCTTCCTTGGTGACCTGGTGTTCCACGGCCGTGGGCTTTGGGAGAGGTAATCCATTGGATGTTTCTACGTGTTAGTTATATATATTTTTTGAAATTAAAGGGTTCTTAATTCATGTTTATGCATTAACAAGACCAAAGCCAAAGGTATTGAGCGCTAACGCTAGGCCACATATACGGCACGGGTTGATGGAGACAAGGAAAAAGTGTCTAAAATAAAAAACACATGTTTGTTTAACTATGCAAATGTTCAAGCAATTATTTTGAGGTCATTACACAGCAACTGTTATTTTTCAATGGTTTCAGTTGATATTTTAAATGTTTGTGGCTAATCTTATGGTAAAATGGTATATATGTGTCCATCAAAAGTTAAAGTTCAGGAAAGAAAACATCCAATGGCGTAAATGAGTATAAACAATTATCCTCTTATCATTAGTACAAAGGATTAAGAACTTGCTTTTTATTAAAACATAAAGTAAGCATGTGCACATAGTGTTCTAGGTTGAGTGCTGATCTGAAACCTTGATGAGCAATGTGTGGTATACGAATGTCTTTCCCTCATAATGCTGACTAAAAAATACCTGTAGATAATAATAATAATAATAATAATTTGAATAATGTTCCTGCATCTCTTCCGGTCTAGAACTCCCCCTAACACGACATTTTGTGAATATGAATCTGAAAATGGTTTTTCTTTAATCATTATAATTTAGGCTTTGCAGTGGAAATTGTCCGCTTCCTTTTATCATTAGAAGACTAAATGAATGGGTAAGAAACCTTCCCAGTACCTTTAGCGTTGGCTTCCCCCTGAAAAGGTGATAACATTTGAGATCAGGTATGCATGTGACATTTAAGTAAAAGCATATAATGTAACTCGTGCATCACTCTCTAAACTACCTTTCATGACTCAACTTGTTTTTTACAGAAAGCAGAACCACCCAAGACTCTGACTCAGATTCCTTTTCCTTTCTGCAGACGCTTTATCTGAAAACTCTTCAGAATGATTTGGGGTATACATTAAGCGAAATACGCCACTGCCTTAAAGCTCTGAATGTGTCACATCAGAGCCAAAAAAATATCGCAAGAATCAAAAGCAACAATTTGGTTCATATGGCAGAAGCCTGAAACCAGGAGCTCTGAAGCACCTTAACAGAAAAAAATAAAACATATATATTTACTTGGGAAGAATCCTAAACAGCAGAAACATTAATAAATCATTAAAATGTTGTTACGTTCAAGCAGTATAACCTTTGTATTTAAAAACAGAGTACACAAGTACTGCTCACAAAGGAGGGGGGCATTGACGTCAATTAGGACCCAACAGATATTTACCCTGCTCCAATCAACACCAGTCTTGGTAGTCGGCCCAGCTTTGGTGGTAAGTCAATTTAATTTCCTTACTGCACTTTATTAAGACTTTTATAATACTTTTGTATTCTTATACATGTTCTTATATTCCTCTGCTATTTAATATTTATTACAGATATTTGCTACAAATAGTTTGGTGTCCTTTACGTTTCTTGATTAAGGACTTATCTGCAGAAGTGTCATCATTTTGATTGCAGGGTGAATTATTACTATTATTTCTGAATTGCATTACGCTTAAAACACCAGCATTAAATCATCTTAATGGTATTTCCAAAAAAAGAAAAGAAAAGACAAATAGTTTTGAAAGACGCGCGTCATTGTTTGTTGATCGGTTTTATTAATGAATGAATCCACGATGACAATCAAAGGAAAGTTGTCCCCCGTCGCGTCGTCTGCAGATGGTCCCACATCTCGTGCACGCACCTGTGGCCACGGTGTTCGTGCTGAGCTGCATGTGCGCCGTGCCGCTGCACGGCCACCGGCCGCCCGACGTCGACCCGCTGGCGGCCCCCCGCTCCAACCCGCAGTGCTGGGACTCCTCCTCGGCGCTGCTGCTGGAGATGCGCTCCCCGAGGATCGCCGACACCGTGCCCGCCTTCTGGGACACGATGCTGCTCCTCAGGTCGTCGGACGACGGCAAACACACGGCGCTGTTTTGGGACCTGGCCCGGGTCTTCTGGGACCTCTATCTGGACTGCGTGCTGTCCGCGAGCCACGGGCTGGGGCGCAGACACATCCCCGCTTTGCACTCCGTCATCACGGATGGTAGGTGGTGTTCCTCTTCGTGTGTGACGAGTCAAAGTTTTTATACCCGCAGCTAATGTCGTTGATGTCTATTTTTATTCATGTATTAGTGCACAGTCAAGTAAATATATAACACATTACAATAAAATGTAATGTGGCATTCAATGTAATTGTGAGAGTTGTAGTTTTGTGCAGGATGTGCAGATGTTCGTGGTGAAGTGAATATGTCGGATGTAGTATAATAATGGCACATTGAAACATAGCAGTGATTGTTCACAAGCTATCCAGAAGATAAAGTAGGCCTATAAAGTAGTTCAAATTCCTCCTTACCATCAGCATGAAAGGTAATTTGTGTGTGCATGTTTATGTGCGTGTCTGTCGGTCTTTTAGAGTCCTTCACATGGAAAAGCTCAGGATCCAGGGGCCGAGTGTGGTTCAGTGTCAGAGTGAGACCCAGAGGACACATCAAGACCCTGAAGATCAAACACAGATCAAACACACTCTACTACAAATAGTTCATTTATTTCCAGGTTATAATGTTTTACTAGAAAATATCACTGCCTCCCTAATGTAGTATTTCTACCCCAAAGTTATGCGTGGCTCTCAATAAAAGGTTCTATTAACACATATAAATTCACTTTATTGGTGGCAATGCTCCATAAGATGTGTAACTCATATCAAGACACGTGGAAATGTTTAACAAAAGGAAAATGTTATCCATTTAGAAACAAGTTTTGTGGTTTCTTCAAATCCTTTGTGTTGTGTGAGTTAACTGGTAACCCGATGAGGAACTGCATTGTTGCTATGGTTACCTGCAGTTTACCTGACACACTGATTCCAAATGGTGATCAAAACATTTTAACTATATTTGTTGGTTTATTTTTGATATCATATGTGATATTTTACAATCAAAGGTAATAGTATTTTTTATGTGACAATGTTGATTTGTTTGTTAATTTTAAGAATGAATTAAATTAGCCAAATAATGGCTGAAAATTGTTTTTCCTTGACTTAGTAGACAACCCAAGTGGACCACACTGAGCAATTCCTAAAAAGATGTTTGTGCTACGTGACTAAACGTTCTTGAGCTTTTACGACTGACTGTTAAGGATCTGTGCTCGATTGTGGCGTCACATCCGGAGCGCGTCAATATTTCAGTGTGGACCGGTTTGGCTCACACACACACACACACACACACACACACACACACACACAGACACACACCCCAGTTTCACTTCCTGGAGAGATTCCCCCCGCTACCCCGCCCCGCCAAAAAAAAGTCATGTGCGCCTCCAACGCAATTACGCGCGGAGACGTCCCCCTCGCGCACGTTCTCTCTTTCACTTTCTCTTTGCACTTCCGAGTTTCCCGTAGTTGTTTTGAAGAAAACCGAACTGCAACGTCATCGTCAACGCGTTGATTTTACACCTCTTATATGAATAACCCGGAAGTCTGTAGGTTTCATACCGCGAGTATGTGGGGAAGGGACCACATCTGTCCTGTTCGGTAGTTAGAGGGACCCGCTGAAAACTCACCTTCACACAGGTAACCCGCGCTTCTGGTCTGGTTTCATAGCTAAATCCAGCTGAAATCTAACCGCGTATTATTGTTTTTTTCTAAAGGCTCATAAAGCCTTTTTCCTCACTAAGCTTTTCTCTCTCAAACACGCATAGGTGGGAGCACTTGTGACATTGGCTAACAAACAGTGCTGTCAACATCTGTAAGGAGAAATGCCTGAAACTTGCCACGTGATGTTCATTATCAGGCCAAATAACTGAAGACAGGAACTACACCATCGGAGTGAAGCAATTTTTTTTTTTTTTAAGGCCACAAAAATGCATTTCCAGAAGCTCCTCTTTGATATAGGGAAGGCCCTCAGCGGGGAAGAGGTAAAAGCTTTAGCATTCCTCTGCACCGACATCCTGGGCCGAAACCTGAGCTCGGTGGAGTCGGCCAGCGGGCTCTTCTCTCGTCTGCGGGATCAGGGCTTCCTGTCTGCTGAGCAGCCACATCTGCTGACCGAGCTCCTCATCATCATCCAACGCGTCCGACTGACACGTGACGTCGACCTCCCTGCCGAACCTTCGAGCCTCATCTCCCCGTACAGGTGAACTCCTACGTTTTCTCTCTATTTTAAAGTGAAAATCCGAGCATTGTTTGTTCCATAGGCAAACGCTGAATTGAAATAGTTGTGAGCTGGGAGAAGTGTGATTGACAGCACAGATATTACACATACTGTTAAGATGTAAGCAGGAATTTTGGCCATGACTGTACTTGCAACCAAAATATGAGCTTGCCCTTTTCCACTTCACTGTGGGATGTTTGAATTTCACACACAGTTCTCTGCATTTAATCCGTACTATAATGTACACAAGGACGTTTTCTCTTTGAATTCTAGTCCTTGTGTAACCTGACTGTATATTTAAAAAACACACAATTTACTTCTTTTTTTTTTACAACATTCCGATATCTTTTCTACAGACTCACAAATGTACATTTTTAACAGTTTTCTTTTACATGTTTACTTGTTTAGCACACAACACTATTCCTGATATATCTGAATATAAATTGACACCCTCCAAATCTTACTGAACCTCATTTGACCCCGAAGGTGTCAGTCATGATACTTTTATGATTCAACGAATTGAAAAGTTAATGTACTTACCTCTTACTTACTCACCTACATGAATCGTTTTACCTGTATTTCCAGGAAGATGCTTTACAACCTCTCTGAGGAGCTTACTGCCGATGACTTGAAAGACATGAAGTTCTTGTTACACAGCTATCTCCCACGTAGAAAACTGGAAGAAAATGTCGTGAGTGTCAATGTTTGAACCTCATCAGTTATATCATGTTGAGACAAACATCCAAAGTCATAAACTTAAAAAACATTTTTAATGACATTCCTATTTACTCTTGAACTAAAACTGCATTTGAAAAGGATATTTTATTTAATATATGTGATGTACTACATCTTAGGAATGGAAGGAAGTATGGATCTCCTGGTAAAATGAATGTAAATCTCCTTAATTTTCAGTCTACACTGGAAATCTGGCTTGAGATGGAGCACAAAGACCTCATGAATGAACATAACCTACATTTACTGGAGATCCTCATTTCCAAAGTCTGTCCCATGTTGAAAGACAAAATCAACCAGTTAAAAGCACAGCAGGGTAAGTAAATAAATTCCAATGCAGATGCCACTTGTAAAAGAATTTAGTTCAGAATTCAACAAAGCAGTAACTCTAAAACATGATCATTTACTTTGTGGGAACTGTGGAGTCCTCACAACGTGAGTGTGTGAACATATTCACGTCCCCACAACGTTTACACGTTCACACACACGTCCAGAGGCCGATGAGCACCGTGATGCTGTAACCGCTGCATATATTTCATATTTCACCTACAGCTGATTTAACTATTTGCTCTTGGTTTGCTGATGTCATTTCTAACATCAGAAACTCCCACCAGTCCTGCAACTCAAGAATCAGGTCGACAAGGGTCTCTGTCGGCCCCTAATGCACCAAACCAGGTACGCTCTTTGATAATGTTTTGAATCCCTCTGAGTTTATATCATAAAGTTATTGCCACAGTAACATGGAGTCACAAACGTTGCGTTACTGGCAGATTGTTCTGTCTGCCCAACGCTTCAACCTCTGTGTTTTCTGTGTTGGTCGTAAGGTCCCTCAATCTTTAGGTGCAGAGGGGACCGGCTTGTTTGAAATGCAAGGTAAAATTAGGTTTCAAACACAACGTTGTGGTACATCTGTATTTAAAGTACACCTCTTTAAATATAAGCGTTTTTCGAACTGAAATATACATTTTTTATGTATATATTTTTATGTATATTATTTGTATGTATAATAAACTCAGATTGGCATATGTACTTAAAAATTGTGATTGTTTATTTCTTACTCTTTCTAATCATAATACTAGCAAAAATGGCACCTTTTGTGTATACATTTTGTTCCTTTTTCAGGCTTGTGTTCCGTTTGTTGTGTCACAATTGAAACCCATTAATTGCCGTGTGTATCCTGTTTTTTTTTTAGATTCACCAAGTGGGTTTAATGGTGGAGGCGACTGTGCGGCCCTCTCGCTTGGACTGAGCGGTCATTGTAAGTATGTCTGTGTCGGGCAGTGATGAAATAGCTTGTCAGACATTTGCATTATTCAAATGTAATATTTTTGCCTGGTTTTCTTCTCTCCCATAGTGAAGATAGAGGTTGTGGAAACAATGCCGCCCCCAAAAAACATGTCCTGCTCTGAACCACCGACTTCCCAGCCGTCAGACACAAACACTGAGGTGTGTTTGATGGTTTTTTATTTAACCTTGTGTGCCGTAACAAAGCAGAGCTACTGTTTAAACCACTACATGTGGCTAAAAATGTCACGATTGTATAAAAATACAAATGTTGAATTCCGTCTTGGCTTACGCACATACACCTCCGTAGGTTTTGGGAACTTATCCCATGACTTCAGCAAAGAGGGGGATCTGCTTGATAGTTAACAACTTCGACTTCACTAAATTCAAAAATTACCAAAACCGGGAAGGGACCATGAAGGACGAAGGTCAGCATGAAGGTCATTTGTGCAAACTGTTGCCCACGTGGCTTTATGCTTGTGTTCAACTTGTACCGTGTGTGTGTGTGTGTCCCCCCCCAGAGCGCCTGCACAAAGTGTTTGCGTGGCTCGGCTTTGAGGTGGAGGTAAAGCACGACTGCGAGGGCGAGCAGATGCTGACTGCGTTGCGGGAGCTCGCCAGCAGAAACCACGGCCAGGCGGACTGTCTAGTGTGCTGCGTCCTCAGCCACGGCGACGAGGGATGTGTCTACGGCGTGGACGGCCACACCGTGGCCATCAAGGAGCTGAAGGAACCTTTCAACGGGTTAAACTGCGCCTCCTTGGCAGGGAAACCCAAGCTGTTTTTTATCCAGGCCTGCCAGGGCACCGGCGAGCAGAAGGCGGTCAACGTTGTTCCTGACGGTCCAGAAGATAGTGCTGTTTGCAGCGATGCTTTTAAAGCTAGTGATGCCATCCCGTCCGAAGCAGACTTTCTGCTTGGAATGTCCACCGTCCCTTCGTTTGTCTCTTACAGACACAGGAAAAATGGCTCGTGGTTTATTGAGTCATTGTGCCAAAACCTCGTCCAAATGGTGCCAAAGTAAGAGAGCGATTTTAATAACTTGATATGTTACAGTTTCAGATGAGAGAACATCTTTTCTTAGTTTTTTATTGCTTACAATAGCTTTTTTCTTCCAGAGGCTGTGACCTTGTGTCTATCATGACACTAGTGAATGCAGATGTTGCCAAGAAGACCGATGAAGCCGGTGTCAAAAAGCAGATGCCTCAACCAGCCTTCTCCCTCAGGAGGAAAGTGGTCTTTCCGATCCCCAAAGGCCTCCCGCCAAGCCTGTCGCACTGATGACAAACACCCGAAACACAGATTTCCTCTATTCAGTTTTTATGTTGAACTTCTGGTTTGAGTTGATCATTCACATTGATCACAGCTGTAACTGCAAAAGCCAAAATCCCATTCATCTTATCTCATTATTTTTAATGTGCTTTTAATGCGAATATGTATGAATATGATATTATTGTTTACTCTGTCAAAAAATATAATTGTATAACAGCTGCCACACATTAGAAACACAAAGTTAAATACAGCACTTTTCTATCGATGATGCAATAGATTTTATATACGCTGCCATTGTGAAACTATTTTGTTATTTCTCCTTGATTTGATTGTAAATGTGTTTGTAAGTTCGGCCTTCTTCACTGCAGCTCCTCCAGTGACGGGCTCAGCTTGTAACGTCCATAATGCCAAATATGTTGTGCCAAAGCTGAAAATGTGGCGGCACTGGGCCTACGGTGACCTCTATGCAGAAACATCCACGTTCAGACGTACGAAATGTTTAGTAGGTGCATATCCACACGTCTCATCGGCGGCCCCTCAACCAAAATAAAACATATTTTCTGGCTAAACTACAGCTATTTTATGAATACATTTCATCCAGCTGTGCAAGTAGCCATCCTCTTCAACAATACATTTTTTTACATCGAGATCGGGTTTTAAACAAATGATCCCCGAGCCGCTGTGAATCTGCGGGAGACGCTGCGCAGCTCCGCCAGCAGGGGGCGATCGACGCCACATCGACGGAGATGACCCGGTCGTGACCCGGATGTTGATATGACGTAAAATCCTGTTGTTTTTTTTCCCGGCCCGATTGCGATGAAGAATTGTTAGCGTATTTATCCCACTGCATTTGCGTCATAATAACAAAACTAGATGCCGAGACTACCGGATTCAGCTGCTGCCCGAGAAAAATACGCAGTATAACGTTAATATTTAATCAGCCCGCAAGCGAAACGACAGAAAATGTCTCAAGAAGGATTTCAACCAGCCTCCGCGGACACGAGGTTTGTCGATTTAATATTAATGTAACCTCCGTGTTTCAGTGTACCAGCACACGTTGGCAGCATTTACTAGGCTGACATAATGACGATGCCATAACACAACACATCATACGTGTCGTGTACGTCTCATTCCTGCTCGAGCGGAGCCACCGAGGCTCCTTCTAGCATCACATCCAATGTGGCTTTAATGTAGTTGAGTGACAGGAGGAAAGTACGTCACCCCCCAAAAAACACACACCTCGGTGTGTTCAATGCGTTTGTGTTGTCTGTTGTTCTCCACTTCTCCCGTTGACAAGAGTCCTTCGTATTCCGCGTCCCTTAGTCCTTTCCTCTCCTTCCTTAATATTTCATTGCTTTTATTTCAGAATTTATACTCTACGTTTTATGCTTGTTGTTCATTACTTTAAAGTGACTGTTGTTGCAGAAAGACTTCCTCCGGTGATATGAACTCACGCTCTCTTAGATGCACGCAAAGGTGTGTAACGTCACACACTTGGTATCCATGTGTTCATTGAAAAAAGCATCGCTGCAGAATGAAATGAGAGTAGAAGGCGATGATTATTTTGAATTAAATAGCCACATTAGAATTATGATCATGATTATTTCCGGTGTCAGTTCCATCTGATCAAACACATTTAATTTCCAGTCGGCATTATTATGTTTCAGAGGTGGATGAATGATTGAACGTGTTCTCGCTCCTTCAACGTTTTGTTTTTTTAGCGCTTATAGACTATAGACTTCATAGGCGTCATCAGAGCACCACAAAAACCAGCATCCGCATCACTACCCAACATGTGCAGGAGGACTGAGAGTGTTTGTTTGTTTCTCAGCAGCCTCGAGCGGCTCTTAATACAACCGTTATTATCTTTGGAAGAATCCTTCAAACTGGTCTTACTATTTGCATTCTTTATACCGGGTCTGTAAACTCCACCGATTTCTTTGCCTCCCGGTGGATTCATTCTCAGTTCACGGTTCTTGTTCGACGCAGCTTGAGCTCACACGAGTCGCAGAGGACGCACCCCAGGAAGACGCCGATACAAATCCTGCATGAGTACGGCACCAAAAGCGGCAACCTCCCCGTGTATGTGATGGAGAAGGCTGAAGGAGAAGCTCACCAACCGCACTTTGTCTTCAGCGTGAGGATCGGAGACGTCGACTGCTCAGGTGAATTACTTTCCCGCCTCGTGCCGCGCCGACAGCTGCCCGTCGGGCTGAAGCCTTTTTATGGGGCTTGAAAAGACATGCGTGGATGATTTAGAAAGAGCGCTGCAGCTCGCAGCGCATCATTTGTCACTTCTGCTTCGGCGTCTGTTGCTGCAGAGTCCTCTTGAATATCTGCTCTATATACCTTGTTTTTGAACCAAGGTGTCTCTGCTCAGGGTAGAACAGTGCAGGTCCAGAGAAGGAGATGAGAAGCGTTTGCAAAGCTGTGAGTGTTAAGGTGACAAAAAAAAAAAAAGTCTTTACATTTGCTATTTTCAAACAATGTGCTCCTGAAAGGGGACAGATAGGTCTCTGTATTATTATTATTATTATTATTATTATTATATCTGTCCTTTAGCATTTAGGGTTAACCTTTATTTTCCAGAATTCACAATTTCTAGTCCCTGTTAGTGGTTAAGTGGCTTTTTAATGTATTACAATTTACATGAAATCTGTCATTTTGTGTGTGTGTGATTGTATTTTCTTCAGGTCAAGGTCCGAGTAAAAAGGCTGCTAAACACCAGGCGGCAGAAGCCGCCCTGATTATTCTCCATATAGACTACAGCAAAGTGTGAGTAGCTCCTACATCACCATTATAACCGTTTAATAGTTTGCCTTTTTCATATATATTTATTTTTGAACTGTGTATATTCCACTATAGGGCGGCACGGTGGCGTAGTGGTTAGCACTGTCGCCTCACAGCAAGAAGGTCCTGGGTTCGACTCCGCCCAGTGGCCTTTCTGTGTGAAGTCTGCATGTTCTCCCCGTGTCTGCGTGGGTTCTCTCCGGGTTCTCCGGCTTCCTCCCACAGTCCAAAGACGTGCTCTGGGGATCAGGTTAATTGGGGACTCTAAATTGCCCGTAGATGTGTGAATGTGAGTGTGAATGGTTGTGTGTCTCTGTGTTAGTCCTGCGATTGGCTGGCGACCAGTCCAGGATGTACCCTGTCTATCGCCCGAAGTTGGCTGGGATGGACTCCAGCCCCCCCGTGACCCTGTGTGCAGGATAAGCGGTTTGACAATGGATGGATGGATATTCCACTATTTGAATGTATCCTCTTGCGCCTTTGTTAAAGGATCATCACAGTATTTTCTACCCGTTTCTCAGAGGAGTAATCCGCACATTATTTGCTAATAAAACAGGTCATTAGGTGCGGCAATAACTTAAGTTCTTGAACCTCGTCTCCTGTTAGGTTTTTAGCGTTGCACGGAGGAGATTTTTGAGAGGTGGTGGTTGATGACGGCTCTGATGTCATTCTCAACAGGAGCGTTCCTGTGAATTCGGAAAGTAACGGCGTCGTAGCAGAAACAAACCAGCCCAACTCCGTGGGGATACTGCAGGTGTGTCGATATTTATTTTCAGATTAAAGAACAAAGCACGGAAAGCCTGATGAAAGTATTTCCTTCCACAATTTAGACACTGTGTGTGTTTACTATAAGTCCTTTATTATATGCACGACCGGTATTGTGAAACACGTTCTTGCTCCTAATCGTCGATACTTTTTCTTACTTTTCCTTGCAGGAGTTGGCGTTGCAGAGGGGATGGCGCCTCCCTGAATACACAGTTTTAATGGAGGCCGGTCCGCCGCACAAGAGAGAGTTCACCGTTACTTGTAGAATGGAGTCCCTGTCAGAGAAAGGTACGGCTGCTTTTCAGACATTGGTGTAAAACCCTTCAAAGTGACGGCCGCCTTGTGCCGCTGTGCACCCTCTTCCTAATCTCTGGCCTCATGCTTTTTTGACAGCTGCGGGAAATTCAAAAAAGGCGGCGAAAAAGGCCGCCGCGGAGAAAATGGTGTCAAAACTTCAGAGTCTGTCGGGCTGCTCTGAAATCACGTGGGTAGGTTGAATACAGCTCACTCTTCCAGCGACCAGCGGAGGCAGCTGCAGCATCTCCCAGCACGTCCCTTTTTTCAGTTAAGTGTTTCAACGTACAGTTTCTGCCTCACGTTTCATTATGCAGACGCCCAAACCGAGCGTCCGATTCGAGAACCTAAGGAGCTCGACGGCGGAGACCATCTGTCTACTGAGAAGAAACCCGCTGAGCATCCCCAACACGGATTACATTCAGATGATGTTGGAGCTGTCCAAGGAGCAGGGCTTTGAGGTCACGTACTTCGACATCGGTAGGAAATCACACTCAACGTTAGCGTTGCTCCGGTTACTAGGATACAGGGCGCTTTGCTTCTCTCAGCTGGGTCAAGAGAAGTGTTATACGGGCTCCAATACGCAATAGATTAATTCATAGAAAAACCACAGTTGACAATGCAAATTAGATTATCTCTCAATGTGAGGAATTAATAACAGCAGCTATAAATACTCTAAATTATGTCTAATAGTTTGTTGCATTAGCAGTAATTTATTGCATCTCTCTGTGGGAGAGTAAACAGTAAACACAGGCTGGTATCATTAGGATAAAACTACAAACAGTAACACTCACTCGCGGTGCTTTGCAGACGAGCTGACGGTGAACGGCCAGTACCAGTGCCTGGCGGAGCTGTCCACCTCCCCGGTGACCGTGTGCCACGGCACCGGCATCTCCTGCAGCAACGCTCACAACGACGCGGCGCACAGCGCCCTGCAGTACGTCAAGCTCATGGCCACCACCAAGTGAAACCTCCACCCTCCGCGCGGCCGTGGACCTCCCGCTAGTCCGCCCGCCAGTGGACGCTGTACAGTCATGGTATATTTTTATAAGTAGGTGTGTCACACAGCAGGTCATGGTCCATGATAAGTGTACGCACACCGTAGAGAGCTGACCAACCTCCCCAATGTCAAGGATCAAAGAGGGACGAGACGTTGTCTTCAGGTCGTGTCCAACCGGGGATATTTAAGGAAATGCACATGTGTAAATGAGCATGCAGCGGTGAATAACATGAAGCATTTCCACGTTGCATTTTTTCATAATAGGGTTTATTTAGTATTTGTTGTCTTGCTTTAAGGGACCTGCCCCCCCCTCCCTTTCCAGTCAGGATGCTGTTGAAGTTTTCAGGTTAAGTTCTCTTAATTAAATGTTTTGCCCCCCCCCCCCCCCTCTACACCCTGTATCATTATATTGAGCTGTCTTGCGCCAATAGAATATTTTAAACTTCTACTTCTGACATCTGCCTTTCTCTTAAGTCACATGAAAAGGCGAACTGTTAAATTGTTAAAAGGATGGTCTGCATTTTGGTCCAGTTAGGTGTAATTAGTGCCCCCTCCCCCCATTTGTCCAACTGTCAGTCAGTGTGCGATCTCCAGTTTAATGAGCTTACAGACTACATTCATTGGTGCAGAGCAGCAACGTGTGTGAATCCAGAAAATAAACCAAACACTAAATGTCAACAAGTGTCGGTTTCTGTCTGGTCGTTGAGCGAGAGAACGACCGTCAGTCTGTGAGGCCGTTACCTCAGGGCCTGTGCGCCTGATTAACAGACAAGAAGGCACACGTTTATTGTGCAAACGTTATTGTTGTTCTAGTATCTAGAGCCAAGCAGCTGGTTTATTCCTAAACAATGACGCTTAAAACAGGAACTATTTTTGTATAAATTAGGTTTGCATCCGTCGCCTACATTCACATCAGATTCATCCATGCAGATGACTCAACCTCGAAGTCAATTATTTTTTCCAGAAAAAGTGAGTCAACTTCCTGCTTTTACATGGAAACATTGCAATAACAGGACAAATGTGGGCTCAAATGGACAAACAATGATATACTTGGTATCAATCCAAAATAAGTGCACATTCATGTTCTATGTGGCAGCGCTGCTGAAGCTCAGAACCCTCACATGAAACTTTTATTGATTTACAAATAAACCACACGCGCCTCATCAGCTGAGTTTTACAGTTTTATTAGAACAAGCACTATGTAGCAGCAGTGTACAGTGTTCATGGAAAGATATGTACTTTGTTAAAATTGCACTTTAGAAGGTACCCCATCGGAAAACGATTTGAACGAAGGAGCTGACACGGTGCTTCGGGATACATGTCAGTCCAAAGCAACAGAAAACGTCCAATTGAACAAACACAAAACCTATTTCTTTTTTCTTTTTGGTAAGGCATCTGCAATATTGATTGGCAGGCTAAGTTGCCTAGACATGCAGGTGCAACAGTAGATGGAGAAAGCACGTAGAAGAAGTATCCATGGTTATTTTTTTTCAATTCAGTCAGACCACTACGAAGCGTCGCTGTTACCTCTTCACACACCTGCTGGGATTCAGTCTTGTTTTTCAAAAAAATTTAAAAAACACAATGTCATTGATGTAAGAGGAAAAGGGTTTTTAAGTAGCGACCCATCTTCTAAATGTGCTGTATTTACAGTGATAACCAACCTGTGTTGGAGGTTGGAGTCGCAGAGCATCCGCACGCTTTTTACAGTCAAAGACGAGACGTTTAGTCACTTTGTGTGCGACGCGTCGTCATCGGGAGGGGGGTGGCGTTCGCCGCTCGCTAATGGCATACCTTCTTTGCGCGGGGGTTCTCATCAGTGGTGGTTGTGAGGCATTAATAAATGCATTAAGGCACAGCAAGTGAAGCTGACAAAACGTTCTAGCTTTAAGTTAATGATCTGGGATCAAAATAAGAACTGAAGTACATAAAAAAAAGAAAAAGGAATTGTGTGCAAAGCAGTTCTACGTTTTGGGTTTCTAATCTACAGAACCAGTTGATTCAGGATGGATTTGCTCCACATTAATATTTTCTCTTTTTTGCTTCTGTTGATTTTCTGTTGTGTTTTTCTAACTAACGAAAAAAAGGGACAATAATCCAATCTGCTTTGCAATAAATACACGAACGTTGAATAGGGGACTGATGCTGTGTGGAAGTCCAGGAAGGCGCAGTAGCGTCTCTGAGGAAATCACACACATTTGGATTCTAGAACTGTAAAAATTGTTACTTTATAAACTTGTTTGGCTTTAAACATCCAAGCGACACAATTCTGACGCGCACGTTCCCGGCGCGACCAGCAGGTGGCTCTGGTGGTTAACTCATCAATAACTACTTTCCGATGAATGCGTTTTGGATTTGCTGACAAAATTAGATTAATTTATTAATCAAAAGAAAATGCAGTCATATTTTGGTGGCTGATTAGAAAGTAGGAGAGGAATCACCACAAATACCAGATGCTTGCTGGTAAAAGTTGTTTTCTTTTCTTGGTTTTTGTTTTCATCTCATTTTACATTTTGAAGAATTTAGATTAAAAATAATGCTTCAGTACACTATGATGGAAATTTTTCATTACCTCCATTACTACTATAAATAAATGATTAGTTGACAAAATACAAATAAAAAAAGAGTGCTTTGTGTATTTGGATATAGAATGTAGAAGAGTTTTTAGCCTCATCCTGGAAATAACGGACTGGTTTCCTCCTGTTTCACTGTCACGTCTATTTTTAAAGTGTCTCTCTGGGTTTATGGACCTACTGCACCATCTTCTCTCCGACCTCTGATTTAGAAGTGTTTTATGTTCCAGAGTCCATTATATACAGCGTGCCTGCTGTATACGGAGGGAGTTACGTGTGTCTTTATGTAACCATGTGATTCAGGCGATGTGGTTTCACGGAACAATGTTTAAAATTAGACATTGGAGTTGGGGTGTGCTGGTGAGGTTGACCCTCTAGTTACAGAGAGAGACCAAAAGTCCACAACCAATCTGTGCAGACAAAAAGAAAACATTTTTGGGAAATGTCCAAGGTGTCTTCTGCATCATATGTCCAAACTGCTGTAATAGGATTTACATTATGTGGACTCCAATATCATCTTCTCCTTCAACAAGCGCGATCTGCTTCGAGAGACGCTGTTTGAAAATATTAATTAAAAATTCCATCTGTGGTCGCCACACCGACTCTGCTGCAGTCGAGATTCATTTTAAATGAGTGGTTTCCCGAGAGAGTACTGCTATCACACAAATTCAACCATATTAAAAAAAGCAAGAATAAATAAAATCTGCAAATTCACATAACGCCATTTCATGTCTGAGTCCAAGATATTTTATAAAAATACCTTTTTTTCTATGATGATTGATGATATACTAAATGCGGCTATAGGCCAGTGAAAGCTGCTCTCTAAACATGCAAATAGGTACCGTAGGTAATCGAAAGGTCTTCTTTGTAGACTAGTCTAAGCCAAACCGTGGCTCAAATCAAACGGCTTCAACGTAAAGAGCGTTAAATCATGTGACTTGCACGGGGTGTCTTTTTAAGGCAAGGACATACTCAGGAGTCAAAAGGAGCTGAGGAAAGATCTACATGGGAGTGATGTGATTGTTGCCCCGACAACCCGACTTCCACAATCACACTGAAGGTGATCCTACAGGATGTTTCCATGGTCGGATGCCGCAGGACCCCCGATCAGGCCGACGCCCCCCCCCCCCTCGGCCTCGCAGCCGCTCGCGTCACTGCGAGCGGATGTTTCATTGTGACACATTTCTCTCAACACCTTTTGTGCGTTGTCAACGGCCGTCTTTTCATCAGGCATGATGCACGTGGCACATCCGTGTGCTACCACAGGTTCATAGTGGATTCCATATTGATGAAGCCGGGGTTTTTGCGAAGCTCCCAGTACGTGTTGTTGGAGACCCACCGCTCCCTGTGATTGCCGTCGACCACTTTCCTGCGGGGAGGGAGGACGGAGAAGGGACAGTTGCAACCGAGTGTGACACGGACAGTGTTCATCCTTCAATTGAACGTAGGTTTGCATGCATGTATCGCGTGGTGCCGGGCTTACTTGAAGAAGCGGGGTTCCAGCTTGACGTTGTTCTCGTCGTTACACTTTCGGCGGACTCTCTGCAGGTCTTCGATGCGCTGCTTCTCGGAGGACGCCATCTCCAAGTTCCCCTCCTCCAGATGCCTGCGGGGCCACAACAGAACTTTTTATAGAACAGATATGAGGTGGTCGTTGAAAATAACAGCAACAACATATAGCAATAACTTATTTTCAAAGTAGAGCCATTTTATTTGGCAGTCGGGGGCCGAAGCACACTGGCAGCCGAGGATGTGATGCCGTACCTTTGATCAGGCCTGAATCGGGCGTCTGTTCGGGGCAGAACGTCTTTCAACTCGGGGCAAAGCTCATTCAATTCTATGGCGAACCTGGTGAAGCCGTAGTACAGCTCGTAGTCTGTCGGCATGGAGCCTGACAAGGAGAGGAAAGAACGTAAACAAGTGTCTTTAAACTGGTAACTTTCCTCCCTCGTCTGTCGAACAATGTGTCAGGGGACCAAATGTATTGTCAAAAAGCTCCAGTGGTCCTTAGGTGACCACCCAACATTAGCCAGAAGGGGAGGTGTAGTGAGCCGGTTCCTACCAGGCCTCCAGATGCATTTGGCAGAGGGCGGGACTCCACAGTAAAGACCCTCGTGCCATTTTCCAAAAAGCCTGTGGACCACTTTCCCTTCCTGGTCCATCACGAATCCTTGAACCTCGTTCACATTAGAGCTCCAGTAATTTCCCTGAAAGAAAGAACCCTCGTGTTGGCAGCTGCTCATCAGCACAACGCCGCGCCTTTCAATCCCACCCTAACCCCTAAACGCCCAGGGGGCTTCACCTTGACGAAAGTCAGTTTGCAGAGGCAAGCGCTGCTCTTTGTGTTTCTGATGGTGATCTCCCCGTAGTGTTCGATCCACCGTTGTCCACTGAGGATGTTGTGCACACAGGTGGTGACTTTGTTCCATTCGTATTGATCTCCAAACCTGCAGAAATACAATCCAACAGCCTCGGTTGTAGAGAGGAAATCTGCGTATTTTTGGTTTTAGACGTTACTCAAAAAGGAGCTGGATCAAAGATACCTGGGAATCATGAGATTCACGGTCCCGATTGGTAATACCTCCATGGATTTTCCCCAGAACTTGTTTTTCCATCTCACATCTGAAGTAAATTGGCAAAAACTAAATAAATTACAATGTTTTGGTCGCTCTCTTCTATGCATTTATTTTCAAAAGGCAACACATTATCAGCTGGTAAAAAGGCTGAATGAGAGAGCCAGAGTCGCCACGAGGAGCAGCACTCACGGATTAGGTAACCTACCTTGCCAGAAGGTGAAGTTCTTCGACTCGCAGTGGCAGGCAGAGATGGGAGGATGGTGGCTCACCTGGGAAACGAGATCAAGCTACAATGACTCCGCTGAGCTTTGTGCGAGAATATGGTGGTCCTCTTTAGTGAGAAACACTGTGTTTCAATCATCGTTGCGTCCAAGTGGACATTTGTGCCAAATTTTTAAAAAGTATCACATGTTACGAAAAATGTCCAAAAAGTCGGATTACTATGTTTAAAAACAAGACAGCATAGAGCCTAAAAAACTAAATGAATGATGGAAATGGAAAGGAAGCCATGATATCGTTTGTCATGAAAAATGGAAAAACATGTCCGAGTAGAGTGAGTCATAAAACATTTATATTTAACTGAACCACGTGTCATTTTGTTATTCAGCGATGGTTTCCATTCGCAGCATGAAGCTTTGCCTGAATCTGACTCACAACCGCTGGAGACAAGTAGAGATTTCTTTCTTCCAAGTGGTCACAAGAATAAAGGTTTGGGAACCACTGCTATAATCCTCCAGTATCGTCCAAACCAACTAATGAACTGAAGAGCTTAATATGATTAATATTATCATTATAATCTCAGATGAGAAAAGGGGGATTATATCCAATATAACACTTCTGTTTAAAATACACAGCATTTTGTATCTTGAAACATTTTGATCCTCAAAGAAAACAAACAAACAAACAAACACATACCTGTTCGGAGAAAAAACAAAAGCCCTTGTCCTCCCGGATACATTCGTAGCTCTCTCCGAGGAGCGGGTTGAATGGCTTACTTCCTGCTCTGTAGTAAGTGGACGAGTAGCCGGAGACGGCGAAAGCGGCGACGACAACCTGCCGGAGAGTCACAACAGCCGACATAAACAAAGAGGGGTGGTGGGGGAGAATCGCTCCGTGTTAAAAGACGGCGTCCCCGCGCTCTGTCCTACCATGCGCTCCAAGGGGTCCTCGGTCTCGGCAGCCTTGTCCAGCAGCTCGCTGTACTCCAGCTCTTCGCACATGCGCTGCAAGGTGTTGAGGGGCTCGTTGAGCTCCACGGGCATGGACACTTTGGACAGGTCCTTGCCGATGTTGTTCCTCAAGATGTTCCAGAGGTTGATGTTGCTGGTGTCGGGACACGGCGCCGGCAGGCAGCTCCGCCGGCCGTTGCGGAAGGCGCTGCCGGCAAAGTCTCCGTTGGCCACTGGGAGTGGGGGGGGGGGATGAGGAAGGAGGTGATGAAAAAGAGCGCCTGGCTAGCAATTGACAACATCGGATGTGACGGCCTCCTTAAGGATATAATCAGGATATAATCAGAGTTATAATCTGTGTTTATAAAGATAAACACAATCTGTGTTCACGGTGCAGCACGTTTGAGTCAACAAATTCCATCATTTGATGTGGAATATTATTCAATTGGGAACTAGAGGGATCAGAGAGCCGCAACAAATGGCAACTGTTTCGCAAGGAAGTGTCAGAGTGTCCGTTTCCCCCTCGTCGAAAAACATCAAACCACAAAGACCCTCCAAAGTGATCAGCAAGATCTGCCTCTTCGTTTCTGCTTAGACGTCTGGCTGGTTGTTATTGCCTGACGAGGGTTACTTGATTGGATTTGCTGTCAACTAACTGGGACACATCACTTTGTTGCTGTGGGGTTTCAAAACAGCAAATGAGTTAAACTGACTGCAGGTTTACATAGAAACATGTAGAACGTTTCTGTTCCACTAATATAAATGATGTCACAAATACATACAATCTCTTTTCCCATCTTTCAGAGGGCCTTCATCCCCGTGAGTACTCTGTATATTGCTGCGTGGCCGAGGGCACGAGATTCCCCCCCCCCTGTTACGAAGATAGCTTTCATGAAGTCTAAGAGAAGCCCTTGGCACCGAGCAACCCTGCAAAGTCAACCGCATCTGCCACATTGATAAATTATCCTGCCAGATGTGTCTGCGCGCGCAGGGATGTAGGAAGAACCCCCCCCCCTTCCTTTCTAACAGGGAGCGGACGGAGGCCTGGTGCTCACGGCGGCTTGGGGCTTGAACCTACTTTGTCTGGAGACGTTATCGGTCACACTGGCGTTGTCCTCTGAAATGTTATCGCTCACATCGCTGACGTATGACTCATCGTCTGAGCCCTGCGGGAGGGGTGGAGGAGGGGGGGGGGGACAGGTACAGAGCGGAGTGCGTCAGTGCAGTAGAGTGAAACACCAAAGCGTGTGACCGCGCCGGCAGACGGTTGCAGCAGCGTGCCGGCGGCTAACAAACTGCGGTAGTCGTGGGCGATCTGCCCCGCTGCAGTGGTCACGGGGCGCTGCAGCGGCGCCTCGCTCCCTGTAGAGCCAACGCAACGAGGCCGCACGTTGCTGTGGCGGCCTCCGTGATATCCTCTGTTCTAGCAAAGGGGATCGGCGGTTCGATCCCCCGGGTCTGCCCCCCCCCACCCTCCTCCCCGACATGGTGTGTGAGCTGCTGGCGGGCGGGTGGCAGCTGCAGGAATGGGTGTGAATGGGTGAAGGCCGACAGTCGCCTGCTGCTGCTGACGGGTGTAACACGGGTTTGAAGGGGCCCGCTGTTGGACCTCGATGATGATGGGGAGGTGGGGGGGGGAATGGGGTGGGTGATGAATTTTCCTTGGGGGGTGATCCTTCAACGGCGCTCAATGCATGCCCGTGGAGCTACAATGCTTAATGGCTCTTCAGAGAGAGATCTATTTGGAGCAGCTTGCTTGCAGGAGGAGGCAGAAAGGATGAAGTGAAGTGGCGCTACAGACGGTTTTCTCTAACAAAGAAGATACAAGTCAGGAGGAACAGACTTATGGTATGATTGTGGGACACAGCAGAGGGATGAAGCATTGAACAGCAGTCCTCCTGTGTGCCAACCTTTTATCCGAGCTTCCTTCATCTCTGCTTCTCCTGCCGCCCTCAGTAAATGCTGACTAACTGCGGCTCCACAAAGCCATGGCAGTGACGTTTTATCTGGCTTCCTGGCAGCGGTGCTACATCCACCCCCTTCCTTCCTTCCCTTACAACCGGTCCCTTTTTTGGTCCACACTGCCGTCTTTTTCTTAAAAGCTCTCTCATACCTCATTCTCTGACGAGCTGGCTGACAGAAGCACTTCCTGGGCATCAAAGAACTCGGAGACGGACTCCGACATGGACAGTCGGCTCTCATTAGAGGCCTGCTGGGTCAGAGGGATCCCCATCTGGTCGCCAGCCTGCAGGAGAAACAGAAAACCCACAAGCAAACACACGAGATGCTCACTTTGCGCTGCTGTGACGACGCGTTTAAGAACCGAAAGACAGACCCGAGCAAACACACAAACACCACGAGGAGACAAGACGGGGTTCATTTTGCAGCCTGTGTATCCTTGCCAGAGGGCGAGCTCCCATCCGTTTATAATTAGTCCGTTTTTTTTTTTTTACCTTAAGCCCGCTGTTCTGCATAGAATAAGGATTCTGAAAGCTTACCTGACAGCTTTACTGGAAGGAAGATCCATCTATAAGCACGAGAATCAATAGTGCGACCGATGAAGGCATGATGCAAACACTTAAACTACCCGGTCAGCCTGGGGAGCCTCATTGTTTTAACAGTGTAAGAGTCAGACATTTGCTGCCTCGGTGACAGGTTGACCTCAGGGACCTACCTCGGGCGTGGAGATGATATTCACGCTGACAACTTGTTCGGTCAGGACAGATTCAGAGTGGATGCGGTTGAGTCGAGTTCGAAGTTCTGCATTTTGGGACAGGGCCTGAATAATAATAAGAGTAAATTATGAAAGTGTGGTTTGTTGTCTCTGTAAAAGATGGCGGGCATAAGCCACAGTGATCCCGGGCTGCTTTCGCCTAATGCGACGCCTCAGAAGTCGGGTTGGCCAAATTAGCATCGAGGATCGCCGTTGAGTATGAAGCGTCCTCTTTGTGATTTAACGGAGAGTGTTTTCTTGGTGCCATGACAAGGATACCACTTAGTTGAAAAATTCCAGGCCGCTGGAGCCAAACTTTGAAGCACATCGTTACACAGAAGGGCGACAGGTTTTCTTCCGTCTGTCTTATAAGTAGGAACGCTTACAATGGAAAAATAACTCTCTAAACATGGACTTAAGAAATATCTAAACCTTAGCTGAAATGTGCTGCGAAAGCTGAGCAGAGGGGAACAAGATGAGGCGATACTTATCTCTGGGATCATCACTACAAACCCCTTCTTCACACGCAGGGAGACGTATCATTTTAAACATAAACATATTGACTTTAGCCACTTTGAGTAAAAGTGTACAGGTGAAATAAAAAGACCAAATGAACCCGGTATACCCCACGGTAGATTTGTCTTGTTGTCCATTGTCTCATTGTCTCACTGTCCGATTTGATGCACCAGCCGTCATGTCAAATTCCTTGTGTGTCTATAACATATTTTGGCAATAAATGTTCCCGATTCCTGAAATCGGCAGTTGTTCCTGATCATCAACTTCCCAGAGCTTTGCCACAAAGAAAACCTGACCTCCAGCCTCCATTGTCACGCCACTATCCAATTAGGAACAAAGTGGAGCGAGAGCAGAAGAAACAGTCCACAGAACTGATAGCAGAGGAACAATCCAATTAAATCCCCAGGGTAGAGAGACAGCCCAAAGGAAACAGAGTTAATGAACCGCACGGCACATTTCTTTCTCTCTCTCAATTAGTATGAAGAAGATTGAACTTTCGGTGTCCGCTCGCTTGTGCGCTCGCCCCCACGTCTTTTTCTATTAAAATTACAGTGACAGCTTGGAACATACTGTGGCGTGTGTGTGTTTTATCCGACGTCCCGCCACCTCGAGCGAATCGTACAACATGACAGCTACAGAAAGGGATCGACAGAAGGACGCGTGGCTCTGATTAGTACAGTCATTTCCCAGTCACGTCCCGATGGAAGATGAAGGCCTTACCCATGTGGAGAAGCCCAAATGTGCCGGACAAAAAGCTGTGGTGAACCAACCCCGAGTAACAGCAGAGAGAGAGAGAGGCATCGCGGGCAATGGGTGAAGACTGCCTCATTACCTGTGACAGAGACTTCCGGAGAGAGTTGATCTGTGCCGATTGGTCCGACTGCTCCTGGTCAGACAGAATCTGTTTGATCTTTTCTTTCTCTATGGCTACTGTGTTGAAGGACGACTTCAGCAGCGAGTGCACTGCACAGAGACGGGATGAAGACGAATCAATATCACATACAATCACCCTCAAGAGGAGAAACATCATCCTCATTAACACACACACACACACATGCACACACACACACACGCGCTTCTGATGTCTGAGCTACAAATGCTGTTCCACTTCGATCCAGTGATGTGTTAAAGATCATTTAATTAGGATTATTAGAAGCATAGTTATATTTAATAAACGCTCTCATTGAGTTAGTGTTGGTTCAACAAAATTAACTTTGCATGTCATTTCTATTACTCTGGTAAAATCATAACAGGAAAAAATCCCAGTTTATTAAGAAGATAAATTAAGTAAACTACTGCCGCCCCCCCCCCCCATTCCATACATGCTGCCTACCTTTCTGGGCAATTGTGCAGAACTCCTCCTGAAGTTTGATGTAGTCACTGGCACACTCAGTGCTGTCGGTCAGCCGGGTGACGGGGGGTTGAAAGTCCACCAGCTCGGCGCACAGGTTGGGGTTGGATGAGTGGAGACGGACGGGGGACATGCTGGCAGACAGAGGGACCTGGAGAGAGACGACCACCACAGAGGACCACTGTCACTCAGCTGAGAGAAACGACAAGGTGCATTGTGTGTGTGGGAAAAAAAGCTGTGGTCCAACACGGCAGAGTTAACTCGGGAAACCACGGCGTCATGGTAACGTGCCACACTGGCACATGGAAATCATTTTAAGAGAGGACACCAAAACAAACAAACTGCATTTTCATTCTTCTGCCTCGTGTGATGATATTCACTCTGAGGTGAAATGAATGACGATTCTCATTGACAGTCATGTCAATGACTGTCATTGCAAATATATTCATGAAAGAAAAGTGGCTTCAAAATTGGGGGGAGGGGGGCAACTGAGTATGAAAGCACATTTAGTCTTTTCAGAGACAAATATATTTATTCAAATAAGTATTGAGGCAAAAATGGACAAGAGGAGTGAGAGCATAAATTCAATGTGCGCGGAGCAGCACTTTCCAACACAAAAGGGTTGCAAAAAAACGTTGTATTGATTTTTGTACACTTAATGACGGCGTCCACCCCATCGCTCCTTCCGTTCTTGCCTTTCACAATAAAAGCTTGAGACATATTGCTTATCAGGGGAACTTGTATTCACTCTGAGCAATTGAATGAAAATAAAACTCACAATATGTATTTATTACAAAAATGTATATGTTGAGGTTCATTGTGAGTGGTCCACCAGTCAACATTGATTATTATGGCGCAGACAAAATGTCTGAAAGTATTTTTTCATTTTGTTTGAGTAGCTCACTGGAGGGAGTGTTTATTCAAACAGTGAAATCAAATAAATGCAATACTACATGTTATTGTATAAAGTAGCTATATGTAGATAATTTGTGTATCTATTGTGTCATAATTAAATCATGACAATGAGACTTACAGGGACATTTACAGGTGCTGTGTGTTTGTGTGTCTTGTACCTGAAGCTGGAATTTTGCATCTTTGCCGACACTTTTTGTTCTCCATCTTCTGTTCAAGCGCTTTTCTTTCTTTGACATTTCTACACAATTGGTCTTTGTGACACACGTGGATCAAAATAATCAAAAAGGTGGTTAGAACAAACGCATCACAAATAAAGCAAAAGCATTGCAGTGAAATGGAAAAACAACATCACATTTGTACAAATGAGTCGCAAACAAAATAGTTTGGGCAAATTAAGTGTGTGGCGTTTAAAAAAGGCCACTTCAAAAATACATTTGTGTGTGTGTGTGTGTGTGTGTGTGTGTGTGTGTGTGTATTCACCTGCATATCTGTGAAGTTGGGCGCTGACTGTGTCCTTTGTAGAATCTCCAAACTCTGCAACAGCCGGCTCAGCTCAGTCAGATTGGACTGACATCGAGCGAGCTCTGAAAAGAATAATTCACCCACGGTGTGACGTTTCATGAGATGAGCATCAATCTTCCTCTCTGGGTTCAAAAGGACTCGCAGTGACTTTATTTCCTTCCCAGCGTGGGGGAGAAAATTGCACTCACCCTCTGCGCACTTGTCCATCTCCTCCGATTCCTGCAGCCAGGCGACCACCTTGCTCTGGCCGTTACTGTAGGAGGCCGGCAGGCTGCTGTTGCTACTGGGGGCCACCGGCTGCCACGGCAAACTGCTGGGCTTGGCCTGCACGGACACAGAGGCAAGATGGCTTTGTTGCTAACGTACTGGTCTGTGTTCGACATCGGTTCAATGGTTCAGCTGGTACTTCAGTTCAAGTGGTACGAACATTCTGAGAGATGGGAACATTCTGGATTCTGGAGAGTGAAACTCGCCACTCCTCAAATAGAGGTTTTTAGTTTCCTTGATTTGTTCAAATTTGAACAAATCAGCACATTTGAGAAGTTGCAATAACTTGTTCTATTTTTAAACGCCTTCATCAAACTGTTCTTTTGTCTTTCTTGATTCAACCGAGAAAATAATATGCCGCATATGTTCATCATAGTTTTAATTCTAACTTTCTTTCTTAGGAGAAGCAGCGAGGAGCACTTTAGCCTTGAAACACATTGCGCTGCAAACACAGTTGAGTGACACAACTGAAGGTTGTGACCATGTACCAGGTCACATATATTAGAAATACGGTCCAATGTAATCACTTTCACCAAATCAATATCTTGAATGTTCAATAGGAGGCAAACTAATGGGAACCCCCCAATAGGCCCCTAGCTAGGGGGCCTAATTACTGTTCACAGCCTTCCTGTACTTATTGCTGTGTAGCTTTAGATTAAAACCTGACACAGTGTGCGTGATTGCTTGCGGTCACCATATTAACACTAGCCGTTGGAAACAGACATGTGACGGCCCTCCCTCCAAAGCCCTTTGATGTTGCAGCTCATTCTGACTCCGGGATTAGAGACTTGTGCCTAAGCTGCTCTTCTGGGGGAACTGATCAGGCTGCAGCCAGCTGTTCTGAATCCAGATCCTGCTGATCACCTCTAATGGCCTGCGTGAGAGCCTCGCTCTCAGGAGAAACTGCTACGGCTGCATCCTCAGAAACGCCACTGAGAGAGACAACTAGAGTGGGTGTGGCCAAACAACCAAATCAATTCATCAATCAAATGAACACCGGCAATTTAAAGTGATCGCAACAGCGGGCCGTTAAAATGTTCTGTCGTCACTGTGGACGTTGAACAAAGAGTGAGCTTTGCTTCGTCGCTTCTGGATAATATTTCGGTACAGTATGCCAGATCTCCAAAACTAACAGATCTCTGCTTCCCCATAAAGTACCCTTCTTGAATAAGTAATGAGAGCAGAGGAAGAGAGCTTTACAGCTTAGTTCAGAGGGGCAGTAGAAAATCGTTCAGGCTGAGCTCCACATCAACATCACATTTGTAACACTACGTTTTATTTCTCAGCTGTGAAGACAATTCATCAGCAATAATTCTGGAAGGATTAAGCACAAATGTGAACTTGGTCTGGTCCGAGCATTGACAATGTGGGGCTTTCCTGCTTTCCTCAGTTAAATATAATTAGAATATGGGTTGTTCTTCTGACCAGACAAGGACATTTGTAGACGTCCGTTCGGCTCTGGCGAACCTGCAATTACCCCGAGGTCTTAAATAAGTAAAATAATCGTCTGCTGGAGGGCTCACCTTGGCTTCGCGCACCTCGCTCGGAGCAGGTTTTGGAGACTCCTTGGCAGCCGGGGGAGGAAACGTCCGCATGGTGGCTTCCCGAGGAGATCTCACGATCTCGTTCTGCCGGTAGAGCCGGTGGTGACGTAACTTGGACACCCAGGCGTCGAAGATGTCTTGAGATTTGACCTAAAGGGGAAGACAGCTTTGAACCCCGTCCTCCGCTGACCTCCGGTCATGTTTATTGCTGTGGAAATGACAGTATTGACCTTTCCCCATCAGTGTTACCTTCAGGTGATAGATATGCTCCTCGGTGTCCAGGTCGATGCGACGCGCCCTCTTCTTGATGGACATGACGGAGAGGCCGACGTCGATGCTGCCGTGAAGTTTGCCCTTTTGGATCTAAGGCAGGTGATCGACACAACAGTCAAATCTCAAGACAACAGTCGGTTTACTCAAAATGCACAGTCACGTTCATGTGTGGTTACACTTTAAAAACTAATTTCTTTCACGGTAAAATCTGAATCAACCTCAACAACCGCGTTGAGCAGCAAAAAGCTAATAGTTGCGTAGAGATATCAGCACATATCAGAACCCACCCTCCAGACCCCCCTCAGCTTAATGACCATCAAAATGGTTACAATCTCGTATCTTGCACCCTCAGCAATGTTCCAGTCTTTGGGTAAAATTTGTTTATCCAAAGAGGCGAAGCTGAAACAGTTCCAGGATCGGATGATAATTTAATCTGCACACATTTTACCAGCAACAGCATTGACAGAGCAATGTAAAACATTTATGTTTTACATTTACATACATTTTCTGGGTTATCTTTTATTAAAGAAACCTTTTCAGCCATTGGACACAATTTCCGGAAGTTTGAACTAAACGATTCATTAACAATTTAAAGAAAATAATCAGTAAATTCAATCTGTGTAAATTACAATTAGCTGCAGCCTCTGCAACCAACACAGGCACTTATAATTCATCTTTATTTATGAAGGCTGAGAACCTAGGCTGAGAACAAGTGATCCCCAGTGTGCACGATTCATTGCTCTCTTAACAGTCATGTGTTCCTCTTCAGCTTTGTCCCTAAATTTGGAGCTTTCCTGCAAAGTGACAAGGCGTGCTGAAACACATCGGTCATTACGGCCCGTGTTGCAGATGTTTGTGCTGAGTCATTGTTCAAGCGGAGCTGATGTCAGGCCAGGCTGCCCTGTGTTTGCCTCTGGCTTACAGTCAGGGTTACTTACATCAATGGGGGACTTGGAGTACTTCAGGATACCATTGTCCAGGACAAAAAAACGCTGCGGAGAACAGAAGCAGCAAAAATAACGTGTCGGTTGAAAAACAGGAAGGGCTGACATACATAAATCACACAATATAATAACACTTTCATTGCAGCGTTTTGAGAAAACAGCGGCTAAGCTGATGCTGAAGGCGGGGACTTTGAAAAGGAAATATTGAGCAGGCGAGCGAGATTGATGAAGGGAACCCACCATATTTCTTTATTAGACAGTAAACTGTTTAACATTCTAGAAGCGCCCCCCCCCTCTCGTCCCCCCGGACAGGCGCTTTTTGGCGTCTGGCGTTGCCTGCAGATCTTACCTTGTGCCAACCTTTCAGGGGCCATTTCCGCTTCTTCAACATGAAACCCTCGTGTTTATCGGGCCGCTGCACGTTGCTCTGGCCGATTTTCAGCCCCTCAATGATTTCCCAGCTGTCTGCCTCCTGGACGGGAATACAAAGAGAAGCGGCGTCAGAACTAATGCACGCGCCGCTCCGGAGTAAGAAGAAAACAGTGGGTACGATTCCCGTCACAACAAGAAGATGCTCACGCACCACATCTGAAAAACAGGCTCGCCCTGTACTACACAGTTAAAGAAAAACTGCCCCATTCAAGTTTCTCCTGCTCTCTCAGCATTTCCACTCCATTAGCTTTCTCCTGACTTTGCGCTTCCAGCTGCAAGCGGGTCTGTGAATCAAAGTGACACGTGAGGAGTGGAGGGATGCCAAAGTCAGGCCGGGGCGGGTTAAACGTCACACACAAGCCAGTTAGCGTCTTTCACATGATATTTAGAACTCAAGCATTCAACACGCTTAATTTTCCTGTACACGTCCGCGTCAACGTTGGTAATCGGTTGTTCTCGGTAACGTAGTGGTTAGCCAAAATCAGCACGTTTTTGTTTTTGTTGTGTATTAGTTCACTGCACCTCCTCCTGTGGGCACCGATAAGCTCAGGCAGATCATGAATGACAGCAAACGTCTGTTGTACTGATGTGAAAATCTATGAAAGTTATAACTTTTGACAAATACCTTGCATTAATAAGCGCTTTTAAATCCTGAAACTACATTATAGAATACTGCTACTGTACTACTGCTATTTGAAGTGGGTAGTGTGTCACTTGTGTGCACCATTGAGGATTTATCAACCATTTTGCGCTACTATATGAAAATCAGGTGAAATTGAGAGGATGTTGTCTAATGCGCACTGCAGACCGGTCAAACCACAAAAAAAACCACAAGCAAATTAGCTGATTATGTATTCTTTCTATTGCTGAATAGGAAATAAAGTGTCATAGAGGAGCAGTTCATTGACTGCCTGACTTCAGTATCATCTTTTTTGGTTTCTTCTTTCTTGACATTTATCACAGAGAGGGTCCACATCGACAAACCGTGACATAGAGTATCAAAAGGAAAGGGAAACCAACTTTAACTCACAACACAGCTAATTGTCTGCTAATATAGTCGGCTGTAAACAGCATTGACATTGTGTATTCTTTAGGCCGTTACCCATCAGACTAAATACGCTAATATTAAAAGGGAATCCATCTCAATGTAATGTTTGTGAAAGAAGTAAAACAAAAAAAATCATTTCACACTTGAAACCACAAGCGCCTCGTGTCTCTTCGCCGCTTCGTGTGATGCTGCAACCTTGCAGACAGCTTGTTGGGTGTCCGTTGCAACACCCGAATGGGCTCGCAGGACATTTAACAAAAGAGGAGACTACAGCTTGTTTAATCTAACAACCCCCAGATTGGTTTGCTGATGAGGTCCCTCTGCCCCTCCCCTCTGCGGCTGCGCGTGCGATGGAGGAAGTGCAGCAGCCCAACTTCATCAGAAAAATGTACAATCCCCATTCGAAGCCACCGGTCTGCTCACGGCGCCCCGAAGCGATCACGTCACCACCAGTTGAGCAACTTGACTGTACGATGTGTTAATGACGCATTAACGCTTCTGTATTCTGAACATGAAGGGCTTAATGAAACGTGACGGGCGAGCCCAGAGAGAAAAGGAGAAGCCCCCGAGACCAACTTCCGATGTGCCATCGGGGGGCGTCGCACACAGACTTGAACACGCTTTCCTGTGAAGCGGTTTAGGGTCCGAACATTAAAGGATTCCTCCACTTCTCCACCTCTGGCTCCACGTGAATGCCAGAGTATATGCAAACTACCGGTTTGAACGGGAATGGCTGCCACAGTCAAGAGGATTCGCTTTTGTTATTTGACCCTGAACACAGAACTGAATTAAACAAAAAGGATTTCCTGTCGTCTGCAGAATAATTGAGAGCCCTCGGTGAGTTCAGGCCGGCGATAAAGGGTCTCGGGACAGAAGCAGTCTGCTTCACCACCACGACGTTTTCAAAGGTTTGCTTCCTGAGCCGGTTACTTTGATACAAAGGAGAACTTTTCGCCTTTGATTCCTTCTCTTCATATCAGTAAAACATCATGGTGACAGTAGATGTCGGAACACTTGAATGATTTTTATGATCCTAATCGTGAACTTAATCAGTTCAGTGCGAGTCGTCTGGTACCCAGAGAGACGCCAGCGTTTCACACACATACACTAATTTGTCGCGGTGCGCCGCAGATTCAACACCGGCCGCCACACATTGCGTTTGGTGTATTTAAAAAAAAATATGTTTTTAACGCTATTTAAATCACGCAGCGTATTCGTTCAGCTGCATTTCCTTTCCCTCCGTCTGTCACACACACACACACACACACACACACACACACACACACACACACACACACACGTCTGTCTCGAGTGTCATGAAAACGAGAAACGTGTACTACAGCTATGGAAGTTGTCTATAGTGTGAATTGTGTATAGTTCTATCTAGTGTGTGTGTTTTAGTGCAACGTTTGTATAGGCGTGAATCTCTTTTGTTATTTACTCCAATAAGGTTCTGTGTTACAAATTAAACTTTATTTCGCCCTCCTTCCCCAGTCAGCCCACATTGACGTTGGATCTGTGGGAAACAGAGCTGATGTTTTAATGACTTCAACTGTGCAGTTAAGGTCTTAAGGTCAGTCAAGTGCATAAACTGCATAAACACGACACAATCAAATTGCCATCAAATGATTTTCCAATCGTTTTAGTTTACTACCATTTATTTCCTACTTCATCAAGTGCAATAGGAGATAAGGATGTAAAAGTTTAAAAAAAACAGACTAACCGGTTTAATCTTCCATGGGAGTCCTGAATCTAACATAATCATTGACTACCAGTGACGTACAGTATCTCAGGATAAGAGCGCCGTGTTCTCATGTTAGGTTCTTATGTTGGTTTTCTTCAGGTAATAGAATAAACAGCTTACTTTCCCAAGAAAACCAAGGGTTGTGCTCGGCACATACACTGTATGTAGGGATTAAGAGGTACATTATTATTATATTTTGTTAGTCTGACTCTCAATCATTTCTATATCAGACAATAAACCCAATCTCTTCATTTAGAAAGGAGGTGCGCCAATCTATTCCTGTTCTCTATCCTTTCCTCTGTGTTGGAGTTGTCTACGACATGCAAACCCAGCACATTAGTCAATACGATAACACGGCTATAGACCAAATAAAAGAATACACCTGCACAGCACAAGGTTAAAATTGTCAGTCTTTCATCTACACCAACAACATTGTTTTGTTGTGATCATTAACAGCATAAAAAACAGCAATTTTATTACCAGAGTGGAACTAATACGCATTGATTGAGTCTCAAAAATTTAGAAGGGACCATTCCTTATTTAAATATTAAACACAGCGTGTGACTCCATCTATTCCTCCAAGCCGAAAACACGTTATCTAACCAGGGAATGACAAGCAGCAGGGGAAGAGTGGATGGTTTCAGCGACATCCTGATTAAATAGGAACTGTCTTGATCCCCAAACTGTACGTGCGTGTGCGTGTGTGTGTGTGTGTGTGTGTGTGTGTGTGTGTGTGTGTGTGTGTGTGATTCTGAGCTTACTGCAGGTGGTGCCACTAATTGCTCTCCAGAGGGTATCCAGAGTGTACAGTAGTCATCAGCAGAGGGGAAAGTGACATATATTAATTGTGAAACAGGGGGCCTGGATCTCCTTTAAGGCTTTCCCCAAGTCCCCCCCTTTTCATTTTTAGGTTAAACCACAAAAAAAATGCAGGTGAAACTTAGCATGGCAGGTAAGTTCAGAGATAATCAGAAATGCCGTCGAGGTCTTCGCAACTCAGTGAATTATATTTGTTTGTAAAATAATAATGAGCCTCGACCTTGGGGATGGTTCAGTCCATTTATCAGAAGTCACACGATTCGCTTAGTCGGGTCATGAGATTGAACGCTGCAGCACAGCGACTGAAAAGTGTATTTGTCAGCGAATCTGTCAGTAGTTTTCCATTGTGGTTGCAAAGGCAGGTGGAGCTTTTTTCTTGAATCTTTCATCGATAGGGAGGGTTGAAAACCTGCGCTACTAACCAACAGGCCGAGGGATTCTACAGCTGCGTATTACCCACATTCATTAAGCTATGTCAACAAGGAGGATGAAGCCCCTTCTACGTATTTGACCTTTGCATACATAGCCACGTCTTTCCTAGTGCATATTCATAATGGTTGTGGGACCCGAGGTGGCTGAATCAAAGAGGAGAATTTGGGGTGGGACTATTTCTTCACCCATGTACCTGTCTCTGTGCTCCATAGATCAAGTGTCTGGATCGCCCATAGGTGCATTGCTGCATCACTTAGCCAGCGCTGCTAGATCATCACACAAAACCGGTGCGACCGTCAACTAGAAATTCAAAACGCGCTGGCGATTCTTTTTAATACACCGTTGACTATCTCGAGGTCCTGATCCAGACGCCGTGCGAAACTCAAGGGAACCATTATTCCATCTTAGCACCCGTCTTCATTAAACGCTTTGAAAGAGATGAAAAAGAGGAGAGGTGCTGGTAGGCGACCCTGCTCTCTCAGAAGGCCCTCCCCCAACAGCGTGGTCAAAGATCAGGCCGCCGCGCAGCGAGCCGCGCGTTCAAGCGGGGCACCGGACCTCCTGAAATATTCAGCGTCTCGTGCCGACGGAAAAGCTGTGATGTCGGAGATTCCGGTTTCGGGGTCCGGTTTCCCTGCCGGCCTCGGTGACACAGCAGCTCAGCGAGGTGAAGCGGCCTAGAAGTGTTTCTTGGAATTGGCTTTATAGAGGGAATACACAACTAATCATTACTCGGTATCAGAGGACTTTGTGTGGGCGAGAACACGAGCAAAACAATTCAAACCCTGTTTGAGCTGAATTTCTTCCAGACGGGTTGTTGTTTACAGTAGTGTTTCGTTTGAAGCACTTCACATGCCATCATTAATCCTGTTGGACGACTGGAGTGCTAATGGTGCGCCTACTGTAGCCTGGACTGGGATTGTGTTGTTATGGAAATAAAACTGAACTTCACGTCAGACCTGGCAAATATACTTTTTGCATTTCCTCTGCCGTTTGTTAGTATTCCTCCATTTTTGCCCTGCTTTGAGTCCACGTTATAACGTCATGAAGGGAAGGAGCTTTTCTGTTGATGCTTTGAGGATGTCTTTGTTGTGTGTGTGAGCATCCACGCCAGCATCGATCTGCACAGCCCGGCGTCGTACTTGACGCGTCGGCCGCGCTGAAAGGCAGATTCAAACCGGTTTGACACATTTTGCATTTACGACTAGTTCATAACACGATGGCAACTGGGTCATAACACGATGGCTGCGAAGTTCCCAGTTACCTGCCGACTGTCGCGCTGGGAAGAGGACGAGGAGGAGGCGCTCTTGTGAACCGGCGTGGAGGACTTGAGGACCGGCGGCGAGCTCCTCTCCTCAGTGCTCATGGTGCGGCCGTGGACGCCTCTCTGGTAGTATTGGTGGTGCGACATGTCGGGGGCGCCGGGCGGCTCTGCGTACCTCGCTCAACACTGAGCCCCGCGGATCAGGAGCATCCTCTGGAAAGTTCACTCACTGCTTGCTGTTCATCTGAAAAAGAAAAAAAAAAAGGTTAAAGATTAGCCGACGTACTTTGCCTCCCTCGTTATGTGTCCACGCCGTCATTCAGCAGACGACTCCCGGTCTGGTTTACTCCTTGAAGGAATGAATACCAGTCCTTCATCAATTTAAATATGTTAATCCATCTCACAGATGCTCAGTGGAGACGCCGGGAGCTATTCTTTGAAGCGTGGCTTTTTTAAGATTCTCCTCATTATATGTGCATTACGGGGCAAGCCTTTCATTTTGTTTGCTATGAAATTTGTGCAGTAAATCCTCCCATTTAAGATCTCTGAAACCTGAGATATTGTATCGCATTGATCAGCTCTACTACACAAGTCCCTAACTGCGCACGACCAGCAAACGGCGTAACACACACCGCTTCAAATCAAACGCCACATCTTCGTGGCGCATGGCACGGCAGTTCATTTTTTGGCGTTTGTTGGGCAAAGATTTCCAAATTACATTTTCAGAATATTCTCAGCCTTCTGCTGCAGTGCATCCATGAGGTGTAGGTTGGCAGTAGGCTTAACTGTTGGCAACAGTTTCTATCCATCCCTCAATATGCTTTGCAGATATTATAACTTGCCAGAGCCTTGAATCCCACTATTTCATCTGAAATGTTTTTTATAATGGTTCTATAAAGAAGATGTTCAAAATGAGTGACTAGTGCTCGGTTACTGGTTACTGCATGAAGCGCAGAGCCCGAACGGTCTGATAGGATGGACTTGGATGAAGGTCAGAGGGGGGGTGCAATATTTTGCAAATAAATTGAACTTTGTAAAACTTATGTAAATGTCGTTTACATAAAGAGGCAGATGGCTCTATTAAACTGCACCCACTGTAGGCAATTAATTACCCTTTTATCCACACACAAGCTGAAGCTCCCAACATAACAACATGCATCATGTAGTATAATTTGTGGAAATATACTAGTTTTGCCTGGTTGAGCTTATGTAAAGCCTGGGATGGCGAGGTGCTCGTTTCAGTCATTAGTTGCTCCACGCTGAGACCCACGCGGCCGGCGGTGGCGCTGTGTAATTGTCTCCGCTGTCAGGAGGTCTTCACACAACGTACTTTGATTGCACGATAGTGGAAAACAAACAGATTAACAGTGTTTGATTTAGTTCTTATTTAAAACCGGGACACTTGCTGAGATACTACCGATGTTATTGGACTTTTACAGAGAGAAATAGCACAAAGGCTTTCATCCAATACCTCAATGTCGATGTTATGGAATAACACTTGATAATGTGTAGAAACAGATATGAGTAGTACGGTTATAACAAGGAAAAAGTAGTATTCATTGGGTTTTACAACAAAAAGCTGCAATGAATCGCGGCTGGAGGATTGTTGTCTTGTTGTGGTTGATGTGCTGCACTTGATAATCAGAGTTGTCAGCCTGTGTGTAACTACTCTATAATACTATATTATGTGTACTATGAAGTTGATTTAATATATAGTTGGGTCCACAGAAAATGAATGAATATACCGTTTTAATAATTGATTAAACGGAATATGTTGTTATGGCTTCTCGATTGAGACAATTTGCTGATTATTTTTGTCTTCTGTGGTAGTAAAATGATAATATTTGGGTTTTGGAGTGTAAAACTGAACATTGTGCCTCCACGTTTTAGGAAATTAAAATGGACATTTTTGCAATTATCTGACATTTTATATTCATCCACTAGATAAGCCTCATAACGTGACCAATACTCAGAGGACTAAATTGTCCACATTCTACATGTTGTTTTGACATAAATAATTAGTTGCATAAAATTATCATTATAATGTTCATTAGACGAAGCCAGAGACAGGATATGAAGTACAGATAAAGACTCCTGAGGCGGTGCAGGATTATCAACATGCAGAGATACGTGTGTATTCAAACAGGCTTTGCATTCAGCTCTGGAGCACCTCGTGGTTTTTAACTGCGGTGTGTGTGTGTGTGTGTGTGTGTCTCTCTTGAGTTCAGGAGGAACTCCCAGAGTCCCCCCCCCCCCCCCAACCGCTCTGCACACCCAAGCAGTGTGCACTCTCACATGCCACCGTGCAGTATACTCACGCACTGTACTCTATTATTCAGATCCTTCAGAGACGTCATCATCCCTGGCCTGTCTTAAGCCAGCTGGCATCTAAGCTCCTGTAACACGAGTCCATTCAAATAGAGTGTTCCACTTTGCCTATTTAATAGATCCGGACTGCTCGGGCTAATAAGGACACAGAAGGGAGATGAACTTTAGGTGAACATTTTACTGCCATCTTAGCAAATGGCCAGTTAGATCAGAAAGCAATTTATTACACACGCGCACACACACACACGCACACACATGAGGGGCGCTATTCTTGTAGCCGTGTGGCTTTATGTGCGTCAGAAAGTCCTCACAAGCCGGAAAACACTTTCACTTCCCTTTCCCATTTGCCTCGTTTCAGCCAAAGACAACACACATAATAAGTTCCATCTCCCTCATTTCATGCAACAGAAAAGATTTTTTTGGAGAGCGGGCTGGATAATTTCTGAAATGATAAAATCTGTCAAAGAAATGATCTGGGGGGAGAAAAAAAATGTGTACCTCTGACCGGTGTGAGCAACTGATTAGCATGAACATATTGATCAACATGTTTGTAGAGAACAAGTGGATGAGGGGCTCATTGTTAAAACATTTTGTAAAAGCATCAATGCGTCATGTTTGGTCAATATCGATATGAACATTTTTCCACAAGCCTCCCTCTATACCAGAGCATCAACTGAGAAAATTAAGTGTTTATAAAATGCTGACATCAATTTTTTGGGGGGACAATTCTAGTTCTTGTAATTTGGGAATGGTGAGCACTTTGTATGTTCTAGAAATACAGCTTGGTTATGGCGACCATGTGAGCAGGATGGCAAAGCGACAACAACCATCCATCATCTCCTCTGCCAAAAGGTTTTTGAACGACAGGCTGCAGGGTTTTATGGAGCAGAATGTGCGGCGTGACCTCAGGAGGTGGCGGCGAGAAAGAAGTCAGTTTCTCTCCCCCGGGGATCAGTAGAGTATCACGCATAAAGCAGTAACCATAATCTGTTCTGATGTGGGTCAAGCAAGGCCGAGCAACACTGAGCAGTTGAGAGAGACAGAGAGAGAGAAAAAGAAAATAAACTTGACATTTGTATGTATGTCGAGCACAAGTTCAAGACCAAGAGCCGAACAAACCAAGGAATGTAAACAGAACAGGAACGAGCGTAAAGCCACACGAATGTTAACGGCCTCGCTCATCGCAAACATGTAATACGATGCGGCGTGATGGTAACCGGGCCGAGAAGACACTCATGTCTGGCTTGTCACCACATCCAATCCACCAGGAACATCACATTATCGACCAGCACTCTACACAGAAACAGGTTTCCCCCCCCCACATCCACCTCCCTGCTGTATAATTAAAAGTAGCCAACTAAAGCAGACCAGTGTGCTAAGATTATATTACATTAGCTTTGAAGACAACTGTTGCCCAAATTTAGGACTGCTAATGCCTATTGATCGGTTTACCTGGGTGTGGAGAAAAAACAAAAAGGCTGCAGATCCTGTGTGACATCTGGAAGCAGTGGGCAGCACATCTCTTTAAAAAGTAAGCCTGTCTTTCTTTTTTTAATAACAACACCAACTGGACACAGCCAGTTCACACTGCGCTGCACGCATTACATCATCGAGGTAGAGCCGAGTTTCACCCTGCAACACTTTTTAAGTTGTGCCCATATTGGGCACTGTATCGGAACTGAAAACGTTGGCAGTGAATCCTTGTTCTGATCCTGCCAGTTGCTGCCTGGTGCGTGAACCACGTTTGACGTTTGGCGGACAGTGTTGTGTGTTAAAAAGGAGAATTGATGGAGACGTGTTTATACCAGCCAATCAAGGTATAACACAAAGTAACTAAAAAAATCACACGCACACTTTTGGTATTACACAACTAGAAACACAAAATAATTTAATAATAACCAAAACATAACTGAGAATAAAGAATCCTCAAAGAGCTATTATTGCTTAAACCAAAAGAGCGTATACGAGACGCAGAGGCCTTGCCAGATATCGAACGTGCCTAAATTCATCAGCTAATTAAATGAGGAAAAAAAGGCGCAATCATCTGATTTACTCCTCGCTGTCAATATTAATGACACGTGGACAAAAAAAAGAGAATACTGGCTCGTATTTGGAGCATCACGGTGAGGTTGGCTGCTCCATCCGCTCTCCCTCTATCAAACCGGCACATAAAGCTCTGCAATGACTGTTTATTTAAACCGGGTCAGGGACACCTTCAGCTGGAGGGGTTCTCTCCAGGCCTGACCAAAGAAATAATAATAATATCAGAAATCAATAATCACTGCTGATCAAAACCACCACAGCACATCAATACAATAAACTACAAATACGTCCCCTCTGCTGTTCTTTAATTGATGCGATTTTAAACGACTGCAAAGTCACTGGCTGACCTTCAGTGGAGGGGGAAGGGGGAATGGGGGGGGGGGGGCACGGTGATATCTGGAGCCAATCCTGTAAGTGACTAGAAGTTGGCTAACTTTCAATTAGTTAGCATCTCAGCCCGAACAACGTCACGACTGGGGACATAAAACGATCACGAGTGGAGATCACGAAGTGACACTCACGGGCATTACGAGGAGACGCCGGTCTACTGGGGACCTCGGCGGAGGGGCAAACCACGTCGCTCGGTTTTATTAACAAACAACAAAAAAGGAGAGAGGTGAATGTGTCAGTGACGCATTACGTCCGCCTCGTCAATGTCCGCCACACGGAGTTTAACGCTAGCCGCTCGAATAACGCACACAGCATCCGTGTTCTAGAGGTCCTACACGCCGACGACGGCTCTCGGGCACGTCTGGGTACGCGGCCGGAGGGTCATATCCTCCCCCCCACACACACACACACACACACGTCAGCAGACTAGCGGCTAGCTAGCTAGCGTTAGCTCAGTCAGCGGTAGCTAGGTAACGCTAGTAATGTCCGACTGGTCCTCCTCGGCAATCCGCTCGGGATGCAAATACAAGGACGAGATGCTGGAGCACAACGCGGCGGGGCTGCGCGTGCACTTGGCAGCGCAGACACGGCCTCGCTCCTACGACGCGCTAGTTCGAAAGAGGGGTACGATTAAAAATAAGAAAGAAGAGGCGCATTGCCTTACCACAGATGCCGTGTGCTGACCATGTCTTTGCCGTTCTTGGCGCAGGACACAATTGAGGAGGTGGTGGCGGAGAGGGAGGGGAGGGGGGGGGGTCTCCCTTCACCGGCTTCTCAAAAACCAACGGCTTCCATTAGGATCCACATCGACACGAACATAGATATCTCTTGTTGTTAAGAGCGCTCGATGTACGGGGACTAGAACATCGCGTAAAGTTGAGGGATGGAGGAGGGAGGGGGGGGCGGCGCAGGTGGGTGGAGGGTGGGGGCGCTGTGTGTGTGTGCGCGCTCGCTTCCTTGAATGCGGGCAGCAGTGGCGCCGCTCCGCTCAACGCGCTCTCCGCTCGCTCCTCCCTGCAGCAAGATCGGCTTTGGGCGGGAACGAATCGCAGGAACGGACTCGGGAGCGCGCGGCGGACTGCGGCCGGTGGCAAAACGCGGAGACGGAGTGTCGTCACCGCGGACTCGGAGCGCGAAATTATTTTGAAGGGATCTCGCTCTCTCCTGATTGGATTGATTGATAACATGAACTCAACACAGTGCTGTGATAGTGTGTTCCATATATACAATTAAAAATAACAGTTAGTGGATGTGACTTGGATCTAGTCAGCAGATCTAAAAATTTGAGTCACTTCAAACCTTTCAATGTTTTACCCAGGATTTTTTCAGGATTGTATTGTTGCCTGGCAACAGCTCTCAAGCAGCAGTTTTAAAAACAAGCATTCCTCAGCACCAGTAGTGCAGAGCCACCGAATATGAGTGTCTTTGACTGCACTAAAATATAACACTGCCCTCCAACATAGTGCTCTTTACTCCACTTTCTGTAATTCTATGACATTTAAAACAATTTAATTGTATAAAACGTAATGCATTGTTATTGGTTGTTCATACAATTCTGTGTCAATATTAATATTCCAATAACACAATTCTGGAAAGGGCCTTAAAGCACAATAATACTTAGACCATTTGCAGCCAATACTGCTTTTACTTTGACATATTGTTCCTTTCTTGAAACAAAGAATATTTTATTTGCAGCTATAGAAGTTCAGCTTGAATCACAAAGGACAAAACAACACAACATAGGCAAAAACATTTAGACAAGTTCTGCCGTTTTGTCTGCTGTTGCTTTATTTTACATATATCATTTTTTTCAAAACAAAAGACCAATACACATTAATACAAGTCTGTAAATATAGAAAACAGAGGATGTATGCTGACGACAACATGATATATTTCAGTGTAATGACCTTATGCGTCAATCATTGTTCCCCTGGACCAGAGACACAGAAAGAAATGCACATGAAAGAGGTGAGAAAAGGTGACCTTAGCATGGAAACATCATACTTGGCCATTATATTGAATGTAGAGAAGAAGGCGGACCAGTATTAATGCATCTCATTTGGTTTTGTGGTTTCAATGTTAACTGTGTGAAGGTTTGGCACGCAATAGTGTGTAAAGCCGTGCATGTGGAAACTTGTTCACTGCACAGGGCAGGAACTATTTTATATACATAAGTAACATGATAGATAGAGAGTAGAGTACTAAAGTAACTTGAGTCACAGTGTACGGTAAAGAGTAACCATAAACTATTCCCATCTGCCCCTGTCTGTGTTAAAGGGGTTGGGTATCTGATTTCATTGCTTTTTTAAGAGTTTTTTTATAGTCTAAACTTTTCCGCATATACATTACAGTAATTTGTCGATCCCAGAAATAACCTTGTTATGGACATTCATATTCCAAGGCTTTCTACCGAATAACAACCGGGGGATCGGATCAGATTGAATGCTAGATGGGCAGGAATTGGTGATACTTTCTGTAAGGTCACATTTTGAGGTAACACATTTTCTGCTGTCAAATCCAGCAGCATGACAGGACTCGATTTGATTTACATTATCCGTAAAATTGCAGATGATGATTTATTATTATTACATTCTACTTGTTAAACCACTACACATTTGAATCGGAGTAGGACTTTAAGATAATGCGAAATTGTGTTTGTATTTTTTTTAATAGTTTTTTTTTACGGTAGATAGATGCGATTACTACGTGGAGGTTTTCCATTACGCAAGTGGATTTGAAAAGATAAGTTTCCGAAGAGTGTGCTGAGAATGACGAAACAGGTCACCTGACTGATGACGTTTCATCGGGAGTAACTTCACGAGGAGGGAAGCACGTAAAAAAGAATCACTCGCGCCGGAGCTGCCGGGAGAACACAAGCTGAGGAATCACATCCCAATAAGTCCGCTGACAAAAACCCCGAAGAAAAGGTAAGAAGTTGATGGTGAGACTGTTAAACCTCTTGGTTCGTAGTTGCCCGGGAAGTATCTCTACATGCGACTTAAATCTTTGCCGGGGTTCCTCTCGTGGGCAACGTGGTCTCGAGCCGGCTTACGCTGTTTCCGGCGAACTCCTTTCTTTTTAAACCTAAAATCAGTTTTACTTTCACTGGGAAAAGTGTCTATATTTAGTCAATTTTACATATCTGACGTTTTTTTTGGAATGTTTTAACTTGTATTGGTAACTCCCATTATTTGCCCGCGGGTCGGTATTCTATACAGTATGTCGGCTTTTCTCTCACTTCACGGATACAGTAAACTTGTAGGTGTTAAGTTGTGTTACTTCTTGATTATTAACAGAAACTGCCAAGTTACCTAAGGCGGTTTTGTAACAATGAGCGTTACAAGTTACGCAACGTTGACCCCCCTGGTGGCCGAATGAGGGTACAGCAGTTGCCTTTAATCGGGTGCGGCCAGCAGAAATGATATAACACAATTACTCATTAATGATCATGTAAATCCGTCTCTTCCCCCCCCCCCCCCCCCCCCGTTCCTTGACAGAAACCATGCCTGAAGACATTAACAAAGGCAAGAAGGCCTTCGTCCAGAAGTGTGCGCAGTGTCATACTGTGGAGCAGGGTGGAAAGCACAAGGTGGGGCCCAACCTCTGGGGCCTGTTTGGACGCAAAACAGGCCAAGCAGAGGGCTACTCCTACACCGACGCCAACAAAAGCAAAGGTAAGTAAATTGCGCCGGTTTTAATGGATTCTGAGAAGTCCGAAAACACGGCTGTGTGGCTTAAACTTTTTTTCTTTTCCGCTCACTTTGATCTCAGGCATCACCTGGAGCGATGAGACACTGATGGTTTATTTGGAGAACCCCAAGAAATACATCCCAGGAACCAAGATGATCTTCGCTGGCATCAAAAAGAAGAGTGAGCGAGCTGACCTTATAGCGTACCTGAAGTCCGCAACTTCGTAAAGAACTCTGCGCGGCCGCGTCTTCGCCAGTTTTGTGTCCTGACAGACTGAGGTGGGGACGAGGCCGGGTGTCTTTCTGTCAAAATCGGGCATGAATTCCTACCAATCTCACTGGTATCTGCATACTTTCCCATCTTCGTCACAGCTGTTTCTGATCCTCCACTTGTGGTGGAGTAAGTGATATCCCCTGGTTTTAACAGGTTCCTTTTCTAGTATAAATTATTGAAACATATGCTGTTAATACAAATGTAAGGACTGGAAATCTGTATATTTGCTCGTTGTTCAGGATTTCTTTTCTATTGGATTATCAAGCTGTCCTGATAATTTAGCGCTTCAAATACTGAATATTGGATATGACGTGCTTTGAATTTTAATAAGACTGTAATGTGTGAATTAAATAAAAGTTGTTTTCTTTTTCTAATTAGTTCCACAACATGCTGCTAGAAGTAATTATTTTCCTCATTATCGGGAAAGGGAAGTGTGGATGGTCATGTCAGGTTGATGTTTTTGTACTTTATACAGTTTTGGCTCCTGTAGATTTCTGAACCCAATTCGAGCAATATACCCTCTGAATAAAGGGACTTATTTCTAGCTTTAAATGTTGGACTTTGGTGGCCTGATACTTAACAAATGGTGCCCTTGTTTAAAGTTGCTGATTAGCAGTTGTTTTTTTTGCCTCTCTAAAAGTTGGAGCGGACTCAATGGTGTTACAGATGTTAACGGGGGACTAACTGCATCTGATGGGGGGGAAACTAAGAATAAAGGCTGAATTTCTATAAAACAAAACCGTTTTGACTTGTCATGAGATAGTAGCACATACCAGCGCTGTGCATGACTTTTACTTCTTTTTACAACTCTTCGGGATTCGTTTCCTGCCTGAATTCAAAGGGCTCATTGGACTGGGGATGCCAGTGATGAGCCACCGCAGCCGAGCCCGTTCTGTCCATCATCTGAGCCAGGGGTCTCAAACTCAAGTCAGGTACGGGCCAGATGCAGCCGAACGCGGGCCAGACCATTACGGCCGATGGGCGAACGGAACGGTCGACGGGGGGGTGGAGGTTGTAAGTGGCTGCTAACCACATAAAACTCACGGGCCGCACTAACATTACACTTTCATATTAAGGTGGGGGCCCAACAAATATCGTCCCGCGAGTATGAGACCCCTGATCTAAGGCTTGAACATTCGATGCCGTGGTGTCTACCTCCCTCTGGCGTCCAGAGGTCACATCTGCACACAGTCACACCTGGTGCTAAATCATATAAATAGTACGTTCCCGCCCCCTCCCCGGTGTTGCATTATTAAATTGTATAAACCACTGCATATTATTTCGCCTGAATGTGTGTCTTGTGAAGTGTACTCGTGTTTCATTGTCAGTTTTGAGACGCATTGTTCTTATTAACGTTCCTCACTCCAGAAGCGCTTCCACACTGATTTAGTTTGTGAATCTGTGGTGGTCCACTGAAGCAACATGGAGGTCTTCCGACTCATCCTTGTATTGCCTCGGTGGCCTCACACGTCCAGCGGAGCGCTGCCTTATCCCTAAAAGCAATGAGCGTCAATGAGCAAACGCCCACCTCTAATTAATACAACCTGTCACATTATACGGCGCGCACGACACGCGTATTACGCACGAATATGACAGATGACTCAACCCCTTATTGTCACCACCGTCGCCGTGCTCTGAGCGCTTCTTTGAGGAGCAACAACAGGTTCAAATGACAGCCGAGGCAAACCCCGGCGGCCCGTTCGGTGTGACGAAGCAAACGTCAGCGGCAGCGAGCCAACCACAGCCAGCGTAATTTGCACACAAGAAGCCCCGTGCGACGGAGGCGCTCGGCGGCGGCTCTCTGTGAGGTGCTTTTCAATGCCTCAACCGCAACACCGCTGTCATCTGCTTTGGTCGTTCCAAAAAGAGAGAGAGAAATGAATGGCGCGGGGAAGCTGTGAAGGAGTATGCCGGTGCGCAAAGTGAGTCTCCATCCTTCGCCTTCGCGGAGTGGAAAGTGGATGCGCAGCCCCAGAGCACCGGGCGCTCTCCGGGATACCGCGTCTCCGAAGTTGTGCCGTTCACGCGATTTTCTCCACCTGACCTCCCGGCAAGGCGTTATAGATGCTATTTCCCCGCGCGACTCCATGGATTCGGTTCACTGAGGACCATCTGAAGAACAGGCATGGCCGTGCCGACGATGGTGTTCTCTGACGTGGAAAGTTTTCTGGACTCTCACCCCGACTTGTTCGAGGACTACCTGAACAGAAAGGGGAAACACAGCATGGTGGAGAAATGGCTGAAGAACCACAAGGCGAGCCAGAGTCCGGCGGCCGCGGCTCCGGCCCCGCCGCCGAGGGAGGCGAAGACCAACGCGTGCGCGGACAGCTGGGCGAGCCAGCGCGACGGCCTGCAGAGGAGAGTCTCCCAGAAGGAGCTGCGCAAAACTTTCGCCCGATCCAAGGCCGTCAACGTCAACAGGACGTACGACGAGCACGTCAACTCCAGGGCCCAGGAGCCCCTGACGAGCATGAGGAGGAGAGCCCTGCTGAGGAAAGCCAGCTCTCTGCCGCCGACCACCGCGCACATCCTGAGCGCGCTGCTGGAGTCCCGCGTCAACATCCCCCAGTACCCGTCCACGGCGGTGGATTTTAAGTATTACCTCAAAGAGCACAACGAAAGAGAGTTTTTCCTGGAGCTGGTGAAAGACATCTCCAACGACTTGGATCTGACGAGTCTCAGCTACAAAATCCTCGTGTTTGTTTGTATTATGGTGGATGCGGACCGGTGCTCGTTGTTTTTAGTGGAAGGGGCGGGCAACAAGAAGACACTGGTGTCCAAATTCTTTGACGTGCACGCGGGGACCACCGTTTTGCCCTCAATGAATTCAGATGAAGTTCAAGTACCGTGGGGGAAAGGAATCATCGGATATGTGGCCGAGCACGGAGAGACAGTGAACATTTCTGACGCCTATCAGGTGCCTGCTCCTCTTTCTGCATGCGTGCGTGCGTGCGTGTGCGTGTCCACGAGCAAGAGACACACAGACAGAGAGAGAGACTCAGATAGGAAGACAGATCTTTTCAGTTTAGGACCATCAGCAGCCCATTGTGTCAAACCACACATAGCGACCCCAACAACATCCCTGAGAAATTGACAAAATGAGTCAATTAAGGAGAAGTATCACTTCTCGTTTTACCTTGTATTTAGTAAAGCGAGATGCTACTAAATTATAGCAAAGCTGCAAAGACCTCAAATGGCTGCGTTGTGAAGCCCAGGCCTTTTTGTCAGCCGATGAGGACTTGTTCTTGGAAGAGGAAATGTTTACAGTAGAAATGAATAATAATGTTGCTATATTGTCCATAAACAGCTGACCTCTTCAAGTCAGACATTTGTCTTTCATATTGTCTCTATCTTAGACGTTGTGCTTTGGAAGACAGCGTCCAGACGAGTTGTGCATTTCCATGCACCATCATATAAAAGTAAAACGGGAACCTGGAGTTTTTTGTGTTTTTTCTTTTTTTTTGCAATGACTGCTTACTTTGTGTTTACATTTTGCGCTGTCTCTGAATTGCAGGATCGTCGGTTCAGTGACGAAATTGACAAGCTGACAGGGTACAAAACCAAGTCACTCCTGTGCATGCCCATTCACAACAGTGATGGAGAGATCATTGGAGTCGCTCAGGCCATCAACAAGACTTCAAGTGGAGAACTCTTCACTGAAGACGATGAAAAGGTAATTTCACTATAATGGTTACGAGTATGAAAGCTGGGTGAGAGCAATGTTCTCTCATAACTCTCCCACTGCTTGCTTGGTGTGTGTTGCATATGGTAATTGTTTGATCCAAATACTCGCATGAATTTATATTTATTATCATCTCAGTCCATATTTAATGGATTTAAGGCAATATGGTAGTTTTGTCCCAATTTTACACACATCTGCGACAGAACGATGGCAGTTGTTTTGTCTGCAGAGTGAAACCATGTACTGAGAGACCACTCAGGGGGGGATCGTTATGACCCTTGACCCTGTGACCTTTCCTCTGGCGCCACCAGAAGTTTGACATTTTGGGGTTACTGTAAATGTCCGTTTTCCAGATATCATTGATTCACACGCAGTCTGCAGGCATTCGTTGTTCACAGATGATGCATGGCGTGACCTGTTTTATTCCGTGTAAAATGTTTAGACAGCAGTTGGATACTTAATGTATGATTTTGGTAAATGCAATTCTCTCATGTTTTGTATGGTATGCTATAGTTCGCTGTTATGTGCAACCATGGAAAATGCTTTCATTCGTTGTTGGGCGACTCGTCCGGTAGGCGAACCTTACTGTGGCCTGATGCTCAGACTGACTCTCCATTTTGTGTTTTAAAGCGACATCTTTCTTTTCCTTGTGCATCCTTTGCTAATATTTCACAAGTAGCACCAACTGCGTATCTCAATGTTCCAATTATGTGTTTGTTTCTGTGCTTAATACATATTTAAATTCACCCAGCTCACATGCCCTGAATCCAAATGTTCAGTCCCCGGTTTCTGGCAATTATTGTTTCCTGGCTCGGTCTCTACCAAACGGCCCCGTTGTACCCAGAATAACAACTTTATATAATCGTTTCACAGTCTCCAAGTGGTTATTGCTATTTTTTTTGGCTCAGCGGGACGGCCAGGCTGTCACTCTTTAATGTAGTGTCACCATTCAGGTTTCAGGATTGCGATCGGAAGTCATCCAAGCACGACTCGTGGTGGAATCAGGGTACTTCAACCGTTCCACTGGAGCCGCTCATCGGCCAACAAATCACACTGGGCCTTCCAGGTGTGGCTTTAATAATTTACCTCTGTGTGGATCAGCTCAGTCAGCACACTGATCAGTCAAGTTGGCAGCTGCAATAAACTTAAAGGCAAAGAGTGAATGGATCTAATATAGAAATAGTCCATAATATGCCAAAACAGTAGGTGGGGGTGTTACATCTCGCACTACTCCGCATAGAGCTGCTGTTTCTGAATGAATGTTTATTTGACTTTTCACCATCATCAACGTGTTGAGTCCATCACATGAAGAGAAGTAACGGAAAGGTGGCGACAACTGACTTGTTCTCTCATCACCGCCGCGAGCCCCCAAAGCGAGGCGAGATGCAACGTGACGGCACGTAGCCAGCTGTGCCTTTGTTTTAGGTTTCACAGCTAAAAGGTTGTCGTCTTTTATTCATCGTATGATTATAGTAGGTTTTTCCCCTTTCGAGCTCTGCGGTCACCATTGTTGTTGATAGATGCAGATCAGGAATTATTTCCTTTTCTTTCTGGTGTTTTTGAGTTTGTTTCACATTGCGTTAACGTCACACTAATGCTCAGGATGGCTACAGCTGAATTAGTAATGAAATGCAATGCCTGCATCAGAGAACACAGTGAGCTCCCTGCGCAGCACAGCCGCAGCTTTTATGGAGGACCTAAGAAAATGTATCACACTCTTCAAAGCATGAGACGATACTGCAACGGCAGATGCCATCAGAAACCGCATTGTGCCTTATAGGACAAATGTTGGTCTTCATACAATGAAAGCTTATAGGATATTTAAACACATCGTGGCGGACTTTAAACCCCACGCTGCTCCTAATTATGTTGATACCCTGCAGGAAGGGAGTCCTTCGGGAAGATGTGTATAATTGTGATGTCTGATTTTCTTTCGTAGAGCATTGACTTAATTTAAGTGTATAAGCTGACCTTCTCCCGCTATCTCTCCATATTACTATTAAACATCATTATCTTGAGCTTTTCTTTCACTTTGTATGTCTTCCAATATTTTTATTCAGGTAGACATTATCAGGGATCGGGTTCCATTTGCTAATATAGTGTTGGGTTGATTGTCTGATAGCAGTCACCTCACGCTGTTCTCCCTCTGGCTGCCAAACTCTCAGTCAAATTGGCTCCAAGCAATACTGTAATAACTACGTTCACACAATTTCCCAACGAAAATATACAGCTATAGAAGAGAAAACACAATTTCTGCTTGGAACCACAATTTCTTTTAATACGTTCCTGTAGGATTTCAGATCAAATCAAATGTATACTGTGCATTATATCAAAAATTCTTTATATAAAATCCACTTAAATCAAGAAAGAAATACGATGAAAACAACATTTGCAATATGAGGATTCTGCAAGATATGGGTAAAGAATTGATGTGGAATGACTTACTGTTTGGTGGGAACTCGAAGGTGGAGGAGGCTGCCAAAAAAATGCAATGATTGATACAAATGCCTCATCCCACCACTGATCATATCTCTGAACACTGGTACATACAGAAAGGTACAAATTCATTCAAATAAACTTCTAAAGCACCAAAGCGTGACCCACTTTGATGCAATCCCTGTGTTGGGCAAAATAATTAAGTTAGCAACTGAATTCAAGTTTGAGTGATAGTGAAGTCTGGTCTTCACCATTTTCTGTCCTGTGCTGTCGATTTCAGTTCATCTCTTGTAAGAAAGGGCATATTTCACCTCAGTTTTATAGTGAACTCAAAAGAGTCACCGCAGTTGGAAAGGTTCATTTTATTCAGTTTCTCACATTCTTTTTTGTTCGAGGAGCGATACGTGTAAAAGTATTGATTTGTCTGCATGTAACTGCACTTATGCAACATCCACTACTGAGTTGTTGTGACCTTGCTTTGCTGCTGGCATTTTTCCACGTTCCAGCAATGTGTGGAACGATTTAATTATTCATGGATAATAGCTATTTAGCAGCAATGGTACAGTGTTTATTAGTTCTGTTGTATTAGGGTGATAAATTACAGCCAGTCAATTCAGTACATTAAATTAAATTATGTATAACAGCGGCTTTAAAAAATGTATTTCAGTGTAGATTCATGTTGCATGAATATTCAACTCATCACAAAAAGATGCAACCATCGCTAAGTATAGTTGCAAAAGCATGGCATGGCCGTCCCACACAAGATCAGAGAAAATGGAGAGCTTTGAACCCTTCTTGGTAAAACAACAGTGGCTTGCACGTGCAAAGGGAACACGGCCATGAGCTGTTATGGAGAACGGGAGGTGGAAAAAAGAAAGCTGTTGGCTTTGGCAATGGGATTTCTCGTGTCCTCCAGTTGTGGAAGCAGAAGTCGTTGAGGTTAGAGGAACTGACTGACCCCCGAGGCCTTGGCCAGTTAGTTTCGTTATTAAACCGCTCTTTACCGGTCAGTCCACGGGTCTCCAGGCAGAAACGTCTCGTTTGTAGTGCAACCCGGTATAATGGCCTGCCTGACAGAACGTAATTAGAGCGGGCAGTGCTTTTCTTGGGTTTGCCCGTAGATCCATAGCCAGACACCCAAAGTCCTGCTCGCTAATGAATCTGCTCCTGCTGGGACTATTGATGGCCGCTGGCTTTCTGGAAGATCATTATTAGAGAATTCCACAGGCCAGCTGTTTGTACGCATTATGTACGAGCATCATCTGTTTCCTATGACTGAAATGTATGTATGAAATGCTTTGATATGTATAATGACTGTATGAAGTGCACGCGCTTGTTACCAAGATTATCACAGTAGGATTAGCATTGTTTTTGCTTTAGTTATTTCATTTGCACTTAGCTTGCAAGTATCGTACGTTAGGCATCAATGTGACATGCCAGAGGATGAGATTTTTTTTATGGTTCATAGTTTTGATTGATTTTAATTCATTTATTTATTGATGATTCAAAAATTAAAACTAACTTCCACACAATTCTATAACTCTTTGCATGAGTGAGAATAAAAAACACAATGATTAACACCATTGCGACAAACAAAAAGTCACGAAGTGACAACGCTTGGTTATTTAAAGCTGAATGAGAAATTGTGAATGAAGTTTCCTAGCCAGATTTAAATGTAAAAACGTTTCCTCAATCTTAAGTTTCTATTTAATACAAACCATTCATTCTTGCTTTGGTCGTAGTTCTAAATTCAGATTATCATCCTACTCTGGAAATATAAACAGAAATTAAACATGTGTCGCCAATCCGGCAGAGCTGTTTGATTCTAAAGAGAAATGATAGCAATTAGAGCCTGGTTCCTCAACCTTTTGCAGCATGCGATGCCATTTTTTAGGTCTACAATTATCATGACCTCAGTAATTACGCCTGACAAGTTGTCATGTGCAGGGAAGAAGCTCCCAAATTATTTCTCTGAAATATGAATATCATATATATATATATGATATTCATATTCAGATATGATATTCATATATATATGTTTTTCATATTCATATATGATATTTAGATATATATATATATATATATATATATATATGATATTCATATATATATATATATATATATATATATACACATACTGTATATGAAAACATGTTTTAAAGAATATCAAACAGATAAATTGCCTATTTTAGAATATTCATCTCCCGTCTCCCCCCTACTGTTTTATTATTGTCGTTGAAAAGGCTCAAGCTTGCAAATGATCAACACAGTGCTATGGGATTCTGTTCATTTGTGGCTGACGAGTAGGTGATGTTTAAAGGTGAGAGAGATATCCCTGTATCAGTGGCCACAGCTGAGTAACTTCCCATTCATGCATTGTTGTGGTGTCCGCAGCCCCACAGGCTGGTAAATATTCGCGGGTGTGTTGTACTCATCGTATTGTTTGCACAGCAGCCAGATGCTAAAAATAGATACCTAAACAAATAGGCAGAGCAAGGAAGCACCCAACCTAAATCCTATTGATTCCATGTTACGGAGGCTGAGTGTCTCTTGGATGAGGCTAATTATGGATGCGTAGAATGCGACCCGGGTATTCATATCTCAGCTGTCTTAGCAGCGTGCGGTCTCACCCGGTCCTCTGCGTCCTGCCTATCGGTGTCCACGACAAAGCAACAGTGTCGAGGAGAAAAAGTTCAATCCCAAACTAGTAAGCCGTTGTTTTGATTTCAATTCATATTAAATGAAGTCACAGCAAGTCTGACCATTCAGTAGAGTAGTAACATGTCAGTCGGATCGATGAATCCGTGCCGGCAACAAACGGTGCCATTGAAAAAGACCATTTCCTATTTGTTCTAAGTCTGCTCAATGTGTCCATAGGTGCTGCAGATGTACCTGCCTTTCTGTGGCATTGCGATCTCCAATGCCCAACTCTTCGCCGCCTCAAGGAAAGAGTATGACAGGAGTCGGGTAAGGACAATTACCCCCCCCACCCCCCTCCGATCCCTGGGGTCAGCATTACTTCCTCCCCCCATGATGCTGACACCGAGGCTGGGTATCGATCAGCAGCCCCCTTGCTGCCGCTGCAGCGGGGATCACATGCTGTCCTGCGTGGACATTTTCTGTGGATCTATTGGGTGTAGGTGGGTTGGGGGGGAGGGGGGCTGAAGCAACGTTCATAGATGCAATAATTCACGTCACACGTTGATCTGTGATGCAAGGGAATATAACGAGAACACAGCTCAGCTAAAGTTCATGAAATTAAATTGTCATTACCGTTAGGGATAATAATAATAATAAAAATAATAGCACTATTGTTAATGATAACACCAATAGCAACAACCACAATGGTAACAATAAAACTACCAAAAGCAACACTAATAATAGTATTAACAATATTAATAATAATCATGCCCTAATGCCAAACATATTTATCTAGAGTGGCTTCTGCAGCGGGTTTCATCAGGAGGTTCAGCTTGTTTGTCGTGATGACCGAGTGCCGTCTTTTCCTGTCGCCGGTGTGCAGGCGCTCTTGGAGGTGGTCAATGACCTCTTTGAAGAGCAGACTGACCTGGAGAAGATCGTCAGGAAGATCATGCACCGCGCCCAGACTTTGCTAAAGTGCGAGCGCTGCTCTGTCCAGCTGCTGGAGGACATTGAGTCACCGGTACTTTTGTTTTTTCCTCTACTGTGTCCGTCTGTGCATCTGTGCATGTCTGTTCTCTCTGTCTGCGCCCGGTTCTTACGAGTGATCACTGTACGCAATTATTCCAAAAGCTGAGGTGATTTCTTCCCCTCTCAAAACTTTCAGGTGGTGAAGTTCACCAAGTCGTTTGAGCTACTGTCTCCTAAGTGTAGTGCAGACATTGAAAGCAGGTATGTATGAGGTTTTAGGGTGAAAATCTACTCGGCTTCGCCCTCCTTTTCACATTTACTTATCCCAGTTACTCATTTCAATTAAACAGTGATTTTGTTTGAATTTGCCACCACGACATCTGTACATTTTGCAATTTTACAATTTTTGTAGTGCAGTGGGAGTGATGCTGCGCAATAGGAGACCTACTTAATTGGGTTTTGCTGCCTCTCTCCACTGCTTGGGATGGCTGAATGGAGAAAGCGAGGCTTAGTATTGTGTGGAATGTGTGTAGATGAAAACCAACGCCAAAAGGAAGACAAATTATTCCCCAAGTGCTGCACTTACCATAACTTACACGCTCACGTCAAGGCAGTATTAAGAACTGCAGCATTAATGATAAAAAAATAATATAAAATAAACACTAGAAATATCAAAAACTAGAAATTAGTTGATAAATATCTTGTCCGGTGTCACATATTAATGAAATAGCCAGTTTGTGATTTAAAGTAATAAAACAACACATTTCAACCCAAGCTGAAATAACAAAAAATAAAGCGTCTCTTTTATGACACTTTCCAGTTTCCCTAAAGATTCACATCTGAATAACAAGGGCTGCTGCGCAAGATCCATGTGTGTTATTAAGTGAATGCATCTTGCATCAGAAGGCAAGCGTAGCGTGGGACTTCTAATGTGTCCTGCAATCCCCAGCCGGCCCCCATGGGCAACATCTTTTTGAGTAAGAGTACAATACTGCTCGTGGGTCTGTGGCAGATAAATGACAGACGCGAGGCAGGGAAGAGACAGAGGCGATGGAGAAAAAGAATGAGAAAGAAAGATACTGTGAGGCATCTCGCCATCACACCCATGAGGGTTATTCCTTGCTGTACACAGTCTAAATCAAAGGGATTCAAAAGATCTGAAAGAAGTGTCCCTCCATCTTTGTACCAGTCTAGAGAGACAACATGAGCCACACTGAGCATTAACCTCGTTACGTCTGGTGAGGTAAAAAAATCTGCGAGAGCACAAAGCAGTGAATGTAGACGTGAGGCCTGTGAAGGGATGCAGGTGTTTCTGTGGCAGCGTGTGGGGGCGTTTGGCACTGAGGAAGACAATCACACAATTAACTTTTCATTACTTCATAAGCTGCGGGAGAAGCTCACTGATGTGTACGAGGAGTTAATTAAGTGCAAGTCAAAGTAAAACAGGGTCCACAAGCAGAAAATAAGAATATTTTTACTTAAGTGCAAACCTTTATTTCTCTTTGAAAACAAAGTTATCAGCTAACGGTTGAAAATCAAACCTCTGCTGAGAAAAAGGCCAGCAAAAAAAAATGGTTCCCGCTGTGTTTTCTTTTTCTGCTCTGCTCCTTTTGTAATGACGCCGTTTTATTTTCTGACCCCAGCTTCAAAGACAGCATGGAGAAATCGTCCTACTCGGACTGGCTCATCAACAACAGCATCGCAGAGCTGGTGGCGTCCACAGGACTCCCCGTGAACATCAGCGATGCCTATCAGGATCCTCGCTTTGATGCTGAGGTAGACTCACGATGACGTTGATCAACCCGATGTTCACACGTCGATGTCACATGCGCGTCAATGCAGTCGCATCTTATTGAAGGAATGCTTCTTATTGCAGGAGTCCCCAAAAGGACTCAGCCTGTGTTGCCTTGAATTCTTGTAAGGAAACGTATTTTCTTGCATGCGATTCATAATTAACCGAGTTGTATGCTGCGCACAACACAGCCTCCATAAAACCTGACTGTATATAGCACTTGTACGGTCTCAGGCGGACAAAAAGTGCTGTCAACGCACAAGTGTTTAGTTTCACCAAAGAGGCCTTTGTTTGTTGGAAGTACTGTGCACACGATCGGGGTATTTGTGACATGGATTAAACTGCACGGCTTACGTGAGGGTCTGCAATTGGATGCTTTTAAATAGTTTTGCTGGTGTTAAACCCACTTACCTCAATGCGTCCAGATTTTTGCGGGACGTTTCTGACGTTTGTGTGTTTGTTGTCATCCACCACTTCAATGCCCTGCCCATCAACAGTCCTTTCTTGGTGGATTGACTGTTGATTTCTTTAGTTTTCTTGGTGTTTAACGGAAGACCATCAACATGATGAACCCACACACGGAAGCCGGTGATCATGATCACCTTGAATCAATTGCATGTAATCCGGGGAAAATGAATAAACCTCTTCAAGAATTCAAGTCAACACAGAGTGAGTAATTGAAATAAAAAGCTCTGTTTTTGGGGTGAAGTATTCTTTAACCTCCTTGGAAGCGATGTCATGGTGGCATTTTGATTAAGTAATTAGTGTTAACAGCATCGAATAAGATCAATAATGTCAAACTGTAGGATGTGTATCGGTTTAAGCAGCTATAGATGTTTCAATCAAGGTGTAACAACAGTATCTACGTCATTTGGGCTTTATGATGTTTCATGAAATTGTTGCGTGGCCTCAACGACTCACACATCCAGGTGGGAGGATAAAAATGGCTTTCCAGTTAGCAGGAGCGGGAAACTCTTGGTCATGTTCAGTTGCCTTCCATTTAGTAACACATGGCCAGAACTGACAAACTGCACTTCTTTCAAGTTAAAAGGATAAAAGCCCTCTAACACCAAAAAGCATCAACCGCAGCTGCGTGGAGCTAACCAGAATCCACCTGCAAGCAGCAAAAGTTTGGAAAATGCGTCTTTTGTCCAGGCTCTGAATGAAATAAACTTGCTTTTCAAGGGCTTTAAGGATTCTTAAGGATACTTCCTTGTAGCCTTGCCCCTCAAAATGAGGTGAGGCACGTAGGCTTAGAAATACTCCAGTGATTGACATCTAATCTTACTTTAGAGTTGGGAATTGTTTTTAATATTCTAACAAACTTCTGTCAAGGCTTTACTTTAAAGAATATATCTATTAAATGCATCGGTACTTAATGCCACGGTAGTAGTTGGAAGCAATTTATTCATAAGTAAAAACCATTCAAAATTAGAAAGAAAACTAGATTTAAATATGAACTATAAAAGACCAAAGAGGGAGTATAGAAGCAGGGGTGTATTAAGGATTATTTAAAGGTGTTTAGTGCAGATGGAGGTACTCCTCATTTTACTCTATTTGCACTGTTTTCAGGCAGACCAGTTCTCAGACTTCCACATCCGCTCCGTGCTTTGTGTTCCCATATGGAACAGCAACCACCAAATCATCGGTAAGTTAAAACGGAAATTCTGAAGTGTATTTGATGTATATGTATGTATTCCTATTGCATATATCAATTCTAAAACAAATATTTCTCAGTTTTGTATCAGTCCTGTGGTGCACCATAAGGGTGAAGGTGTATGGACAGCCGACCATTGCTTTCATGGTTTATCCATCCAATTCAAACACCGGCCTCCATCCTTTTGTGATGGCTTTCCACAAGAGTATATTAGTGAGACCAGGCGCTGATGTCAGACAACAACACCTGGCCCGCATGTTGGCGTGCAGCACATTCAAGAGGTGTTGGAGGTCGCGGCTGTCTTTCCTGTCGGCCCTCGCTCTGTGAATAGGCGCTTTGTCGTCTTCAGACGGGAAAGCGCCTCCGTCGAACTGTTCCCACACAACGGTGTTATATAACGTAGCTCAAACGTTTTCCCTAATAGGAACTAATTGGATTAGCTTTAACCGCCACAAACAGCCATAGTACCATAGGCGCACATGATTCTGGCCATCCGGCGTGTCCACGGGGCCCTCACATGCACCCATTATGTAAGTGTCTTTTTCCGCTGCAGAGCCGATAACAGGGGAGCTGCAGCATGTGCTCGGCGGAGGCTGCACGCGTGTGATTAGATGCACGCTGCACCATCACTCCACGCTCGGATGTGGACTTCCCTTCTCGTGGCCGTGTGCTTTGTGTTCGCGAATGCGCCCCCGGGCCGACGGCACGCCGATAAATCATTGATCTCTCGTCTGGTTTCGGTGCTGGATATTGCAGGGAGGAGCGATGATAGCGCTCCTCTCGGTCCACTGAGATCTGACGCAGGAAGTCATTAGTCATGTTTGAGTGTGAAGTGATCAGCATAATTGCTGCAGATGGTTGGTTAAGACCTGTGTGTGTTTGTGTGTCTGCGCGTGCGAACGTGTGATGTCCGTGTGCGCTGAGGTTTTCTTTGCGTAGGTGTAAGTGCATTTGTTGGGGAGGGGAGAGGGAAGAGGAAGAAGAGCAGAAAGGGAATGAGGGGAGAAAGAAATGCAGCATGTGTGGGTGGCACCTGAGGATCTGGAGTGAAAATAACAAAACATTACACCAACAAAGCAGCAGGAGATGAAATTCTCAGGCCAAGGATACATTCCTGTAGGAAATGTGTGTACTCGTGTCATCTGCCAAGGTTATAGCCTGCTCCTTCAAGATTTAACCACAGAAAATACTGCTGTAACTATAACAACAATGAGGTGTAATGTTTAATGTCTGATGTAATTCAAATCCAATCAGCACTTCAGTAAGCATTATGCCAGCAAAGGTACAATGATAAAGTACCTTGATGAATTTGAGTAGTAGAGGTGTGGATGGAGATCCAGGCTAGTCCAAACATTACATCTCAACCATTAGACTAGCACTATTATTTTATTAAACATGTCTGGTGGTGGCTGGCGCTGGCGCCTCACGGGGATTCGATCCCTCCGCGTGTGATCGTCCTCCCCGTGGCAGCACGGGCCTCGTCCCGCAGTCCAAAGACAGGCAGCCTGGATGAACCCTCGACTGAGCGTGACTGTTCGGGCCTCACGTCCAGGACGTCCTCTGCCTTCCCCCAGCGTCATCCAGCGGGAAAATGAAGGTTTCCCTTTTTTAATAGATAATGTAAATACAATCCTGGAACTCGTCACAGAGTAAATGCTCATTACACACAGAGAAATCATAGATCTGAGAAAACACCAGCACTGTGCTTTTAATGCAATGACAGCGAAATGAAAACTGTTCTTGAGTACTAATCCCGTTTCACTCATATGGATCTCCAGCTATACATTGATATTAAAATGTCCCGGTGGTAGGACGGTTTAAAAATGGTAATGTATTGAATGTTGTTTGTTACGCGTTTGTAATTACATTTTTGCATAATTTTTCAGGGACAATAAAGTCTCTATCAATTAAATACGTTGGATTTATCAACAAAGCCTTAGTCTACATTTCATTAAATGATGCAGGAAGTCATCTAAAAAGGGAACACCGCTGTCAAATAAAAGGCTTCATTGCAATTGTGGACAGTAATAGTTGTCTATTGGAAGATGACACTGACTGAATGCGCCACATTCTTTCCATGCTCACACACTGCTATTTGTGTGACAGGATGTTTCGACTCTTACTTAATTTCCATTAATAAGGAATGCCAATTGATGAGGTGGAGCGTGTGTACTTGATCTTCCTTTAATTAGAGGCAGTTGCACCGGAGTCTTGTCAACATCAAACAGAAAACATTCCTGTGAAGCTCTTATTGTGCGGTTTGTGTAACAGGTGTCGCCCAAGTGCTGAACAGGCTCGATGGGCAACCGTTCGATGATGCCGACCAGCGTCTCTTTGAAGTATTACATTTGCTTCTCTATATCTTTTTTTTAACATCCAGTGGGCAAGTTCAAAAAGTTTAAAAAGTATTTCTGCCTTGTGTGCTCTTCTCAGGCCTTTGTGATCTTTTGCGGACTGGGCATCAACAACACCATCATGTATGACCAGGTGAAGAAGTCCTGGGCCAAGCAGTCCGTAGCTCTGGACGTAAGGACACTGCATCCCGATCCTCTTCCTCCATCCTTTGAGCAATCCATATTTCCATTCGCTTACATTTGCAAAGGAAATGCTGTGCATAGTGTTCACTATGAGTGGAAACAGAGCGCATGTGTGTAGATTATTGGAGACACGGCTAATGTCAAACCTCCTCTCACGTATCATCTCTGCAGGGCCTTTGTCCTTGGCTTCTTTTCTACTCTCACACTTTTTTATTGAACATTAATAAGCCCTGCGTTTTGCAGGCATTCAAGCATTTACAGTGCGTCCTTGCATTACAAAGGGGAGCTCTCAGGTGCATTATAGTAATTAGAACCACATTGTAGAGTGATTGGAGAGCAGAGAGGTAGATCGTTTAAAGGGGGGAGTGACACGGGATGAACTAATATGTGGATGCATTGCTTATGGCAGTACTGAACAGGATTGCAAAATTCCGGGAATATTCAAAGTTGGAAACTTTCCACAGGAATTAACGGGAATATACGGGAATTAACGGGAATAAACTGGAAATTTTGGGGTAATTTAACTGTATTTACCTTGTCATAAGCAGACATGCACGCAAACATTTATAATACAACTTTTAAAAATGACATTTTGTGAGTAGAACTTTATTCTTTCATTGAACAACAAAAACATGAACGTTGAATAAAAAAATCACCACCTCCAACCCAAATTTTATTTTTAGTGTTTTTCCCTCAATCCTTTCAGGTCTAAATGCTTTCTTCCTGGACCTCATCAATGTACTCCTCACTGTCCACTTCCTCAACATCTGACTCGCCGCTGAAGCATGTGAAATGTATTTGAAATAGGATTTCTGTTCCCTGCTGGCACTCAAAATGCAACCCATACCATATTTTACCGGTCTATATAGGCCTACTGCTTATACTAATCAGCTACCTCTATTTTTGTGACGGTGACATGATGTCATACAAAATTGCCCCACCAGAAATTTCAGCCTAAAATCGCCACTGGTTTGCGTGCATGTTTCTGGCAGACAATGTTCCCAACCAGCTGCATTCAGGGTCCAGCTAAGCTAGGCGGGCATAGTCTTGTTCTCAACTACATTTAAGTTCCCTGTTATATGCTTTTGCAAAAAAACTAAGGCACATTATTTTTTTCAAAATTCCCCAAATTCCCGAGCCAAAATTCCCGTGGAAACTTTCCGGAAATTTACCCGGAAACTTTCCGCCCCTTTGCAACCCTAGTACCGAATAAACACGAGCTTTCATGAGCAAATAAGCAACTGGAGGTCCGTGCGAGGGATTTCTCTCAGGAAATGAAGGGAACACGGCCATGAAATCGGGGATGACGTCGCTGCTCTTGTTCTGGAGGCAAATGGTAATCTGGATCCACTATAACAACGTAACGCAACAGTGTGCAGTGTTCTTCGTTGTAGCTTCTCTAAGAGGCGAACCGTTCATTTTGATTATTTGATAAGCTGTTGACTGGCTATCATTATTTTGCAGGTTCTGTCTTACCATGCCACTTGCTCCAAGACTGAAGTTGACAAATTCAAGGTAGGAGATATTCACCGTTATCATCATTATATTGGTGATATCTTATTTTTTACTCATGGGCCCTTTAATAAGGACAGATATATAAAAAGCAATGTCCCATTGACTTGAATGGGAAAGCAAAATAGATGACGACAGAAAGGTTTTTGGAAGCCTGACTCAATGTTCCCGTTGCTCCGGCCAAGAATTCCCCAATGAGAAGCTAATTGTGGTATTTGAAATACATTATTCAAATTATTATCAATAGGCAATCATGCTCGCTGAATTATTTATGAAGAGTAAAAAACTAAAATATCTACACCCTTAATTACTTGACACTGCTGAAATATAGATACAACCTATTTTCCGGCACTTTCATGTGTAGGATTTTCCCCTGTGGCCATCAGCTTCCCAGTGAGCCCGTTCTGATCCTCCAGCCCCCCCTCGCCCACCTCCCCCACCGCTTCCTTCCTTTCCCCCGCCGTCTTTCATAACTGCTCCACATCCGACTGGGATTCCACCCGAGTGAATGTGGCAGCGGCAAAGAAAAGCCCCGGTTGTCATTGCTTCAACCAGGTCTGTAGATTAGAGGTGACAACACCTGATAGAGCAACATTTTGGTGTGAAAACGTGCTCTGAGGAGAGAGACGTAGATGAAGGAAAAACATGGTTGTGCTGAAACTAACGGCTTGGACTCGGTGGAATGAGATGCAGGTCAGAAAGCGTGAAATGGTTGTATTATAAATGCTGACTAGAGGCAAATGAGACATATCTGCCTCTCAGAACACACTGAAGGCGGCAGACGGGAATGATTTAGAGTAAATAGTTAGTTAATTGGATCCACAAATGTGTAGTGCGTTTTTTTGTTTTAATAATAATGTAAAAAGTATTTTTCTTAACAACTACTCCATAACACAGTTAAAGCTCCCTCTTTAAGCTCCAAATGAGTCCTCAGAGTCATAATTAACATGTCCACATATCTCCATGTATCATAGAAGAGCGGCACAGCATCCTCTGACCCCTCTCTGCTCTTCTCGTGTCTCAACTCATATTCTCTCGCTCCCTTTGTTCCTCATTAATGTTTCGTATGTCCATGATGAAACAGGCTGCCAACATTCCCCTGGTTTGCGAGCTGGGCATCGGTAAGCTGTCCTTTGATGACTTCTCCCTGGACGTGGACGCCATGATAACGGCCGCTTTGAGAATGTTCATGGAGTTGGGAATGGTGCAGAAATTCAAGATCGATTATGAGGTGAGACCACCGATTGTCTTCATCTATTTCCTTTGAAAACTCGACCCAGTGGGTTTTTTTTTTGGCAGCTGAATCCTATTGCGTCCTCATGGCAACCGCTGTCTTCCCCTCCAGACACTGTGCAGATGGCTTCTGACGGTCAGAAAAAACTACAGAATGGTTCTGTATCACAACTGGAGACATGCCTTCAACGTCTGCCAGTGCATGTTTGCAATGCTGACGGTAAAGATCGGTGCAGATCGGGACGCTCAGAAAAAAAAGTTAAAGAGAAAGTAGAAAAGGAAAGATTCATAAGAATTAGATTTTTGAGTAAGCTATGGATTTAAGTCCCCCCCCCGTAAATAAGCACATACATTTGAATTAAATAAACAATAGCACATACAAAGAAGTTTGAAAACTGATGGTGACTAAATAGATTCACTCAAGTTCCGCACTTATTTACGCTGAGAGGTTTCCAGGTTATCTCTTCCATCGCAGAGAGATTTCTGCTCCTATTATCAGATCATTTTATTAAAAATACTGTTTTAGGCTTAAACAGATAAAGAGATATATTAATACATTTGAGAAAATAAAACAAAGTTAAGATTAATTTCTTTCCTTTAACATTAAATAAGAAAAGCGAACTCAGCTGGCCCAAGGTGTTTAAGTAACAATTGCAAAGTGGGGGAAGGCTGCATGTATTTATGCCGGGCTGCTGTGTAATGTTAGCTACTCAAAGTCATGTGTAATATAATGTCACGTCACAGCTCTTCTGGGATGATCGTGTGTGGCTATGAGGGGCGAGTGTGCACAAGCAGCAGGTTGCAGACTGCAGTTCACTTAACGGCCAAAAGGGTCCTTCATTCTCATTGAACCTTTTAGTAAAACATCCAAATACTTCTTCTACCGGTGAAAGTCGCGGTGACGGAATGAGCACATTTGCGTAAAGTAAAACTGAACTGTGTTGTATTGAATGTGCTCAGTAAGTAAGTAATAGAGCTAACAAGAGAAGGAGAGATGCAGCTCTTTTTTGTGTAGATACGTGTGTGTTTGTTTCCTCACGGCCTCCTCTGCTGTGTGCCGATCAGACAGCGGGCTTTCAGGAGACCCTGACGGAGGTGGAGACCCTGGCGCTTATTGTGGGTTGTGTGTGCCACGACTTGGACCACAGGGGCACCAACAACGCTTTTCAGGCAAAGTGAGTATTCCCGTTGTGTCTCTCGGCCTTTGCGCCACACACACACACACACACACGCACACACACACACACATTGAGACAGCTTTTAACATCTGAACACATCAGGATTTACAGAGCTGTTACAGTTTGCTTTGTCCTTATCAGCTGGTGCACTGTAGTTGGAGTTAATGATGTATTAGGAAAACCATTGTAAGATAATGTACGAGTGGTGTGTTGTACATTATTAACCTTTGTTGTGTGATTCTGTGACACCTTATAGTCACCACTTTGCCGTCAGAATATTTATCAGGAGGGGAAAAATTGTTCTGTTGTTATCTACAATTCAAGGCAAATAAGATAAATCTGACATCATTATAAAATAAATAAAGCCATTTTATTAATTAATTGGGGTAAAAATCATATGTAATCATTGTCCTTTTTTTTGTTTATAACCACCTCTTGATTCGACCGGGGTTGGTTTGCTTTTGTTTTATCTGTATGCTTATTATCATTGTCCATTAATTGCATGTATTTATAAATAGGGCAAGAAATCAAAATCCGCACCTATACATCAAAATCATTGTTTCATTTAAAATCCATGCGTTGAGCCAACACAATGAAAAAAAAATAGTATTTTTCTCCACATTATTGATGATATCATACTCACCGTTGAACAGTTATAGATGTGTAGGTTTTGGCTTTCCAGCTTCTTTTATTACGCCGTCATCAGTTTACGACAGAGTGCAGAGAGGGAGCATTGGTTGAGGGAATTACAACACACTCAACAAAAGACTTTGTTTCTTTGAGAATGCTGATTTTGTTCTCTCGTTTGTGTGTGTGTGTGTGTGTGTGTGTGTGTGTCTCAGGACGGGCTCAGCCCTCGCTCTGCTTTATGGGACCTCTGCTACACTGGAGCACCACCACTTCAACCACGCCGTTATGATCCTGCAGAGCGAGGTGCACTATGTTCCGATATCTGCTCCCATGCAATTACCCTTGAGGCTCTGCTAATGCGCCACGATGCATATTGTGTCAGCTAAAAAAAACCAACAGACCAGAGAACTGTAAGACTGGGAACTGCTCTTTCTCCACTTCCCAGTCTTACAGCACGCTGCTGGTCGTAATCAATGGATGTAGTTAGGTTGAACCAATGACGATACAACTGACCAGGGTACAACAGGTATATTACACAAGTGTATCTCCTCATATTGTGTCTTCTGTATGTGCGCCAGTAAACAGATGGATCATGTAGTTGGAGGGGCCATACTGTAGATTTGGAGGTAATCGGTTGTAATTAAAGGCGCTTTAAGGGGAGCAGCCTCGCCGAGGCTGAGTGGTGATTCTTCGAGTGGCTTCATTACCGTGGTGCTGACGACACGGGAAGCAGACTAATGTTTGCTTGGAACATCTTAATGGTTTCCGTTCATACTGAGTTTGCCGTTGCCGTCCTATTAGCATATACTGTAAATAATGTGACTAATTCAACTCGAAAAAAGATCCCTTTTTAAAACCACCAGGCAGCACGAACTCTTGAAGTCATTCACATCCCTTTGCATCTCCAAATTTTCTCCCATCATTCTCGCTCTCTTTTACTGCCCTCCTTCTTTCATCCGCTCCAATGGTGACAGAATGAGAGACATGCTTTGTGTCACTGCTGCTGCGAAGCTAAATATTTCATGGCATCCAAAGCTCACGAGGGATGAATCAAAGGTGCTTTAAACTCGCGTTTAAAGGGTGGAAATGTGTTCAGTTTTGAAGATCTCTTTTAATTTCTGCAGGTCCCCTTGTTCTGCTCCTCTTCTGTTATCACCTCTACATCTTCTATTTTCTCAGTTCTCCCGAGGACGGCGCCTAAGTGATGAATGAATGTATAATGCATGATGGGGAGAGGCTGGTTTTAATGACAGAGAGCCTCAAGTGAGAGATGTTGCTCACTCATGAAGGTCTGCTGGCTTCCCTCCTCCCAATTCAGTTTATTGAGATAAAGATTATACCAAAAATGGAACATTCTGATCTACATTGTGAGAACCTTCAAGGTCATAAAATCCCCCACTAAATGTTCTGCATTATGCTCTATAGTAAATATCCACATGCGATGCTCTCTGTCAGATAGAATCGTCTGCCATCGCACTAGTCACGCTGTTTTTAAATGATTAATACGTCTGTAAAACCACTCATGTAAGACAAGATAAGACATAGCAGGGAAATTTGTTTTGGGATTCCATCCGCTGCATCACACAATGCCAGTATAATAATCCACGTGCAAGAAGAGGACATAGACCATACATATAATCTTACACATAATCTGAAATATACATGTCAACAAAAGTTACAAATAATTAAATAAATAAGTTGAGATCAACATAGATGATAAATATTCAAGTCACAATATATTATCACAATAAAATAATGAAATGTAACATGCAATAGCACTTTTTGCTATTTAATCATTTCTTTTTTTCGGATTGAATTTTCCCAATGATTTAGCAGATTCTGAACCGTCTGCCTGATGGCAACAGCTGGAACTCTGGGTTCAGAACAAGTAACAAGCAATCTGGAACTTTGGATAATTAAATTGACAGGGACAAGTAGTTATATAAAATATAATTAAGGCTTCTCTTGAAAATGTCTTCCTTCATCATGTTATTATCCCTGTATGTGTCTCCACAGGGTCACAATATCTTCTCCAACCTCTCGTCCAAAGACTACGGTGACCTCATGCAGCTGCTGAAACAGTCGATTCTGGCCACAGACCTCACACTTTACTTTGAGTATGTTCTGCTGCGTTAAATCTCCTGATAGTCAACTAGCTGACCCCAGTGTTCTATGACAGTGAAGCACAGTGTCCCCGTGCAACGTTCACGGCGTCTATTTTAGGTAATGCTGCCCCCTTGTGGATTTGACGTCACTTACACGTGTACTCTTCCTTTTAGGAACAGAAACACTTTCTTCGAGCTGGTCAGCAACGGAGAGTACAACTGGAACCTGAAGGCTCATAGAGACATGTGCAGGTAACGCCCAGCTCTCACACACACACACACACACACACACACACACACACACACACACACACACACAGTAACTCTTTAGCATCGTGCAAACTGTGTGCGATAAATGTCTTGTTCCTCTCAGATCCATGATGATGACAGCGTGTGATCTGGGTGCTGTCACTAAACCGTGGGAAATATCCCGTAAGGTGAGAAAACCTCTCTTTAATATTACATTTTTCTGAACTATTAATCTGAAGCTGACATAATTGGTTGATTAATTGCTCAAAAGGAACTTTTTTGAAACATTCCCCAGTTCCTGCTTCAAAATTGCCCGAATTGTCTTACTGGATTGCAAAAGAGCCGTATTTTGGGTGGTGGGCCGTTTGTAATCAGCACATTAGGCATTTTGCACAATTGGCAGGCCATAACCTCTGCGCTCCTCTTTCCACTGACTCCAGGTTGCTGAGTTGGTGACCAGCGAGTTCTTCGAGCAGGGCGACAGAGAGAGGTCGGAGCTGAAGCTCACCCCCTCTGTGAGTCCCCACAAACAACTCTGGTTTTGTGCTTTTTTTTTGCAGTTTGTCGTGTCCTCCGCTGAGCTGACGACACCGAAGATTTATTTTTCCCTGCAGTTCCAAAACAAGAGCCAAGAGCAAACTGTGTACCTCATAACACAGAAAAACTCGCTGACCTTTCCGCTCAGCTTTAAACACACCGGACGATTTAGTGCGTTGGAGCAGCTCCACTAGCTTAAATAGTGTTTTCTTTTCTCATATAAATGTAAAAATAGCACAGCAATAATAGCAAGGAAAGAATTGGTGCTAATGAAGATCTAAATTCATCACGTATTCTATCCTCAAAGCAACAACACCACAGCAGAGAAGCTCTTTGTGTTTGATTGTGAGGAGTTTGGAGGCTGAACTGTGTAATAAGTTCATGAAGGGGAAAAAAACCCCATCAGTTTGCTGAGTGCAATAAATAGCTGTTGACTAATTGGGCCGGCACAGATTGGCCTCCCCTCTGAAATAACTAATGCCGTCCCCTCAGGTCTGTCAAACCTTTACCGCTCGCTGTGTCTGGCTGTTAAAAAGTAAATATTAACTCCCAAATCGTAGCCTGGTAACTGTCTCTGAAGCGCAGCCTCAGTGGAACCTCTTAAGTTCCACCTGCGGAACAAAGAGGCACAATATAAAATGTACGTGCAGCACTTTGCTGTAAACCTGGCTTGTACGTGAGCAGAATCACGCTGCTCTTTTGTTTTGTCAAATGTAGGCGTGAATTCATTTTCAACTTTTGTCTTCCAGGCGATCTTTGATCGGAATCGGAAGGATGAATTGCCAGGACTTCAGCTGGAGTGGATCGATGGAATTTGTACGCCGCTGTACGAGGTAAAAGCTTTAAAACTCTCTGACCTCCGCTGTGTCATGCTCGCCTCTCACACACACACACACACACACACACACACACACACACACACACACACACAGATCCGCCTCTGACATCAGTAGGCACTGTCCTTCCTCAGCTATTGTCCCCCTTCACTGACGCCAGCAACGAAGCTGTCACCAACAACTATTCAACTTTTCTGTAACCGCTACAGATTTCTCGCTGAAAAATACATTTTCTCTCTATTGAAGCGACTTCAAGGTTGCATCCTGTTCCTTTGAGAACGCCACAATGAGGGTGCACTTTCTGACTGCAAATCCACCGAGAGGTCGTGGAGTGTGTGAGCAGAGCTGTGATGTTCGGCGGGATTGAATTTCCTCAGTACAACGGTTCACTTTGCGTAATGAAGGAAGGCCTTTCGAGACTTTTTATTTTATTGTAGGATCCGGGCCGATCAAACGTATGGGACAGACCTCCACGACAGAGCTCGTGGTTATCTTTCAGAGAATGAACCTAAATGCATTCTGTGTCCTCGCCCTCGTTTGTGTCTGAGGGACGTGGAGGCAGCGCTGCTGTGTGGGAGAACTTACTGAGGAGAGGAGGCTAAATTCATGAAAGCAAACAGTTGTGAAGGGAGTCAAGGATAAAATGAGTTCCTTCATTCACACCGCACTGAGGTGATATTCTTCATCTTTGTACTGTTAACCCTCCGTCCTTTTTACTGTCATATTAAACACATTTCTAACGACGGTTCATCTTCACAGCTATTGAATAATCGCACGATGTCAAAAGTCAGAGGAGGCCTGTCTGTGCAGAGCTTCGGTTTCGCCATTGTTGCGGTCTTTGTAGTGTAGATGAGAAGCATCAAAGTGGCGTGCGGTGTCTGCTTGGGGGGGCGGGGGGGGAGGGGGTTCGTCTCTGCGCCGCCCTCGTGTAAAGGCTGATGTTTGGAGAATGCAGATACGGAGCACACGACAGCGCTGCCGCCAATTAAACCCGCGAGAGGGAGAACGGAGGTTCTGAGGCAGCAGGGGTTTTTGTTTGTGGGCGTAGGAGATCTCATGCTTGATCTCGCTGATCTCTTTCTCCTGGTGGTAGCTCGCTGAGTCGACCTCGGTAGAATAACGATGCTGTGCAAACTAATGACAAGGTCCCATATATGTGGATATGTTCTGTCAGAAAGAGGGAAATTGTTCTCTTTCAAAAAAAAATGTGAATTTTAACCAAACAAATCCATGAAGATGAACATGATCAATGATCAACCATTTGATGTGTGTGTGTGTGTGTGTGTGTGTGTGTGTGGATGCCACATGCCGTCACTGTTAATCCCTAGATAATATTTTATATATCGGTTGTCCTTTATAAAATGTTTAGAATTTGAGAAATTGACATATTTCATACAGACAGCGACTTGATCTCAAATCACAGATATGGGAATGCGTGTTGGTTCATTATTGGTAGTATCTACAGTAACAGTCAAAGGTGAGAAGTTGTGTCCACACCTGACTGGTACTGTATATTCCAGCAATTACAATACTTCATAATAATTCATTTCTATGTGTAAGTAATGTTTTGTTATGTGGTGCACATACACTCATTGTTTCCCCATATAGTATATGGCTAATGAAACAATAACTAATTAGAGACCCCTGGAAATCCAAAAGACACAGTAGACAATTTTAGGACAACAGAGGGAACAACGTCTCCCATCTCTCGGGTAATTTATTAAAATGGCGGATGACAGTTTTTACTACGTTGCCACTTACAGTTCCACACAGAGGAATGACAAAGGCAACTAATCTCCGTCACACATGTGCTTCTAATCTCCAAAGAGCAGCCTCTTAATTGTCTTAAACTATCGAGCTGCTGTATGCTGCTTTCATTGTGGCAGCGTGTTCTATGTATTGTTGACATCTGATTAATAATGTGCTTTTTGTTCCTTCTCCTGACTTCTCATGTGTTAGCATTACATTCTAGCAAAGGAGCTAGCCATCTATTTTTCTGGAAACTAAATACTATCAACAACGTATCAAATGTGGAAGGTCTTTTTAACAAACGTAAATAGTCTGAAGGTTTTCCCAGAATCCTCAGTGATTAGTCTGACCATCTCGGGTACAAAATACTTGGTTTGCTGCACAATCGTTGGCATTTTGTTTCGCAAATTGCGACTATATTTCCTAATCCACGAAGCTGGATGTGACGTATGTAACATATATAGATTCAAAAACAAATAATTACTTGATGAATATCTGATGCAATAATCTCTACCTGAGCAGTGAATGCAGCTACACTCCCTCTGTGTGAGTTATAAAACCAGCTCCTCTGTGCTTTGTTGTGGCCGGTCGGGCAGCATGTGCATTTTTAGTGCATTTGAGGCCCACTGGCAAGCTAATGGAAGCATTTCAAACTGAACATTGAAACTAGTAAAGGAAATTCAATAAATCAATGTAGTACAACATGTTGGTTCTTCTCGGGTCTGTCGGTTTTAGCTACTGTATTTTAATTACAACTATCCAAGGGACTTCTGTAAAATGTTGCACAAATAGCTGTGTTACTCAGCAGATGAATCATACTGACTTTAATTATTTCCTCCGGTGAATCAGGTCAAAATGATTGTTTGCCAAAACCTCTAAAACTACTCACATTAATGTCGGCCTCGGCTGCACTGTGTGTTTAAGCTACGATGGTTAACATGGTGGTTAGTTTTCTCACCGTGTTAGCACGCTTGAGTTAGCATTTAGCTGCACTGCACCACATGCTAGCTGCACAGCTTCACCGAGAGCAGCTAGAACATTTATACTTCAATAAAAATATACAGCTTTGCTTTGCTGTGGAGGCTTCTTTCACACGGGACGTGGTTTGCTCTGCGAGATAATAGTTTCAGGGTAACTGTTGTTGTTTAGGATGCAAGTCACCGTGCTGTTTTTTGTCACACAGTAGCCATGCTGTTCTTAACGGCAGCATTGTTGACTACTGGGAAATGCCCTTGGCAGATGCGGCCTTTGCCTCTCATACTGATGGTGTTTGTTTTAATCTTTCGTATTTCATTCAGTGTATTTTGCCATTCTCATCTTTCTTCCCTCCCTTTCTCCCCCCTATAGACTCTTGTCAAATTGAATCCCAAACTTCAGCCGATGGTTGACATGATCAAAGCAAACAGGGCCAATTGGGAGGAACTGAACGAGAAGAGACAACGTGGCCAGAGTGTGTCTGCGCCCTCGGGCCCCTGCAGCGGAGACGCCACAGACACTAGCGAACGCATTGTGGCCGAAACAGGCGGCAAAACCTGCTGCAGCGGCGATGCCGATGGAACAACATCTAAACCTGCTAGTTAGCTACGGACACCGTCTCCAAGCTGATCTCTCATAGGTTTATTTCCTCTTAAATGCAGCCTGCAAAAGAAGCAGTGCATGCAGAGGTTCTTGGGCTCTGCTCCTCTTCGCTTTGACTGCCACAGATGAGCTTTAGACTTGAGTGCAGCGCTATCGTGGAGGTTTTTTCTGCCTCCTTCGGTCTTCCTGTGCTGGAGGCTGACAGAGCTGTGTTTGGCGGGCCTGTCGGAGCAGCTAAAAATCAGCTGATGAGACGTTGGAAAGGAAACTCAAACCAATGCGTCAAGCTCTCAACCAGCGAGCTAACGTTGAATATTCTGGGCATTGGACACATGTTTTCGGCCCAACAAGGCACGGAGAGTTTTGAGAAGAATGTTTGTTTCTGCTGCGGTTCCTTTTGCTCTCGGTACCTCCTCGTTGCTTGAGATATTTTTTGTAAATATGTACACTATTAAGTCATTTGAAAGTGCTGTTTAAGAACCCGTGAGCTCTGGCTTGTTATGTGGCTTCAGAGTTTCGGAAGGATAAAGCAGTACAGGAACAGCAGGACCAGTGACAAAGCTTGCAATGCAAATTTAGTGCTAGGCTCTCTTCCTGTGCCTTGTTTTAAGATCCTAAAGAAAAATGCATGGCCGCCTCACCGAGACTCTTAGATGGAAAGCCAAGTTAAACCATGACTTTTATTGCCATAATTTATAAAAACAAAACAACTGCAGTTATGTCTTGATCATGTCAGCCACAAAGAATTAACATTATGTACAAAAAAAAATCTATTTTGCCCATTTTTATAAATGTAGGGTCCCACTTGGCTCACACACACACACACTGTGCCTTGATAAAGTTGACACCAATTCATTTCTTTAGGAAATGCATCTGCTGAAACATACATTACAGTTAATTAAAACTCACTAAACCTAGAGTAGTTGATATTTGAATAAATAAACTTACCATTTTCTAATGTTTTTTGAGTGAGCCAAAGTTAAACTCAGCTTCCAAAAGCAATAAATCCACCAACCAGCAGTTCTAAAGACCATAAATTAATAATTTTTTGGGTTAATCTACAAAAACATAAGCAAAAAACACAGTGTACAGTCTTTCAATGGGTTATAAGTCGGAATAATTTACCCTCAGATATTTTTGTTTTTTTACTCAGAGAAATTTAGAAATTTAGCCTTTTTTGTAATCAAAATAATATAATATTCAACAACTAATTAGTTAATTGCTGCAGCCCCAGATGTAACCCGTCTAGGGGGGCTGGTGTGTGGATTTTGATACCTCTGGTCAGGCTCACTGTTCCTTTCTCCTTTTCCTTTGTATTTATGCTGAGCTGACCAGTACATTTATTTTAACATGGTGCCCTCCAACTTGCCGTCAGAAGTGATTTTGTGTATTTTGTCAAAAGTTTGATTTTGTTTCTTGCTTTAATTTGATTTATTTTATTCTCTTAAAACTCACAAATTCTACTCAAACAGCTTTCATATCCAAAAGAAGACTGATACTGAAACTTGTCATACTGAAGTGCCCATGTTATAGTATAAAAGTGTTATTCTTTGGGGGTTTGCCTTATGAATTGTGTTGTAGCTTTGTTAATTGGAGTTTAAAACGTGACTTTGCACATTGTGTGGCATGGATCTGTACTCTACTGTATTTTAGTTAAAGAGCAGAATTGAAATCGACCAGAAACATTTTGAATTGCATGTTTTATGCAGTATTAAATTCAACTATTTGCTAAGGATGTAGCAAACACGTGAGCCAACAAATACCTCGTATTTTGAACTTTACCAGTAGACACATTATCTCGTTGGAAATGCATGATTTAAATCCTACTGCATCATGTAACGTGAACTATGAATTTCGCTGTTCTATTTTTCTATTAGGTCTCCAAATGTGGCCAAACTACTTTGTCCTTTTTGCAATGTAACGTACTTCTTGTATTTCTTCTCTACTCACCAGGTTTGGACTGTGGATTTATTGATCAGCAGGCTAACGGAAATGAACCTAGGGCATGAAAAGGCAAATGTGCAATGTTGCTGTTCAGAGTTTAAATAAAAATATGCTGCTATACATCATCTGGTTTATTCTGACCACAACAGTAAAGTACAGTATTTGAGATGGTTGTACTATATGTGAGCATTTTAATCCACAAGCTACTTTATACTTAGACGCTACAAATACAAGGGAAATATTGTTGGTTAACATTCCAAGCCTAAAATAACCAATTCACTCAGCCTCTCTGCTCCCAGTAAACCCAGTCCACTCAGTGTCTCTGCTCACAGTATAATCAATCCCAGTAGCCACTTGTAGCCCAGTGTAACCAGTCAGCCTTTTTGTATGGCTATACTCCATCAAAATCTTTGTCGAATGAGTCTTTGCAGCCTGTGACGCACATAATGTACCTTTACATCAGTGAACTAAAGTTAATCGTTGTTGTACTTATACTATATGTATATAGTGTGTATATATCTATATTGTACTCATTTACAATAGACTATGATTACTTTACAATCTAACAGTTGATTATTGTTTAAATGCAAATTACATGTCAGTGTGTTGTGAATATATATTTATAAATATACCTGTATATGTTATGTACATTCGTACATTTCCATGTACATGCATATATTGGTTATTTGCCCTTTATTGCTAAATATGTATACACACAATTATACATATTTATTTATTTATATATACATTTAATATATTACATTACTATGCTAAGTCTACAAGCAACCTAACAGCAGGTTTTTCTAGAATTGCATTATTTTCCTTAAGGGACTCTCCAGTTAAGTACTTTCCCTTATGGAGGTTATTTTGTTATTCCAGCATTTCTCCATTCAGTTAAATTAAGGACCCGGGATTCTGCAGTAGCTACACGGAGTACTTCTCTCAGTGCAGTGCTGACCTCATGTGGACAGCTGTATCTTTGCATATGAAATGCAACCACAAATACTGCCACTATTCACACATTTCTTTGAGAAGTTGCATAACGCAATCAGGTCCGTCAAATAACAAGAATCCTAGAATTATCTGCAAACATATGAACCGGCAACCCAATAGTTCACAACGCTTGCATTTATTAATAAGGGATCATGTTAAATAATTTACGGCATATACTGTTTTCGTTCCCACGATGGTCCGCATTAAGCCAGACTCTGTGTGATAACCGCGGTGCATTTCATCGTTCCCCGCTGATCTTCATCGCTGCTGATGGCTCTGACGTCAGTGAGCAGCGTGTGGGCGGCTGCGTGGGTGGAGATGATTTCCTACTGAGACTGTGTAGCAAAAGAAATCTTCTTGTCAGGAGGCATAAGACAGGCTGCGTTAAACTCCGCTCTGCTGCGTTACCTTGAACTCACAGGTAGAAGGAACAAAGCCCAGCGCCGAGGCCCCCGTTCACACAACATGAAGAAGAAAAGCAAAAACCGTTGAGCTGATTCAGAAATGGTGTTGGAGAGGGGAAGAGAGTTCAGCTTTCTGAACACTGACGCACATTAAAGAAAGAAAAATCCAAGAAATGATGTTCTAGTTAAATTTATTGCACAAACAGCATTGACAAAATGTACTGTGATTTTACGATGTTGTTAAGAGAAGTGGACAATGACGAAAGGTACATCCATAACATTCAAAAGCTCTTACACGGTGTTTGACACGGAGATAAAATGTCATACGACGGGTCCCTAATGAGTCCTTCAGGAAAATAAGCAGCACAGGTCGGAAAGAGAAGGCAAGATTCCTCAGCAAACAGCTCTCGCTCAGCTGCACTTTGCTTCGGAATCAATGGTTATCAGTGACAAGAGGTTCGAGTCTGGTATCAAATTGTAGTACATTAAAGTATCCGTTTCAAAATCTATTACACCAAACAGGTAACTATTTTTTTTTTAGGAGGAATCGTTGAGCAAATTAATGCAAGAAATAATTAAATAAAATGATGACGTAGAAAGTTGTAGCACATGTAAAAGACACATCTAGAGAGTTTACAGCTCTATGAAGGGTCATCTTTGCATATGTTGACTAAAAAATATATTTTTCGCTGTGCATGAAGTTGCTGAAAATGTGCGAGGGTCACATGGTCAAACATGGTGTGTTTGCACGTTCTTATGGGTCTTTGGTACAGCGTGAGCACCGGTATTCAGAGGCCTTGAACTGCAACGCGCGGTGACATAGAAGCCGGCGTGACAGAAACCCCCCCTTCACTTTCTCAGTAACTAACCATGCACAGTAACGCTTTCAGTAGAAAAAACTAAACACAAGGAATATCTCTCTTTGTAATCAATGTACTTCTAGGACGGGGGCGGAGAAGGTCTTGTTGACATGTTTCGGGGGGGGGACTTGAGTCTAGACGGAGGTACACACACACACACACACACACACACACACACACACACAAACTGTCAAGAGTCTCTTATGGCAATAGGTCAGTACAACAAAAGGCATGAGGGCAAGAAAAAGATGAAGACATAGAAAACATTATGTCCAAGTTTGTGTTGCTCCACAAAAAGGGGACTCGCTGTGCAGCAGCAGAGTGTTTAGTGGCAGAAGGGGAAGGCAGACATAAGCTTTAGAAAGGCACATTCATTTACAACTTACCAATGGAGGATTGGCCCAAACGGGGACGGACGGACACGCGCACACACACACAGGCGCACACACACACACACACGCACAATGGAAGGTAAAAAAAATAAATGAATCAACCGTGTTGGCAAGGATATTTAGGAAATGGTTAAACACAATAAAATGACAAAAATCAAGGTCTGTTGTTGCATCATGTTCGGTTGCATCATGGCCGTAGCTCCAACAAGATGAGGCTGATAGAATGATGAGCTGCACCGTCAGCGACAGTGATCGTAACAGTGTATTTAGTGCAAGTTAATGTAAAAGACAAGGTTCGGCTGAATCAATAGATGGCATGATATGACCGATGAAAAAGACAACATCTCTCCATTTTAAATTCACATTTAGTATCTATTAATTCAAAACGCACAAGATGCTTTTGTTTAGAAAAACGTGAGCGGGGAAATTAGAGGAGGTTCCCGTTGCCAAAGATGTTATTGGGGTCCACGTAGTCCTTGACAGACTTCAGCATCCCCATGCCGACATCGGAGACGGTCTCTCTCATCCACGCCTTCCGAAGTTTCCCCACTGAATCAGAGGGAAGAAAAATAAATAAATAAATGGACCGAGGGGGGGAAAGAGAGGAATCGGCACGGCTGATTGCTCAGCGGGCTGCTGGGAGCCAATCAATCTTGTGAGAGTGAGTGAATAAACAGAGGGTGATAAATGCTTTTATTCAGAGAGGAGAAATGTTTTGCATGGCATGATTTATGGAGCTCAGCAGACTATCAAACTCATTAGGCCCTGTGTGTTCCCAGAGGAGGGGCCGGCTGGCGGCTGTAGCCCGGCCGTTCCCCGGCTCCCTCCCTCTTTGAGCCGCCGCTTCCCGCCTTCCCCCCCCCTCCCTCCAGAGCCGCCGGGGCGTTTTGTCCGCGTGTTTCTACCACGAGCGCGGCCCTTCAGTGACCTGCGAGGGGGTTGTTGCCTCTCCTGTTCCTATTCCGGACCCTAGGAACACCGGCCCCCATAACGACAGGGGTGCAAAACCGGACCGCGAGACCCGGAACAATGCCCCCCTGTCACGAGGATTTGGGCTTTGGCCCACTCTCCAACCCCCCCCCACTCCTAAATAACACCCCCCCCCCCCCGCCAACCCAGGAGCGAGGAAGGCTGTGGCACCAGGCCGAGCGAAGGCGCCCATTGCTTCACCAGCTGTCTGGTCCGACATACACCACGGCTCTCGTGCCCGACGGGCTCCAAGCGGAAAGCCTGCAGCCAGACGAGAGTTCTGGTGGCCGAGGGGGAAGCACCTCAGTGGAGAGCCAAACTATTGTTAGAGAAGTTCCGGCTAGGAATTTGGATTTTAATACCAGCCGACAAAGCCGGTGAATTTTCTTATCCAAGTGTGAACTCAGCCACAATCTGGTGAACGAAGATTGAGGTTTAATATAGAATCTTTAGATGCCGAAGGTTTAAATGAAAGTGTTCTTCTCCAGGTGATATTTCCTTTAATTTCATGATTGAGGATGGAAACCTTGTGTTAAATTAAAAATGTCCCTGGTTTTGGTCTCTCTACATTTGAATGAATCTGTTTTTAGTTTTTTACTGTAGCACAAAAAATCAGTGGAAGCAATAACTAAATAATATAGTCACTATCAAAAGATAAAATTAAAAGAAAGGTAAAAGGGTTTTAGTCAAAGGGACTTTACGTTGGCTACAAAGAAAAGAAAAGCTTACTTTAAATATATCAGATCAGAGTTGGGTAAACTTTAACTTTTGGAGGTCACGTTCAACTTAAAAGAAAACACAGAATATCTATATTGACAAACCAAAAGAGATAAATTTGAGAACAGAGCAGCTTGAAGCAGGTGCTGCTCGCAGAGTAAACACTTTGAAATCAGCAGTGTAACCGGTTGAGATTAGATAGAGAGGCCTGTAAAAACAAACTACCGTTGAGGTAGGAAGCCGCCTGTTATGAGAGTCCAGCCAGGAGACCCAGATGGGGTTCAGCCGTGAGGCCCGTCTCCTGACAAAGCAGGGCAGACAGCGGGGTCGCCAGGGACTCCGATAGCACGCAGACCTCCAGCTGGGGACACGGGGACCAATCAACTGCTACCCAATAACTAAGAAGGCACCCTGCTCCAGCACAACGTCCTCCTCTTGGGGCCCTTCTCCGCCCCTCCCTCCGCTCAGGAAAAGGAGAGAAAACAGAAGGTGCCGGGACTGCATCATTGCCCCCATCACTGTGATAATTTACACATCTATCTTGTCATATTCTCTCTTTTTTCGCTCGCTATTGCAATCAATCTCACCGGGCCGGGTCCGCGCAGCTGAGACATGCAAAGAAGAGCACGCCGTTATTTCAGAAATGACAGATTTCTTTTTTAAAAACCTGTCATATTTTATCTTGTGCGGAAAAGCCCGGGGAAATAGCGGGGCAAAAAGCAATGTGGGAACTTCCCGTAATGAGGTCAGTGACCCGTGTGGAAGTGTGTGAGGCAGAGTCAGCCATGTTGGAGCCACAAGGTGAGGTGAAGACGCAGGGCGCCCCGGGTGGCCCCCACACAGAGGAGGCTGTCGTCGCCATGCTGAGCCACCACCCCGCTCGCTCTCCCCGAGCTTCTCTGACAAATGGGGGTCGGAGCATGAAAGACGAAGTGGGGGAGTGGGGGGGCATTGCCTTTTCCCGCGATATGGAGCCCGAGTATTGGCTGATAGATGGAGGACTCTCCCGGTGATGGATGCCACACTGGCGACCCAGTTAAAAGAGGACATTTTCTCCCAACGTTCACAACCAGCGAATGATCAAACAGATCTTTGTGTGAGTGAGAAACTCATCCTAAACTTCAAAGTGTCAGCGCCTTTTTTTTTCTTCTTCTTCTTCTTCTCCGTAATGGACAGCAGTCAACACATGGTGGTGTCTGCAGAGTATGATGTCCCGCAGCGCTCTACACGCCCGGATTCCATTACCTCCGCCCACGCAGCACAACACTGACCTGCTGTAAATACAGGGACACACACACACAAAAAAATTTCCTCTGGTGCCCTCCCACCTCACCATCCTTGACTACATCTGTTTTGTTTGATACACAAAAGCCAGAGAAACTAGCTCCATTTGTCAAGCGCTGATTGTGGGCAGACAAACCGGCCTGTCTGCGCTCAGATAGCGAGCCTCACTGTTATTAATCACAATTACAGAGTGGGCCTCGCACGCCAGAGCAGCATCAATATCCCCTCCTCCACCCTCCTCCACCCCCCGTCACCTCCCCGTGCTGCTCGGGGTGGCTGGGCCACCGTTTGGAGGTCAGTATACAGCCGGCGATAACGGCGGCATCATTTACCCCCGGCCCACCGCCTCCTTTTTATTAGCAATCTTTTAATTTTGAACCCGTCCCCGCCTTCAGGAAAAATTGTGATTTAATATCGCAGCTGATTCACTGCATACTGTTTTTGACAGGCGTGATGAATAGCCTGAAGTGATGTATGAAAACAGCGAGGCGGATGGCAATATAGATAAGGCAGCCATTTCGGTTAGCCCTGATGGGGCCCAGAGAGTTGCCCCCCCCCCCCGCTCACGTTTCATTTTGTCACTGTTGAAATGAACAAATAGCCGAGTCGGAGGAATTCATCTGAGCCGCAGGAATATATGTTGGCCATGTCAAAGATCTCCAAACAAATGCACATTTATAGGACGACTAGCGCCACGCTGAGCGAGCTCGCCGTGCCTACTCGCTGCAGCCTCTTCTAAAAAAGTATTAAGTAGAAACAAGATAAACCGTTTGATATTCTACTCGTGTATAATATGTCCGATATTTTAGTATGTATTTTACAGGGTTTAGTACCTCCATGGTGATGTGACAAGCTCCCTCCATTGGCAAGAATCTCTTCTCTAGCTGCATGCTGGGAAAAGAAAAAGAGAAAAGAATCATTCACTTTCTAGTGGACTGGAGATTCAACATATCTTCACTTCAGATATAGTTATGATCCATAACAATATACATAAATTGATAAACTGTTCACACCTCCACTTCTTCAAACATGTGTACTGGATCACTCAGTCCCCTGTAGTTGAAGGCAAAGTAAAAGTAGACACAGGCCCCGGCGTCATACGTCTGAGTCACCCTGTAAGAAAAAAGGTGAAAGTAATGTACACAAGCAGAGAAGACCCCTCAAAGGTCTTTCCCTTAGCTCTTGATATCTAATTTACATGAGCAGGGTTTTGGCAAGGTGCTCCATTTTCATCCCAAAAATGCACTTCCTGCTTTGGATCAGAAGACACAGTAAAGTGGGAGGTTTGGCTTTTCCCAGTGAAGCCCTGACCTCAATTCCATTCATTGCTCCCCGGAAAGCAGCGGCAGCGTGGAAGCGCTGTCACCTTTAATAACATAACATTATCAGACATTAAATGGCCATCGAACGCCGTTGATCATCTGAGCCACATTGGTGCTGCAGCTAATAGGATGACTCACTGATGCGAGGCAAAAGAAATAGACACACAGAAGAAAACATGCTTACTGCTCATGTGGCTTCTTCAAGATAAAAATGGAGCTTCAAGTCTCCCATTAAGAACCTTTTTTTTTTTTTATATATGCATAAACCGCTTCTCCATTTTGACGTTCCCTCCCTCTGGCCTCGTTCCCTGTGGAGGAGCAGGGTTCAGAGCCCTTGTTCATTTGACATGGCCCATCACCTGGCACGCTGACTGTTCTAGAGGTTAAATGGACAAATCAATCATGTGACAGACTGCAGCCGGGAAATGAATGGCTGTCGCATAATCAGGCGGAGGTCTAATCTATCCGCGATCGGCGAGCAGAAGCCTGGTGCTCCTCGACCGGCTCGCCGTCTGTTTGTCAGATTGTCCGCCTGTGTGTGTGTGTGTGTGTGTCCCTTAATAACTCACCAGGGGTCGGTGTGTGCAACCTCAAAACTTAATTGTTATTGAAAATAAATGTTTAGTATTGTTGACTTTAAAGTAACACAAATTGGCAAATAAAGTTCATGTCAGCTGTTATGTTAATAGAACATTTAAAGTATAAGTTGATATTTTTGCTTACACCTCTTTGTTTCTAGAGACTTTAAAAGATCTTTTATTAAAAACACAATAGATGATGTAATACATTTTTGTTTTGGTCATTTTGTGGGATTTTTTTTGCCGTATTTTTAGTAGAAAAACATTTTTTTTTACGGAAGTACACTATCTACCCATAAATGTTTCATACTCGACGCTTAGGTGTTGGATTTCCATTCAATCAGACCTAAATTTCCAAACATTACCTGCATGTGGAGAACGGTTGAAACTGCACTCCTTTGTCTTTACACTCTCGAATGATGCGCGCTTTAACGTTCCGGCAAATGTCCAACACCCTGAAAATATAGTATACACTATAATACATTTGAAAAAAATTAAGCATCTCATACATAATTGCAAAACGACCCTGGAATACAAACCGTAAAATGTGCGTACATTTAACATATTTAGTTCATTAAAAATAATCAAAATACAGAAAAGGACCCAAAAAGAGAAAGAGGAGGAGACTATCATGACGAGCGATGTGGGAGAGGGGGGGTAATGAGCCAGGCACATATGCTCGCCTCAGTGCCTGATCTCTTGGTCTCTCCCGACAAGCATGTTACACAACACAGAGCTGTGTGCTCCTGGGTGTGTGTGTGTGTGCGTTCAGCAAAATGATGATGAAACCATGGAGAAATAGACATACAATAAGTGGCTCCTATTGCATTTCCTTACACAGAACACAAACAAATAGGTCTCTGCCAGCATATATATGTGTGTGTGTGTGTGTGTGTGTGTCTGTCAATGATGCCGGGTTTGTAGGCTGACAAAGCAAAGCTGACGCCAACGCAGATGGGGGGAGACGGCAGGCATGAAGGTGAGTGGCAAAGACAAGCAAAGAGGAATAAAAGAAACAAGGAAAAACTGTGTCTCCTTGGACTGAATGTGCAGGAGATGAGAAGGAAAGGGAAAAGTTGTCATGTTTTTAAACTCAACAGTGAGAAGTCTAGCGCTCATATCAGTGTCTTTACCTGTCCCAAGGCACTGAGGTTTCAAAGGACTCCCCAATCACATAGTAGTCCATCCCCAAGTCCTGCTCGGAGTAAAAGATTGGCATCAGTGAGACAAATATTGATGGTCCTTAAGTACATTTACAAGCTCAAAGGGAACCACAATATTGTGGGGAATCAGATAATAGGAAACCTGCTAACTGTAAAATCTGCACTTACTGGCAGAAATCCCCGCTCTCCACCACCCCCACGCTTACTTTGGAACTACTGATGTTTAATGTTTAAGTGATAGGAGATGCTTTCTAAGTTGTTTATAAATTAAGATAAACTTAATTACAGCCAGTTTTCCCTGGACTAACTTTTAAGCCCCAATTTGTCTATATTAAAAACTAGCCATGTTCCTACAGGAAGCCTGCAGTAACCGGGCCGTGTAAGTGAACGTAAACTCCTCGCTTGTTTGTGTGATGAACGACCCGTCTGACAGGACTGACCCAAGACGGCTCTCCATTGTCATTCTGACTGCGACCACTATGCTCTCCTCGTGGTGTAGATACTTCGCCGTTGGGACACCCTGACAACAAGCGTGACCAGATCAAATCCAAGACCTCCCGAGGTCACATTCTGAAGCCTTTCTGTGTTCCTCACTATCCTATCTGCCGTCAGCCCGCGTCCTCCCAGCGCGCCCCCACCTGCCCGTCAGCGCAGGCAGAAAAGAAGTCGGAGGATTGACCCACCCGGAGGTAAGCGATGACGAAGGTCAACATGTAGCCCCTCTGCCCATTGTCCTCGCCAGCTGCCAGCCCCCTGGAAGCAGATAACAGGGTTAATATTTAACAGCTTTTCTTTTTGCTTTGTGGGCCGGACCGCTTGCCTCACAACAGCTGCCCGGGAGCCTGTCAATCAAAGAATCGTACAGATCAATGAAGCTGTGCTCTGTGCATCGCCACAGGTCAGCCACACATCCATCACCTGCAGCGGGTAATCAGATTTTCATCTACCACCCAAACTAATCAGCCCAAGCTCATTAGAAAATCACTATATTGATTTCTACCCTCCTTCCTGTTTTCCCAACACCACAAGAAAAATATTCTTCACAGAACCGCACCAATCCATCACTGGCACTTGATCTGATTGGTGATCACGATTTTGTTTTTAATAATGCAATAAAGCAGAGGATGCCGCATGTAAACTGACAAGTTTCTTGTGATTTAATTGCTGGCCGTTTCCAGGGCAGCAATCCGGCTCCCTGCACGTCCAGGCACTGGGCCATAGAACAACGCCAACAGTAATATATAATCAATAAGCTTCAGCTAGGAAGAAATCCCGACATTCGCCAGCGAGGAGCTGTGGTTTGTCCCTGCTTACATTTGTGTTGTAATGACCCATTGTTTTCTGACTGGTTGGTAGAACATCAATAGCTTTTCTTATTTTAGAAAGGTCTTTTGTTCCCGTTTCCCTAAACAAATACATACGGAATGCATTAGTATGCATAGAAACGTGAGGCTCGCTAGCTTACTATGATAAAGGGATTTGCCTAAAATGAACAGTTTCGCTTTGAAATGCCACATGTTGCTATTGTGTTTCTTACAGTAAAAGAATGTTGACTCATGATAAAGTCAAATAAAAATAATGTTTGGGTAATAGGTAATGAAGAGAACATAAAAAGGAAAATGCAAAATTGGCAGCCAATTCAGAAAGTCCTTTTTTATTTTGAAAACCAAAAAAAAGTACATTTGAAATGATATAACACAAATAAAGAAATGCAAAAGTAAAAATCCTAAGCGTAGTAAGAATAGAGGGCATCACCATGAGTAACCTCTATTATTTGACAACTATCAATAATAAAACAGAGAAGATGGAAGTTCAGAGAAAAGCACTCGTGCTAAAACCTCTGACTTCAGAGATGGCGTTTTAGAATCACCGATAATAAAGTTTAAATTATGTTGAGATGAACTCATCCATTAAACTTTTGTTGAGTGTTCAAAGCCAAAGCAGGACGGAGAGAATCCCTCTCAGGGTGACAGGGGACTGACTTTTCACCAAAGTCCTCATTGATCCTCTTCGTAATCAATCACAACAGCACTCCCGGGCTGTGTCCTCTCGCCCCGCGCTGTCCTGAGGGGAGCGCAGCCCCGCTATCACCGCCCACACCACACCTACTTTAACATAAAAGCTGGCCTGACAGGAGGACATCCACAGGTGATCCATCAATCTACAGAGACAAACTACTGAGTGGAAGCCGAGTCTGGAGCGTGTAACTGTGCTTCTCCATCCCTGTCACTGCCGATACATAATGGCTGGTTAAATAAAAGGGACATCAGGGCCTCGGGCAGCATGTCTAAAGTCTCACCAAATGGTGCTTTGTCATTTCTGTGACCGATCTTTGTATCGCGCGAGTCTTAATGACGGAAAGAGAGTGGCTTCTTACCCAAATTTTGCAGCGATGTCATAAACTTGCTTCTCGTGCTGCAGGACTTTCTCCCGGTTCCCCTCAAACAGCAGCGTGGCCACACACAAGCAGTCGGGGTCGAACCCTTTGAACTGGGGGTTGAAAAAGGCAACTTCATTTTTCATGACTTGGGGACAAGCAACTGGTGATGTTTGACTGCAGGATATTTTAGGTTATTTTTAACCTTGGTGATGTAAAATTTCTTCAGCCCCTCCAGAAAGGATGTGAACATTGAAGATACTTGAGGCTTCAGGGCATGACCTGTAAAAACATGGGATATGGATCAGCTCCATCTACTCACAAAGAAGTAGGCCAACACAGTTTATTCACACTCTAGTCACACTCTCCTGCTTACATTCTCCAGCGAGTCGGATTTATTTGAGGTCTCAAATAAAAATGAGGAAAAAGAAAAGGTAACATTTGAATACGTTTACAACTGGCCACTGGCTGCAAGCGACAGCGACTATAAATCAGAGGGTTTCCAAAGGGAAGTGGGGTTGACGCGGCGATATCCGTCTTCCTCACCAACACTTTTTTGATTTATTTCTGATCGGACGCACAAAAGCGCCTGTGGACAAGCGAAAATGAGAGGCTGGGGCCAATGGGATGGTTATCAATCACTGCGGGCAAGTCACGGGTGATGTCGCTGAGACTTAACAGTTCATTTATTTCTCCCCATGCTCAAGTCTCTTCATCACTTAGTGTCCTAATTGTTTTCATTCCAAAATTTGATTGCAGGTCTTTTAGGTCTCTCGCAGCCATCATACTCGTTAATTAAATACTCAACATCCAGAGATAGAAAATTACACCTGCTCTGTGCATTGTTTTACTTTTAACTCTCTCCTGTGTGGGTTTTTTCTTGCGGATCTCCACTAGCTAATACAACATTCTCATTTTTCACCTTGTACATCAAGACGGGCAGCGCTAAATTGTACTTGTAATCCCGACGTGAAAAAGAGCTGTGAATATATCGTCCCTCCTTAGTCAACAGCCAACATCATTAAAAGTGAGGACAATCCACTAATAAGTCCAAGAAGGCATCATAGAGCCATGAGTTTCCGTTATTAGTGGAAAACCTGGTCGCTTCATCTTCCCTGCTTAATGCTAAGAAGTGCTTACTCTGGGAAAAGTGGAAATACAGGGAAGATAATGAGATCCCTGGAGACTGGGGAACTTTACGGAGATCTCTAGCAATGCCAGATGCATTCCACATTAAGAAACAACATAATAAAACTTCAATGTAACAACTACTTCATTTTGGCCAGGGTCATTTTTCATCTTGCTTCAATTCTTTGTCTGTTTGTGTGTGCAGCTCTTCTGTTGCACAATGAAATAATAATCAATTTAACAGTTCAATGCTGCAGAAGGTGAAATCATGACATGCTGTAGCATTGCCATTCATTGTTCTTCTCTCAGAAATACAATGGGAGAAACTACACAAAATAAAGTCTATATAAAAATGACTTCAGTAATAGTTAAAAAAAACACCACGACCTGTTCAGAGCCAAAGTTCATATTTGGGCCCAAAAGGAAGTGTTTACTTCCTCAAAAATGAAAACAGTACTTGTACCGTAAAGGGTCACTACAAAGCCCTCACAGGGCTTTAATGAGAGTGAGGCCTGCAGAGTAAATGTAATGGCAACAGCTGCAATGCTTTATGTCTAGACTAGACTATATTGAGAATGATCAAACAAAACTTACCAAATTTAAATTGTTCATTATCCATGAGTCGTATTGACGCGGGTGCACATCTCTGCAAAATGAATTTTGGTTTGTTAATCGGTTTGAATCAAAGGGCACAATTCTGGGAAATAATCGTGCCAAATAAAAGATCCAACAATATATCAAATTCAACTTAATTATAATTAACATTCAGTGTAAAATCGTTTAGTTTCCTCCTGCATGTGCCAATTTAGTGTGTAGACTTAACGTATTTTCCCTTTAACTTGCATCCGACAAAGAAGAGATTCCGATATGCACTGTGAGGTTTTGATTTGTTTGGTCGGGTTTTAACAGTAGATCACAATCGGAGCCGATTGAAAGTTTAACTGTGTAGAAGCTTCAGAAAGCGTTGGACAGACTTAGTTTGGAGGTTTAACAAAGAACACAAGTTGGTCTAAGAAGGTACTTTGAAGTGAAGACCTGAAAACTCTTGTTGAGGTTTGGGCACTGACGTGGTGAGAACGCAGTCATTCTGCGCCGTATGTTATAAGATCATTTAACACATGTTACCTGTCTGGCAACCTCCCGGAGACAGGCCACTCCCTGCTCAAAATTAGGGAATACCACTGAGCCGTATTTCTGATACTCCGGCATGGGCCGGATCTTCATCGTTACCTCGGTGACCACGCCCAGAGTTCCTGTGGAAAATCACAGTGTGACATTTTGAGTGGAGCGAAAAGAAGTAAACCCATTCCCACAATTGATACGACCTAACACCCCCTTTGAGCGGAACATAAGCCCATTTTACAGGGCTCTGGTACACGTCCCGAGGGTCTTTCGGGTGACCTTCGTCTCACATTTCACCTGGCAACTGAGATTTATCAACTTAAGACCTTGAGGGAAATAAAGCAGAGCCTGATCGGGGGCAGTGAGGCCAACAGCAGCAACACATATATACAGTTATGCCAAAACCTCTGGCTGACCTCCTGACCTGAAAAACTGTCAACCGTGAACTGCTGCTGAAGGAGTCAGATTGCTTGAAAAAGTGGCTGGCTTACCCAGTGCTTTTAAGTGCTTAAAAGGAAAATTCTGCGTTTACAGTCAAATTTAGATGAGAAATGCCATCCCTCAATCTGTAATGTGTGCTTTATAAAGGGGAAATATATACTTTAAAGTTAAATTGCTCCCTTTTGTTTAGCTCCTGTCCTTTTATTCAGTAACCAACTATAATTAACTAGGTTTGTAATTGTGTCCCATAAAACCGCAACTCCTGTTTCCAAGCAGCACTGGAAGTGTGTTTAACTCACTTCCCTGATCCTACTTGGCTCCAGGAGGCTTCCTCAGCCTGGTTAACGACCCCTCTAACGCGGCACTACATGCCACACCACACGCTGCGCCCTAACGGCCCATGTGACTCCAACGGGCCTCAGCCTCATAAAAGGCTCCTCCTTCAGAGCGAGGGAGGAGCCAGATCAAGGAGGAGAGAGAGGGGGGGGAGGAAGAGAGTAACTGGGGGTGACCAAGAGAGAGGAATAGGAGGGAGCTAATAAGAACAGCAAGGTCAGGAAAACACTCTCTTGGAGACAAATGCAATGAAATGTTGGAGTGCAGCTTAAGGTTTTTTTTTTAACTGTAACCATATTTATAAAATAAACCTCATATTACAGGATTATATTTGGGGAGAAGGACAATTCAATATGATGGAAAATCGCTCTGCTTTGAATATAAAAAAAAAGAAGTAAAAAAAGACTGGGACCACTAATATTCTAATGTATATTGAATTAGCACTGGTTGGCTTTTACACAACCAAATTACATCCTCTAGGGTCCAGATGAGGGAAAACAGATTATCATTGATTATTCCGACCATTGCGTACACTGGTTGAAAGCAAGATTCAGGCTGTTTCAAGGTCAGAGAGATAGAGTCCTGGTAGTTGTGAGGCTCTGAGGCTTTGGCGTAATTATCCATAGAATGGATGGGTTCCACTTGACATGCAGGACACATGGGATGTTCTGACTGTGGGTCTTTGTTGTTGTGGCCTACTATCACACCATAAGATGCGGTTGCTGGGGTGAAGAGGTAGATACTTTTAATGAGACTGAGGGCTGGTGTGACCTCTTAGTTAAAGCGTTAGGCCTCCCACGAGTACATCTACTCCCAGGGACGTGTGGTCCTGTCCCATCTCTGTTGGACCACAGAAACACAGCAGCGAGTTCGCCAACAGATGTTTCACTAGAAAGGAATTTTATGTTGGATTGTTAGCTTTCATTTCGTAAGTGGGTCATTTTTACATGCAACCTGTTGCTGTGGACTAGTTACACCCCCACAGTGCTAGTATGCTGATCCATTCAGAAAATTCTCTTCCAGCTATTTTCAGGTACTGAGGTTGAATCAACTTGCTGACAAATGTCATGATATTATAAGTGCAGCCTAGCTAGTTATTATATTTAGCATAAATTAGAAAGAAATTACTTAAATTGAGTTTAGGAATGAAACTTAATTTGACTCGTCAACAATCTACGACACATTATGATATTTACTAAACCTCTGGAACACAAATAATTTGACCCTATTTTGAAAATTTGACATGTCTTTATACCTGTGAAAGCTTATAGATGAACTCCCCTTGAATTTTGAGCATAAGACAAATTACAAAGGCTTGCCCACTCATCACACAGTATTAATATAAATACAACACATCCTGAGATCTATTTAAGAGGGCAATTCATTAACACAAGCCAAATGTTTTGCTGGCAATTTTAAAATAATTACTAATTCAAGAGTTATATTACATCAACTAGTAATAATACTTTCATGTGGTAGAACATTAATAACCCGCATTGTAAATTAGTCACTTGTGCTTTTGATGTTGGATACAAACCTGTGCTCATGGTACGGAAATTGCTGCATTGGCTATAAATGGAGATTCCTGCAGTGATCCTGGTCTAGTCAAGAGCAGATTGCCAAGGTTTGTAGGGTGAATATCACGTTTGCATTCACAGCTGTTGAACATAACCATGCCAAGAGTCTTTGAACCTCCTCATTATTTAGGGAGAACCTGGCATATGGCAGTATTCTCTGTGGGCGTTCACAAGGACAGGGCACTGCAGATGGGGAGGGCAGCACAATTGCTGGTTTCCTGACGAGTACACCTCCAGATCACTATTCCTCCAAAAGCTGGTTAATGTGTAAGGAGCCTAGAGCATGAGAACGGTCCCGATGTGACGGAGTTATCACAAAGTCACGCACACAAACCCCACAAGCCACCGATTAACCCACTAACTCACACACGTGGCCGAAGGGCCGGGTGTACGGAAATCACTTGAGAAGTGTGGCGAACCTTCTGAGCCCATGATGAAGTGGTGAATGTCCGGCCCGGTGGACATGCGCGGCCCTTGACAGCTCTTCTCAACCACTCCTTGGGGGGTCACCATCTTTACGTGGATGACCTATTCCGCCGCAACACAACAAACATTTTTACAGACTAAATATACAAACTACAGCAATAAGATTAAAAAAAATGTAGATTGTAATTATCGCTGTGCTTGAACGCGTATAACGGACACGGTGACCACTGCATTACAGAGGTGAGGGAGAAGCACACAATATGCTACGTGTAATTATTTCCCTACTAATTACTGTGCAGCAGCAGCAGCTGTGTGCTGACTGTCATGCTTTGGAACAGACATGTGCAGGAAGGTAGAGGGGGGAGGGCGGGGAAACTCACCAGGTCCTCAATGTTTCCGTAGATGTTCTTCTTCATGCCCGACGCTCTGGTTGCCACCCAGCCCCCCAGGGAGCTGAACTCCATGGAGTCCGGCTCGTGTCCCGTACAGTACCCGCTCTCGTTCAGCTGTGAAGGAAGTTCCAAAACAAATGAGCCCCGAGACGTTTGGAAAACAGTGACGCTGTGATCCCACGCGGATGTTCTCATAATGAGGGAAACAAACCAGCGAGCAAAAGGGGAAAATATATATATAATCACAGATCTGCTGCTGCATTTTTTTGCTGTTGTTTTGCTGCAAAGGACATTACACATTTTTACATAAAGCAAGAGGGAAGAGCACAAAAGAACTTGAGCAAAATCAGTGTCAAATTTCACTGCTTGACTGGATAACTGAGGTTATTGTATCAGATAATAACATGTATAGGCCACAAAAATCACAATCAGAAAAAACGTAACAGCTGCATATTTATGTAAATACACGAGTTACACAAGCTACGTTTCAGACAGTCGTGCTTCCCACTGGTGCACATTCAGCTTCCACTGCCCGGCCCAGTTTACAATACTGTAAATGACTTCTTTGTTACTAGCCACATAGCCATAACAATGTGGCAATGTACTCTGGGGTGAAGTAAAAAAAAACCTTTGAGCAACCTTTATCAGATGCACTATCCCTGCGGCTTTGACGAAAATCTGTGGGTCATCAGCACCACAAGGCGGCCCAACTCCTAACAGATTGCATCTTTAGGTGGAACATTTAATAGTAATAATTCTAAGGACCTTAAAGTACAACAACAACCCTCTCTGGAAGCAAAAGACGGGACTTAAGCGAGGCCGTGTTTAATCACAGCACTCCCCAGGAAGACGTTTAAGTTTATAGTGCGGACCCATCTGCTCCATCAAATTGGCCCAGTCTAAACGCAGAGGTGGAGTCTGCTTTAAATGCAGCTCACGCGTTCCCCTACATCAAATGCCCGCTCCTTCTCCATTTTTCTGAATTAGCTTGATGGTGCCATCTGCTCATGACCGCTGCCTCGCTCTCTAATCTCTCTTCAGCGCTCTGCTCCCGTCTCAAACTCCCTCCTAAACGCTGTTCGAGCTACTGAGCAAGGAGCACCAAGGTGACTGAGCATGGGCCACCAGCACGTGGATGGTCACACAGTTTGCTTGTTGGCCCAACCGTGTGCGGCATTTTGAAGGTCTCAGTGGGTGAATGTGGATGGACGAGCTGTACTCACCAATCGCTCTAAATCCTGACCGACAATGCCAGCTTCCATATGGGCAGTTAAATTTTTCTCGTCGATCCACAGGATGCGGTTCTGTGAGGGGGAAAATAAACAAAAACCCAGAGCATGACTGGGGAGGTTGTGAAGCATTCGGTATACATGCTCTTTACCATACAGTGCCACAGAAATACCCCTAAATGTTGTTTGTTTCGTTTGTTGAAGACAAAAAACACACAATTTAACGTCATCACCATCTGTCCTAAGAACCATTCATCTCGTTTGTTGACTTGAAAGATCAGACGCTCAGAAATAAACCCCATCTTCTGCAGCAGTCCATGGGGACGGTGCCTTGACAGTGTGCCTACATCACTTTTTGAAATTCTGCACCAGCATGTCCTTCTCGCCTGACGGTCACATGTCCGAGGATAAATGAGTGCGTCGGGGCAGCGGTACAGAGACACTTTCCTCAAGGTTAACCTCAATTTAACATCTGATTCCAAATATATGCCTCTTATTTGGGCCGCCGGGCATGGGGCCCACCCTTACCTACAGAAGGTCATTACACACATGCCATCAATTATTCTCCAGAGGTAATAAACTTTATGGTTCAACCACACTGCCCCTTTCATGTGCTTCCATTGGAGCCACCTCACCTCTGACCCCTGACACAGAACACTGGTCACTGTTGTTTGTGGAAAACACAGTGACTGTATATCACCTTGATCAAAAGGACTGAGCGCCGCTGGTCACAACATCATTTTATATCACAGTGTTTCCCACAGATCCAACGTCAACGTGTGGGGGCTGACTACAACACATAACGCTAGATAGAACGATACACAATTCACACTACATACAACTCCCATAGCTGTAGGGCACATTTCACACCCTATACTACTTGTTGTTACAGCCTACATGAGCAAAGTCTGCAACTTCTGTCAGGGCAAGACAGGCGCGGTGTGCACGGAGGGGAGGGGCTGTGTGTGTGTGTGTGTGTGACGCGTGAGTGACAGACGGAGGGAGAGCAGGGAAAGGAAACGCAGCTGAACGAATACGCTGCATGATTCAAATAGCGTTAAAAACATTTTTAAATACACCAAACGCAATGTGTGGCGCACCGCCACAAATTAGTCCATGTGTGTGAAACCCTGTATCATATGACATCCAATGAAACACGTTAATGGGCAGATTTTTTAGATTGCATTTGACTAAATGGGTGGTGCCCAAAGTAACACATTTTTCATCTTGTGCTCCACCCACAACTAAGCTCAATCTGAAAATGGCTTATTTTCATTAGTGAAATGGACTAAATGATTTATAATTTGTAACATTATTCTGAATTTATAGAACATTCCCTCTGGAAAAATGGGGTATATTATAGGAGACAGAAAAATGCCAACATTGACAATACAATTGCTCTGTTTTTTTAATTGTGGTGTTGATAAATACTATTTCCCGCAATGCAATAGATTGTAGTTTGAGTTGGTGGATGTTGAGGTTGAGACCATTAGTGCACTTGTTAAAATTAAAGTTGATTGATTTTTGAATAACTAATGTATCTGAATAGGAGTTCAATATATATTAATCAGATATTTTGTCTTAAATTTTACCACAAAAAAAAGAAGCTTTTTATCTTGTCATTAGGGCAAATGGACTCTTGAACACAGGCGTTGACGTACCATCTGGGAGGTATCCACAGAAACAATGGAGCGAGTTTCCTCTTGGGGGCACTCTAGGGCACTCGAGACACTTGTCCCTCCTGAGAGAGAAAACACAGAGGAGCCGTTACCACAGAAAACACTGTTATTATTATTATATAAGGTTTATGAAAATTAAAGTGTTTATCGTTCTCAAAGAAAGGTATCAAAAATCGATTGTCTAGGTAAGAGTAGTAAATTCAGGGATTATATGGAGAGCAGCAGAGAGGTTAGCATGGCTCTGGTTTCCTTCACAAAAAGTGAATGAGAATTTTCCTTTGGATTACTACAGAAAAAAAAGCTCTGTGGCAAATAAACATGTATAATACTTGCATGTTTTTTGAGAACGATTATCCTCACAAATTCGCATTTTTAAGTGTTATTATTTTAAGTGACTGCTATGCAAAATACAGTAAAAAACAAAGAAAATGAAGCGGATTTTTCACAGTGCAAATAACCCTTCATGTGTACTGTATTCTTGTAAATTGACTGGAGGCTTTAAGATTTAACGGCGTAATAGTCGGGCTGACTTTTATAGCATCATTCTCATGAAGGTGTTGACAATATGCTGCTATACTATATAAGATTCATTTCAGCCATGTTGTCATCAGGAAATAGTTCACTAACAGGAGACATCGTATTTCATACAATCGAGGTCCGCAGACCGGACGGGAACTGTAAATTTACGTCATACGCTTGAGATCGGTGGCCCAAGCTAACTGTTAATATTTTTCTTTCTGTTGCTCCAGTACAAGCCTGGCGGCTTCTTTAACAATAAAATAAATCTAATGTCATCACCATGGGATGGGAGTAAATAACATATTAAATATAAATACACATCAATTGGCCTGTACATTCAGAATGTGACATCCAATTATGCTGATTAGAGTAATTAAGTTAAGGACTCACCTCCATACGGTATCAAACAAACATTATGTTTGCAGGCCAGCTCCACAATTTTCACTACATCATTGTGGCAATCTGCAAAGAAAAAACAATATGAGTTTAGAAATCAGTGGCCTTTATAAAGAACATGTTTTCATTTACCGTTCGCTATTGCATTCATAAATTAAGTGTTTAATAACCTGCGAAGACACATTGTAAAGGAAATTTAAAAAATGGCACATAACACGGTGTACAGGAGACAGTAAATAAATGTATGCAGCCTGAGCCATTGGAGCCGGGGGACGTTTTGATTTGCCTGATAGTCCGGACTTGCCTGTGGCTTTCCTCGGGCGGAGTCAACCTGCATGAAGCTGCACTCTCTGGGGTGGGATGTGCTGGATCAATATAAACATGCTTCGGCCAATCGCGTAGCTCACATCCATTCACACTGGAGTGGCGAGCGAGTGGGAAGAGCAGCGATACCCACCTACGCGGATGTGCTCGACTGGCCCCAAGTGCTTTCAGAGGCAGTGAGAAATGCCCGCATGTTGCCATCCAATTTAACACACAGCTTCTTCCTACGGATTACAGTTCAACTAACTAAACCTCCACTCAAACTACATGGCTTCATTCGGAGGGACGACTGAGGAATGCAAATCACTGGTCAAAGCATCCCCTCGGTACATAGCAAACGAGAGCACATTTGTGGGGGTTGGCCAAATTTAAATTTGCTGCTGGTGAGGGGGAAACTATGCCTACAGTTTCTTGGTGATTTGCTGCCCATTTCAGAGGGTGCTAATCAAGTTTCAGCCATCAGTCAAAACTCATTTGCATGATAAAATAGTGCCAGCCATAACAACAGAAAACCAATCTCTGAATCATAATTCATGGGTGTGCTGCGGAGGGCCAGACCGAGGAGTATTGGGTGTCAACCGTCCTCCCCCTGACGGTTCTTATTAAGCTTCCACTCATACATATTAATATCCCTGCCTCTGCAGAGATTAACCCTTTAAATCAGCTAAGCCAGCGGGGCGGCAGAGATGCTACGTGGGTGGAGAGAAACAGACTAATAGAAACACGGGAGATGACAGAGCTTCTGAAACTCACTTGGCCACACCACCAGATCTGGAACACGACCAACTTTGCCCTCTCGCAGAGCAAAGATCTCGTGTAAGCAATGGCCTGAAAGAAAATACAGGAATGAAATGGGAATACATATGGCCTCAGAAATAGGAATTTGATTATTACTAATGAAAACAGTGGCGCTAAATGAAAAACAGGGATATTTCCACAGTCTCCCCCCAGCATGCCTCACCGTGGGCACGGAACACCCGGTCTTCTGCATCGTGAGAGAAGGGAACGCCTGTGGATTTCAGTTCCTCCACGAAGGCCTCGTTAAGAGTGGGAGGCTGTACGGCAGTCCTAGTCAGAGCGGGCTGAAACAAAACAGGCCATTAGGATTTGCCTAACTGTGCTCTTTTTTGCCATTTGTCGGGGTCCCAACAAATCAATATGAATTACACCCACCGTTGCTAGAGATTTATGCTGCATATTGGTACCAAACGTGCCTTCCATCCACTCTTTCAGAGCAGGGATGATCATGCCACTTAATTTATACCTGGGATGTGTAAAAAATAAAAAAAGACAGATTGTGTGAGAAAACAATAAAAATAAATTGAAAAGAAGAGGTACAACTGTAATAGTGATTACCAGCCCCGGATGTCGACGCTCTCAATTTCAAGCATCTAAATGCTCGACTGGGCTTATTCATTTTGGAAAAGCAGGCCTGTGTCTAATATGAATATCTTGAGGTTTGAGTCCAATGAGGTTATTAGGGAAGCAGAGCAGCAATGACAGTGCCAATGACTGTGTATGATCATCCTCGCCATGCTCTGCATAATGGAGCTGCTGGCGCAGCCCGGGCCAGCCCATCGGGGGACTGTGGTGCGCCTTTGTCCAAGAAATGAAACACACCGTGTCCATAAAACACGCTGGATAATGTAAAGGCCTGTGTCCCAGTGCGTGCGCAGGAGGAAAATACAGTCTTTGAATACGGGCACCCAGGTAGCTTTTCAGTCGCGAGGACGCAGGGCCGTTCGTTGCAGCGGCTCACACGAGCGGGAACCATTCGCAGTGCAAAATCCTGTTTGGCTAATTAATCTAAAATGCATGCTCATGCGCCAGCTCTGTTCGTTTACAATCTCACTGTCCAAGCCAAGTCACATGTCATGATTACAACCACAAGGCTCGTCTACACCCATGGTAACGTCGGGGAAGACGAGAATAACGGTGCTGCTGTAAACTGAAGTCACGTTGAGTAAGTTTGAAGACAAATGCCCCCCGGCACCTCAAATAGTGAAACCAAAGAGGGTATCTCTAACAGACACATCAACAACTACTGAAAGGATATGCTTCAGTTTTGGAGGGAGGTTTCTGTTAATGAGCAACAGCTTTTGGGTAGAGCTGACAATCACAGTGACGTTTTCAGATGAAAATAGACAGTTCAAGTGCCAACCACTAGGTGGCAATAGCACCACGTTGCTGTGAGTGGAAGGAAAGGCTACGACTGATCAGCGGCAGCGGAAAGGATGAACGCAGCACCATCACTCAAGTTATCTCAATTTATGAAAGATTAGAGGATGTGATTGAGACATAGCACTGAACTTTGTTTAATTATTTGTTTTACTAAAGCATAAGCATTATCTAAGAGTGTTGATGTGCTATTACACATTACCTTTTGCCAGTGAATTCAGCTTGGCCTTTCTTATTGAAGAGGAATTTTGTGTCGCTGTATCCCCAGCCGTTCCATTTCATGATCTCCTGCCTGTGGGAAATAAACATTGGCAGAGGTTAAGCGTACAAGTTGTACACGTTATACTGAAAGCGGGACATGACATGAAATACCAGTAGAGAAAGTTAAAAGTTTAAATGTACAATGTTGTCACTAAGACAAAGAGGAATGGGGAGCGTGCTCGCTGATACAATACATCAAATTGGAGCAACCATACATATAGCAGTTCCCGGAGGGAAAATATAAAAGTCTTCATATTCTATTCAGTGATTCATAATGCTCTGCACACATGCTGGCAAACATTATCACGCAGACACAACACATTCAAATAACATATCCATCAACGGAGGAGGGTAGCAGACACCCTGCCTCTGCCCTCAGCCATTTCCCATTAAACGCGTTCAAATATTTCACAACAAAAGGCCCCTGGTAGGCCCGCTTTTATCTAGCCAATCTCGATACTGTTTAGTTTTTATGATTGGGTCCAATTGTGTGCGTTGACGTATAAAGCTTGTGCTAAATATCTAGCATGTCAACTTCAATAGCAGGTACGCTCCAACCATACGTTCTTTTCTTTGTTGTGGAATGACCGGCCATATTTGAGTACAGCCATACTTTTTTTTTTACGAAATTGATGCTCTCTATACTGTTAAGGGTTTCCCATTATAATCAAGAGCCCCGATGCTGAGCAGAACTTGTGTGCTCTCCTTACACTGTGCAGACACACAGCAACCACAACCCACGGAACACAGTACTCATACTTTAATGACTCCTCCACCATTCATTGATATTGTGTCAAAGCTGGTGAACATACTGAATAAAAATGTATTAATAAATGTGGCAAGTTTGGGCAAATTACTGAACACTTAAGAACACAAGCAAGGTGCTTTAAATAGTCAATGAATTTTGTTTGATAAACTGAGTTAATCTCTGCCTGTGTGCATCTAAAGTTTCTCTCCCTATTTGAATCAATGGTAGAAGGATATAGTATGCTGGCTATATAAATAACTATGCCTTGACAAGTCATAACTAGACCCAGTGAAGGGAATGAGAGGGAAATGAGTCACCGAAAAAAAATCACTATTTTCTATTGAAACTACAATAATCTAAATTTTGACTGTTGACATTTTTTTTTTAAAGGACCAAAAACAACCAATTTTGCATACTGTATGGTAACATTGCATATGGAATTATGTTTCTAGAAAGATTCTTCTTAGGACCACCCCAACAGATAATGCAAACTATGCAGTCTTAAAATGTGAGCTGATATGAGGTTATGATATGTGTGGTGTAACTGCACATATACTGGGAATGCAGCACAATCTACAGCCCTGAACTACAACGAACAAAACAAATTAAACCCTTTATTAAACTGTTTTAACAAAAACTTGACTGGTTTTTAACATTCCCGAAGGCGGGGTTGATTGAGGGGCTGGAGCTGGGACCCCGCAGAACCCGCAAATCCTGATTTCTTGCCAAAACCACCAAACTAACCAAACCAGAAAGGAGCAGAGAAAATGTCAACCCCGTAAAAAATTGGGCCCAAAAGGTTTTTGGGCACTTCTCCAAACAAAAAGTGACTATTTGTTATTCAACTATCATATATGTGGTTATGTTTAATCAAACAAAAAGCACAGTAGGCTTGCTGAGCTGCCCTTGTTTAAGAAAAAACAAACAAAAAAACAATACTTTACTGATGCACCACGTAGTTACTGGCAGACCAACCCGCCAACTGTTGAACTATTTTATCTTTCATTTTTTAGACACTAAAAGTCCAAGACTCCGATCTCAGCATAACAATTGGGATAAAAGACTGGGAGACATAACAGTCTATCGCAATGTCATACTGACCAGAACATAATGAATTGTACAAGGCCAAACGCTGATACTTGTGCTTCTTTTCACCCTCAAACTACAGCTGTTGTCTCGGACTGCCTCTAGAGGTCAGCACAGATTGGGGGCGTTCCTCAAAGAGGAGCAGCGCTGCCTATAGGTCGAAAGTCAGGCCACCACTTCTTCTGACCAATCACAAAGAGACAGAGAAGACGGGAAAGAAGTTCCACTGTGTCTTTCCTCTGTTATTCAGGGGGATTTAACTTAAGTTGTTTACTTTACAATGATATTGTATTAAGACGAACCTAAAACCGTATATTAATGATTACATTTCTAACACGTTTAAATGGAAAAACCAATTGGGTTGAAACTAACTTAACTTAAGTGTAACGTTCGAGTCAATGAATGGCAAAGCGGTTGGATCAAACTGTACGTAACGGTTACCGTAACAAACCGTCTCGGGTAGAGGTTGTTGTTCCCAATGTCGACAATGTTTTCTAGGCGTAAACAATCGCCTTGACACGGAAAAGACTTCATTGTGACAATTTCGAAGTTGAAAAAGTTGACCACATCGACGTTAAACTCAGGAACGTAGCCGCACCCAAGTTACGTTAACGTTAGCTTACAGGCTAATTAAAAACAGCCCCCCGCCCCACACACTTCGTTATAAATGCTCATAAAAGACAGAAAGACGAGTTCGCCAGAGCATGTCACAAGGTTGCTTCTTGTTTACATATCGACCCGCTGGTGTTTAACTACATGACTAGCTAAAGCTACGGATGACGGACCCCTAGTCCACCGCTCCATCACAGCCTTGTACCTCCTCTTCGGCACACTCTTCCCGTCGCTGGCGACATCCGCCTCGCCGCCCTGGGCTTTACACTCCGCGGCTGAGACGGTCGCGTCGACGTCCACCGGTCGCTGTAAGTGCCCGGCAATTATTCTCAGTCTTTGCGGTGCTCTCCCCTGGCTGCCGGAGCCGCTGCTGTTGGACGCCATGCTGCTTCCGTGTTTGTGACGGGAGGGGAGCGGATCTGTGCGCGCCTGTCAGAGGTCAGCGCAGGGAAAGTTCTGCTGCGTTCATGGTCCGTCGGATATATCATAATCAGTACACTCGAACGACCCGAGCAGTGATTGGTACCTGGCAACTGGAAAATGGGTATCTCGCTTTTCACGGTTGGCAGTCGAAGCATACGAAACGTTAAATCGTAACGTTACCATGCAATACATATTTTTTAACCTTTGGGCTATGTTCAATGGTTAATCATTAGCTAAGTATTAAGATGAAATAATTAGTCAAATAATCAATCGGGGTATTGAAAAGATGTATCAATTTATTTTGACTATCTAACTGTTTGAGTTATGTTAACGCCGAAAATGCCCTCATAACTTCCCCATGTTGATAATATGCTGTTTTTTTCGCTTTGAAAGCTGATACTTTACATAAATTCATTATCTTCATTCTGTACCTGAATGCACCATTTTAAGAATATCCCAGCATGCCTTGCAAAATACGACTGGTTGCATACACGCCAGTGACTGCTGAGACTGGTATTTACAATCACTTAGTTAATACAGACAGCATGAATTCTGGGCCCTCTAGTAATACTTCTTTATTATTCAAGAGGACATTAAGTTGTGTACAAAATTATTTGGATGGTTAATAAAACTACAGTATGTAAAAGTGACCTCAAGGTTACAAATAATGCCTTAATACACAGATTATAATGAGTATAAAATCAGGCAAAAATATATGTAATAAAACTTCCACTCAATAGATATGTAACATAATACATAGCTAGATAATAAATACAGTTTTGTAGTCATTTATAATTTCATTTAATGTGAAATACCATTTTTTCACTGGCTCTTCAGCCAATTCAGCATAGTGTGGAACGCCCTTGTGTGTAATTTGTGACGTGGTTTTAAACACTGAGAGTAACCTGAAACCATATGACTTCACTATTCACCTCCCTGCCTCACCTCCACTTACTCACCTGACTACTGTTTCCATATGGCACATGGTAGCACTCTTAAAGAAATCTTTTCGAACTGTGATAAAGTGCAAATATTACACTATTACTACTTAAGAAGACAAGTTAACTTGAGTTGAAAATTTCCAAAAAGACAGAGACTGTGAGAAGTAATGGAGAAAACTTTATTGGTTATAACAGTAATATTGCAAAATGCCTTAAATGCAAGTGTTCAAATGTTTGAAGGTTTAGTTTGCACAGGATAAAGTATTAACTCCCAAAACAAAGTTCTGTAATGCACTGACTGCAAGCAATTAAGAGTCGGAGTGTTTCACAGAACTTTATTTGGAAAGCCAAAGTGCCACCTCATAGGATTGTCCTTGTGCAGCTCCTTATCCAACTTGGTGCTCCTTTAACCTGTTCAAAGGCACACAAAAAACAACGTCAACAGGACATCCACTTTGATTATGTATGTTTTCCAATGGATTCACTTGTACGAATCAAGCTAAGAGAGAGAAAATAACTGTTATTTTAGTAGTGGGTAAGACTCTCAGGACCGGGCCTTTAAAAAAGGCTCGGTCCTCCCTTCTTTCACACAGGTAAAACAGGCCATAAGGTGGCATTTTCACCCATGGTCAGTACAGAAGATAACCAAATGGCTAAATATAATTAGGACATATATATCATATATATATATCATTAGTTAATCCTGTTAGACATCCAGCTTTAAACTATCCTAAAATATATTTACTTACACCTTTACCCTGGAACATCTGCTTGGTTGTAATCCGAAGCATTCCCTAAACTAGCTGACATGTTAGAGGCTCCCACATGTGGAAATACCCTAAACCCCAGCGTGTCCCTCATGTGCCATCGTGTCATTGAGTCTACCTGTTGCGCTTCGACAACTCTCTGCCCAACGAGCTGCCCACTTCACACAGGCTGGATGTGACAGCAATGGGGAAAGTGCAGAAGGCCAGCACAGCTCCAGGACTATTAAGACATTCTGCTTAGTTTGAAGCTACTTCTGGCCGTCAAGTGACAGCAACTTCAGAAGTGCAACATAATGCAACAAAACCAACAGTGCCACGCGATCGATGTTGAGAATAATCCACGTAAGGAAATGATGATGAAGTAACTTCTTCAAGCCATACTTTACCTAACGGGGCTGTAGGTGAACGCAAGGGGACCAGCTGCAATCCAACGCGAGGGGCAAGAAGTCTTGGTGATAAAACACGTAAAAGCAGAAAAGCGATGCGAGGAAAGTGCGCATCGTGTCTGGATCCACGGCGCACGGCGTCTGTCTGCGGATTTGCAGGGTTCTGCTCGCAAAGTGGCCACCGTCGCTTTTTTCACCTTTTCCTCCCCCCGGCCCCGTGCAGTTCACTATATGCAGCTGGAAGAATGTCGACGTGGAGCTGCCAAACGTGAACGCGTGTTCATGAACGCGCATGAGAGAGGGGGGGGGGCCGGGTGGGAGGAGGAGGAGGAGGAGAGGGGGGGAGGGAGAGTGGGAGGGAGGAAAGAGGCAAAAGAGCCTTTTTTTGTGTGCAATCTCACGCGGGGGGAACAGCGAGCTGCACGTCAGTGTGAGGTTCTTCACACAGGCGCTGCAGTCTTTTATTAGCTGGACACATTTCTAAAGGCACTCGATTACTTCTCAATCCGACTTCTGTTACGCTGACGTGTATAAATGTTCAAATTTGATTAACTTTTGTGGCCTTTAACCACTTTGTTAGATAACCTAATCATTGAAAGTACGATAACAGCTGTTAAGGCCGATTGTATTCCTGCCGTTTAGATCTGATACACCCAATTGTCCCGTATTGTTAAAACTATTAAGATAGGAGTTAGATGGAAATACCAATACCAGTTGAATGGTGCTATGAGTGAGAGTCCTGCATAACGTTATAAGCACACAAGTACACAATTATGCTCCAGAACCATACGATTCAGATATATATTATAGTATAAAATGACTTTGCAATATGCATTAATGTCTGAGCCGCTTTTGGTCAGAGGTGGAGCTAAGTGTATTACTGTATATATTGTAGTTTAATTCATAAAGCAATGCGTTTTATAACTTTACCACAACATTTGCATGTCAATCTTAATGTGTAAACTACAATGTAGCTGATTTGTATTGTTGGGTAAAGACTATTGTTCTATTCTGCTTTGTTACTATTGGAAGTAGAAGTAACAAAACAGAAACGTGAACCTAAAAATGTTACTTATCGTACTCAGCGTCTTGATACACCACTGCATCATGTCTAAATAACTGTTACCCAATAAAACGTCTAAATGCTAGGAGATGAAAATAGCATTTTCATTATCAACATCTTAACAATAACATATACCTACTTCACTTAAAGTCCTTACTTTCATTTTAGGCTATGGGCTACTTATACTCTACATTTAAAAAAAGAGTATTGTAGGTTTTATTCCACTGAATGTTTTTAACAGCAATAGTTAGTGACTTTGAACATTGTTATAGATCAATCCTTGATTGCAGGACTGTACAGTACATCTTGTAGTTGAGTAGGCTATTTCTTTATAAAATAAACCATCTAATGCTTCCTACATTCCTCACCAAAGGCCACATTTCATTCCACGGGGACATTGGGGCCCCAGGGCCTCCAGCTCCACACTGGGAGCCCTAACCAGCAGGGGGTGTTATGCACCAATCCAAACGCTTCTCGTTGCAGAATGGAAAACGATTACCTTGTTTTTGGTTTCATAATAAGTCCCTCATATAAGCTGTCTTTTTATGGTGAATAATAATAAATAATAGCACACTACGCTTAACCTTTAGTGGCTTTGTTTCGTTTCCAAATCGCCAGTGCTGGTTTGTTGCCTTCTAATTCATTTTCAATCACGTCGAAGCTCGTCTTCAAGATGCGTTATGAATTACAACGGTGTAACAAACATGTTTTGTCTGGTGTTTTCATTTTTCATTATTTATTTATTTATTTTATAACCAGCGTGTTTGGGCCTCTTTCAGCGCGACCCGGCGGGCTGAACACGCATGCGCGCGCCCCCCCACTGTTACCGCCTCATAGGCCGGCGCGAGGGGGACGATCCCGGCTCCGCTGCTCGGTGGGCAGGGCCACCGTTTCCGTAATGTTCATTACATTTAAAGGAAGCAAATGTTTTCTCCCCGTTCAGCTGCGACGACGAACTCTATCGGCTTCGGACCTCTCGCCATTTTAATCTGCCGCCTGACGGAATAACACACACACACACACGCGCGCGCGTCTACCGACAACAAGGCGGATTCTTGACGGCCAGGTCTCCGTGATGATAGAAATGGAGGTGATGCACTCCGGTCATCAGGTAAATAGAAAACCTATTCAAACTATTTGCTGGGTATTGACTCGCTTTCGTGCGGCTGAGTAGTTTAGGTGAACTTTTGCGTAATGTCCGCTATAGCAAACGAAACCATGCGCAGTGACAACCTGCTTATGGCGTAGTTAAGATGTTATCACGTAGAAATAACCAGCTGGGGGGAGAAGTCGCCTGTGCGACTTTAGACCTTTTTAAATGTCTGCGCACATATGGATCTGGTGAGCGCATTTCTCGTAAGTGCCCAGCCCCCTTTCGCTCCTCACGCGAGCATGTGACAGCTCTCCCCCGGTCCGACCCGCTGTGAATGATTCACCCGGTGAAGGCCACGCGCCGGCCTCTCCTGTTTGCTTGTTGGTTTTTCCATGTTTGGAGTCCACCAAGACTGTAGGCTGCTTCTTTGTGGTCATACACACACGCTGAATGAGATGTTGGGGGTGTGGGGGGGGATTATTCCTCATGTGATACATGGTGGGAGTCTGGCTTCGGTCAGGGGCGGTGGGAGCCCACGGTTGACTGATGATGCCCCCTCGTGCGTGTTTCATCATCCCGGGTCAAGGGTGGACGTCCACCGAGTTGTGGTGTAAGAAGCTGTAATAAAACCCTGGAAGTCAGGTCCCCTTTGAGGCCCCTTGTTTAAAATGAAGAGAGCCTTGTATTTCCGTCACCCGGTCGGATAGCCACAGGGACAAATAGCTGTTTGCTCTGCTTGATTTTAGAGAATTGTC